CCCGCGATGATCTTCCGGCCGTTGTGGGGGGTTGGGCCACCGCGGTAGCTCATTAAACCATTTCTGTGTCACCTTCCTTTTATTCCAGGACGTGTTGCCAGGATAATTTACTCAGAGCTTCTCTTAAGTCCATAATGGCGTAACTATCAGTCTATCTAGGTTACCGGGTCCAGCGTTGCCCTTTTCTGGCCGGATGAGGACGAGCGGGGAAGACTCGGTATATCAGCAGGGATTGGCGGATCTAGTTCATTTCTATTCGTTGCGCGTTTATCCCAGACAAGCCTCCGAAAGCTGGCCCTTTCAGTTTCCTCCGTGGAGTACTCCGCATGGAGTACCATTGTTTTGTGGGTTCACGGCCGATGTCGATGCCAAGCTTGAGAGTCCCTGGCGTCGATCGTTTTAGTGAGAGTTTTAAGTTAAGCTTGCTCCGGATCCCAACGAAGTTTCATCCGCGACAACGCTAAAAATAATCTGTTTGAGCATCTTTTTCCAACGCCCGTTTGCTATCGTTGCTATTCCTGTGCTAGTTTTCTTGGAGCTTCTACCGCGGGTAAATTAGAATTTTGGGGGCTCGTGAGCTCGTATCGCCGTCGACGATAGGATGGAGATATGCGGTCTCAGCTTTTCCTCAGAAACCGGCTGATCGCCCAACTAATGTTTGTGGATACAGATATGTATTTTCACACCATTCCTTCGACTTCACGGAGCCCTCCGTACTCCGCACTGCATCCGCGGCAAACGCCATCTCGAGCTCGCATTGATTATTCTTTTGTGTGAGATTTCCTCTGATTTGCCTCGCCTGGTCCCGGCAACCAGGTCTGCCCTTGAGCCATCGACCCGCCTACTTCCCGTCCTCCCAAACTCAGAAACAAAAAAGAAAATCAGAGCTATCATTTTGTTTGCCTTTGACTTGCAGACTTTCCCGCCTATCAGATTAATTATTTTTCTTTCACCCTTTGCAGGAACTGAGCCCGTGCGCCTTTTTTTTTTTTTGCTCCCCCTTCTGCAGTACTATTTTTTCACTTTTTTAATTGGCGAACCACACTTTTGCTCCCAGCCGTCCAGCTTTGGAGGGGGGTTAAAAAAGCATGCAACCAAGAACAACAGTTTTTGCTTTTGTTTTAGATCATGACTCCTGAAGAACTTTAGCTTGTTTACCATTCGCCAGCGGAGGGCTCATTTCCGTCGAAAAAGAAGATCTCTTTTTCGCCCCAGGAACTCTAGGAACTCAGGCAACAGATGCGTCGCCGCAAACCGGGAGGGTCCCGTGCCCACAACAACTTGTTTAGACAAAAAAAAGAGAAAAAGAAAAAGAGGTAGAAAAAGGAAAATAGAGGGGAATCGGCAAAACTTTCCTCGTCGCTGCCCTGGGTCACCGGAGTACCGTTGGGATATCTTGGGAGTATGGCGTTGAGGTTGAAGTTTGTCGAGCAGATGAAAGAATCCATTTCTGTCTTGGAAGTTTTACCCCTGGAGGCGTGGGCGAAGAAAAAGACTTTGACTCTCCACGCCCATATGCGATGATGACGATGACGGCGATGACGATGACGGTGGTGGTGGTGGTGGTGACCGCGCGGTCGACCGCGGTCCGCTCAAGGGGGGGAAAAAAAAAATTGTTATAATGCCACATTCTCACATGTGTCTCGACCTCATAGGCCTAACTACCCGACTACCCGGCCGCAGACGAGATGACCGTCGTGGTTGAACCCCGAGTCCTTCGATATGCAGTAGCTTGGTAAGCTGTAGATACAGATCCCAACCAACGGAACACTCTAATATGCAGTTGGCTCATTTTTGAAAGAAAAAGCGAAAGGGTTTGATGTGTACTCTGTAGATGAAACAGAGATGACGAATGGGTATGTTGGCTATGCTGGAAAAGGAGAAGCAAAGTTGTGGATTTGAACAGAAAATAACTCTTATTTCCTCCTGCTTCTTCCTCTTCATCTCCAAGTAGGAGATGTGCTTGTTGGGTTAGGTTATTGGCCATTTTGCAGATTCAATTGCAAAGAGGCTATTATTACTCTATATGGAGTACATGGATGTTGCTTCTAACTTATCTGTCTTGTTTTGAGACTATGGAAGTTGGTCAAAGCACCAGAGAAACAAACGACAGACAAGGTATCTTTCTACGACATGGGAAGCCTTGATGTGGTGATTCAATTGTTTGTCTGGTCGCGAAAGCTGTCTCTCCTGATAGTCCGTGCAAAAAGGGGGCTGCGTTTGGGCGTGATTCCTGCCTCGGTTCGCCCGAAGGGAGTGTTACCTCCTGAGTCATGGAATCGCAGGAATGACCAGTACATTTGATATCGGTGTCTCCCTCCATCCCACGTGTATACATGTTGACCTTGGTGGTGATAGGCGGTCTGCCGCGGCCGAACGATCTTTTTCTCTTTTCTTCCCTTTTTTCATTGGTTCAAAGCCTGCACAGCCAGGAAAGCGGCGATGGGGCAATCAGGACGAGTTTCACAGACTGTATGCTCCCGGCAGGCAAGGCGCGAACAAGTTCGAATTCTTGCTCTCCCTGCACAAGGGATATCAACCATATCCCTCCAGGATGAACGGGGTTGAGCAATGCCTGTGCAGGTATTCTAAACAGGGTGGAAGTCTTGCCCAGTGGTCGCACCTGTCAATGAGTCGTTGAATTTGAGCATCCCGCTGAAGCGGCCCGGCAAACTTCTCCAATCCCTGAGAGGGCGTACCCAACGTGCGCTGATATCATTTTCCTTTTCTCTTGATCAGCTGTTTCACAATGTGCGACACTGAAAATGGCAAAAGCCGGGGGTGAGAGATTCCAGATCTGTGGCCGCCATAACGGCCGGGCAGGTATTTAGCCCGTGGGAGATTGGCAAGGTGCCGTCATCCCCTTTTGTTTTTTTTTTAAAAAAAAAAGTAACTCTAGATAATTCAATTGTTAAACGGGATCAAAATTTCTTTCCTTTTTTTTCTTTTCTTTTTTCTAGTGTTGGGGGATCTCTTGTACGACCATGGTGTGACGATATGCACCGTTTTTGAGGGGGCATGGCCCTATTGGCAAATCGTCGTATCACCATGGAGCTTCCCAGATTCGAAGCTTGTGAAGAATTACATACAAGCTCAGCACCGCTGGTTAGATGGCAGGGCAAAGCCCTCCAACTCCCCGCTACCTGTGTGATGGAGCTGTTTCCGTATTCTAACCCTTCACTACGGAGTACGTGATTTTGTTCAGGACCTGTTGGTTGACATCAAAACCCGCATCCCGCTCACACGGCGGTGTCTCTCTCGAAACGTATTCCAAGGGGGATATATTCGCAGAGTGTCGTTTGAAGCAGCCTTTTTTTTTTTTTTTTTTTTTTTTTTTTTTTTTCCGGTGGGAAATGGTCCCAAAAGGTTCGCTGCAAGTTTTTCTCCTGGGGTTCATCCGCGAAGCTGCCTCATGACACGTGTCAGTGGAGGGCTTCCCCGGCGAAGCACAATGGGCTGTATGGCAGTCCTCCCTTGTAGGGCAGACGTCCTGTCTCCGGGGAATGGTAGTCGGCGTGCGTGTCGCGTGGAATCTCCGCTGGCAGTGCCAGATCCTCCATTTTTTTATAGTCACGAGCATCTCATGACACCTTCTCCCGCCGACTCGCGACCGACTTGCGAATGTCGGTATCACAGAAGGCCATTTCAGGGAGACGACAAAACAAAAGCACACAACCTGGCATTTTTCTGCCCGTGGAAGCTTCTACAGCGTTGGATCTCCCAGATCACACTCCCAGTAGTAGCAAAGGCCATGCAATTTAGGAGACAGACTTGTGGGGGTGTCTTCGAGGAAGTGGTTCAGAATGTCACGAAGAAGCCTCGCTGCAGAAAGTTTTGTGGGATTGCTTCGTCTCCACGGGCTTACCTTATCATCGTTTGGAAGCTTGAGGAGACCGGGGAGCTTGTAGCGAGTTACACGAGCGCTCTGGAACGGCGTACAAAAAGATCCCGGCGAGCTGGACGAGTGCGTTGCTTCCTGCCACAGGGGAAGCGATTCCGAGGCAGCCGAGTAACACATCCGATATATCACAAGCTCGAGCATGAGTTATATATCTTAAGCCTAGCCTATTATAGTGAGCAAGCTTCTAGCCGAGGCGTTTTGCTCCCTTCGAGTGACAAGATACATCCAATAAGCCCTCCCTGTCGTCTGTTGGGTACCTCGCATATGTGTAGCTGTCACGATTGGCATGCCCGCGATGACGTCTTGAGTTACCCCAGAGGCCTATGCGAGGTGTCAACGTGTCTAAACATGTACTCCAGAACATACCTGGTTTACATCGGGAAGAAGCATAATTCGTCATTTATTTTATTTTATTTTTTTTCTTTTAGGGCGCTGTACACACCCTCTCCCGGGGCGTCTTCTTGAACCAGCGGGATAACCCCTAAGTAGCTACCGACAGCCGTGAACGAGGGGAATTTTCCATCGTCCCGGGAGGCCGTGCCCTTGGAAAAGTGATATTTTTGGAGTATTTCTTTTCCCACTTTCACCCAAGCCGTGGCGGAATTCGAGCCGCTCGGGCTGACCAGCGAAGCCTTCGCGGGTTGGAACCGTCTCGGCATGCAAGAGTCGGCGAGTGAGTTGTGTCTCTGGCCCGTTTTGGTCTCTCCCTCCCTCTATTCCCCCCCTTTTATTCGGGGAACCACTCCATATGCATTATCATCAAATCAACAAGCGGAGATAAATGCACTGCACTCACGTTATGTGACTCGGCATTCTTTTCTAGCGTCGGAGCTGTAAGATCGGTTCTTGTCGAAGCGCTAGATTGGCGCTATTTAGCTACCTCCATAATTTCATACGTAGCTGGTGCGTGTGGATTGGCAGCTTCCCCTGATGGCTAAGGTAGCGGCCTGGGTTGACATCCAGGGCGTATTCGGAGCAGCACGATGTCTTTGGGCGTGATAGACGCGAGGCATCCAGACGCAATAGGTCAAAAAGGAAGGGGGCCTTCCTTTGGCTCGAAGCAAGGACAGCAAAGTATCTAAATTCATTCGTTTGTAGATATTATACATCGCCAAAAGGCCAAATGCATCGTAGCTGTGACCGTAACCATTACTGTACAGTTTAACTCTTCAAGGCCAGTATAGGGAATTGTTTGTCCTTCAAAGACTCTTATAGACCACAATCAGAGAGAAACAAAAAGGAAGCAAAACAACACCAAACAGAAAAAGTAGGTCTATCCTGTTCAATTCTCCATCCCAATGCAAGACGCCGAATACAAAAATGAGAAAGCCAACCACATGACGAAGTGAAGAAGATATTGTGTAAAGACGTACATGCTTTTGGTAGAAATGCATAGTGTATGTATTAGAAGATGTGACGTATTAAAGAAATGAGCATCATGACGGATGTTCACGAAGAAAGATAGAAAAATAAAGGAAAACTGTCGTTCGTGAAAGGAGATATACATACTTCCAGGGACCAAACGAGCCTCGTCCAATAGCTCAAAGCTTTCCCAGCCGCTATGAGCAAGGAAAAGCTGGGCACTTATTTGCTACTGCCTCCACTAAACGATCTATCAATAGCAGCGCCCGCTTGATGTGGTAATGGCTGCGTGGGATGTAAAATAGGAGGCCGTGGGAGCGGGCTATCACTCGGACCTGACGAACATGCCAAGTTTTGAGCCGAAAATTCCATTTCCCTCCGCCTTCGATCCTCCTGTTCAGGAGTCATGCTCTTAACCGGGGCTGGAATGGGAGCATCTGGAGATGATCGACCCATCAGCTTAGGGCTGGGGTGTAATTTCTGCACGGGAGGGAGAATAGCTGTATGTCCTATGTTGGGGGAGAAGGCCAGGGGCGCGCGAGGAGGTGACTGCTTCGTTGGGCTGAGACCTGACATGGCGACGGGCTGAGAATAATTAGGGGGAGGTGTGTGAGCAAAGGAAGCACGAGGCGTAGCAGAGAAAGAAGCAGAAGGGGTTTGGTTAACGTATGGGGAGCTAGCAACATGATGCGCTTGGTTATGGTTAAAAGGGGTGCTGGGAATGGCGCCGTCCGGGGTTGCTGACGGAGGAAAACCGGCCAACGGCCCAACATCACGATTCCCTTGCGTTGGAGACATAGATGGGCGATTCTGGATGGGGGAGCGGTAATTGCTATGGGCTGAGTAGGAGGAAGAGGGACGCTGAGAGTTGAAAGAGGTAGTTGTTGAGTGGGGTTGAGATGGGGTGGCGTAATGTTGGATAAATTTGAGCTGTGGTTCGGGTTGTTGCCCAGCAGAAACTTGGTGAGCTGGGAACCCTGGATGGCTGGGTTGAGCTGTAATGGGAGGGAGGCGTTGCGGTTGGATAGGCTGATAAATTGTCCCATTTTGCACTGGGCGTGGTGAAGGATGTGCTCCTGGAATCCCGTTCGGGATCATCTGAGCGGGAGAGAAATATGTTCCCTGGGGCTGCGAGATTGCGAGACCATTTACACCGGGATGCATTTCGGGAGCACCTGGAGGCTGCGACGCAGGGGCCTGAGCGGAGGGAGTGGGACGCGGTTTCTTGGGCTTCTTGACGGGAGACTCATCAGGCTGGCGATTCCGTTTTTCATCGTTGGCCTTGGTAGCCTCAGCGGATGGTGGCGACGCGGATGCCAGAATGCGGAACTTCAAGGGCGGGAGTTTCGGCCGTTTAGCGTCTTCAATACGTTGTTGACAATCCGCGCAGATGAAATGGAAGTCATCTTTCTCTGCCTCTTCCTTCGGGATGCGGAGACACTGGCTATGCTGCCACACGTTGCACTTTTCACAGGCGACGCTATGAGTGCCATCATCCAAGTTCTCTCCATGCACTCCACAGACAGAGCAGTCAAAAAACCATGACTCTTCACCCTGCAGAGCCTCGAGATCTTGTTTGCCTTTCTCCATCATGGCCTTAAGCTGTCGTTCTGAAAGCCTAGCCTCTCCATTCTCTAACTTCTTCGCTTGCTCTTCCATTTTAGCAAGATGCTCTTCGTGCAATCTCCTCTTCTCCTCGCGATCCTTGAGTCGTTGCTCTCGCGTCATGAGACGATAGATACGCTCTTTCTCAATTTGCTCCCTCAACTCTTGTTGCTTCTTCTCAGCGATACGCTCAGCCTCGTGTTTCTTTGCCTCCTCGGCAGCAAGAAGCTCTTGGCGTTCCTTTTCCTGCTTGTTTGCAATTCTACTAGATCTCTTCGCCGTCGCGAGTTTTTGAAGATTTATTAGTTCTTTCTCCCTGCGCTGAATCTTCTTCTGCTGCGCCTCTTCAGCCTTCTCTATTACTGGGATGACGTCGTTCACAATACGATCACGAAGAATTTGCTCGTTTGGATCCTTGGACTTTCGAAGCTTTTCGATAAATGCGTTGTATTCAGCAAGCGTGATAGCAATGCACTCCCACTTGTAGCCTTTGGATGGATCTTCGGTGGCGTCGCCGTTCGCTTGACCATCCTCCTCGCTCTTCACTTCATCTTCAGCGAGCTTCCTGCGTTTCGCAGCTCGCGCAGCTGCCCTCCCCTTTTTGGAGTTTGCTTTGGGCTTGGCAGGTCTGGGTGGCGGAATAGGAGGCTCAGTACGGCGATACAGTCTGTTATCATCGAGAAGGTAGTAGAGTCGCTCATCGCGATCATAGCCCAATTCTTCAATGCGCTGCCAAGCGACAGAAAATTAGTGAAGATATTCATATAGAAGGTAGCCAAAAAAAAAGGTGGGGCCTCACCCATTGAGTCTGCTCCGTTTCCTTTTGTTCCGGCATCCTTTCGCGGAATTTCTCCGGGTTCCATAGCGTCCAGGTAGCCAGCTGCTGCAGGATGCGTATCTTTTCGAACATATCGAACTCGTGGAACTTCTTCGGCTGTTCTTCATCGCCGAATGGGTTTCGTCCGGGTGCCTTTGCGTTATACTGGCGGCGGGTGTATTCTTCGAAATTTTCTCGACTGTAAGGGCAGTGCAAGGACAGCGGTTAGGCAAGGATGAAAGGAACGAAAGTGGACATGGAATGAACGTACTTTAATCCGCGGTGCGAGGAGACAAACTTGAGTAGCGACAAGCCGATTTCGAGCAACTTCTCCGAGTGTCCAGGTTTCAGGCACTCGGTCTCCAAATCCTATCCAGATATCATAAAACAATATTAGAACCAACCTCATTATAAAGCGTTATCGCGAGAGAAAGGAAAAGTAGAGGGTCTCAAGAAGAGAAAAAGAAAAGGAAAAACGCCAGCGGAAATGAAAGATAAAATGGAAACAAAACGCGACTTTGAAGGCTAGAAGCCAAAGGGGAACGGAAAAAAAAAAAAAAAAAAAGGCCGTACCTCGATGTCGAAATCATCGTCTATCTTCATGGACTTGCCGAACAAGAAGATGTACTCGACGAGATTGGCAAACTCCCACATGTTGCGCAGCCGATGCAGGAGTCCCCCATGTTCGTGAGAAACGCCGGAATCCACAGCGGAGACCGAGTGCTCCTCCGTTTCCTCCCTGGCACGCTTGCGCGAAACCATGGTGGAAGGGCGGACGAGGTGCGGAGGGAACACGGGATTGAGTTACGGGCGATCAGACGCGCGTGTTTGATGGATGAGGAACTTTGGAGGGGACTTGGGGGGGGGAAGTAAGAAAAGAAGGTATGGCGGCAGGGGAGGAAATTTGTGTTTGTCTTGAGGGTTGTGGAGGGAGCGGCGGGAGAAGACACGGTGCAATGGAGAGGCCGAGACAGGCACGGCGTTGAGCAGTTCTTGCAAAGGTCGTGGTGCAGCACCAGCGCGGCGGTCGTGAGCAAAGCGCAAGCAGGCAATTTTCACGATGTCACCGCCGGGCAAGGCGACCAGCGCCAAGACCGCGCTTGCCCTCTTCTGGAACTTCGCGTTTTGCCAAGATGCGCCATGCCGGATGTGGCTAGATACGCGAGCAAACGCGTGGTGATACGGACCGAGAGATAATCCGGTAATGGGACAAGACATGGAGCAAACCAAACAAACAGGTATCATTATGCAACTATTTCGATCAAACAAATCATCTATCTACACAACGCATCGAGAAAATTACCGCTTCAGAGCAAAAAGAGGCAGCATATGGCATCAAGCATGCAAGTTCTAGCGTCGCAGCTCTAATTTGCTCTATACCGGGTATATCCAACAAACCGACTTGCTGTGAATTACCTTACTGACCTGTGGGGAGAAAAAAAAAAAAAATGCGTCGAGTAAAGGTTATGTTCGTGGTGCGGCATTTAGTGAGGCGTTGTCAATCTACTTTCGAGACTCAAGAGCATGTTGGATGGCTGTTTTTATCACACGCATGTTAGTAATCCCGATGCTCGCGGTCGGTTTGGTTGAGGAAGGACTGGGCTCACCATCACATGAATTCTTCGCATCGCCAAACAACATCTTTGTTCCGGGCATGTAGAACATGGGGTTCGGTACATCGGCTAATTAACCGGTCAGAAAGATTAAAATCTCCAAATATTTCTCCCTCTGGGGCTGGCAAACGGGCTGACATACCGTAACCACTGGACATTCCACGCTTCATAACAATGACCTCCTTACTCTTCCACACGTGGAGCACGGGCATGCCGGCAATAGCGGAGCCTGGCTCAAGCGCAATCGGATTCACCGTGTCATTGGCACCGATGACCAGGGTAACGTCGGTTTCGCCGAAGTCATCGTTGATCTCATCCATCTCCAAAACGACTACGCATCACAGGTTAGCTTACCGACTTTACAAAATGAAGGGTGTGGGCGGTAAGTTTAAGCACATACTATCATACGGAACAGCTGCCTCCGCGAGAAGGACGTTGCACTGTCCAGGCATTCTTCCGGCAACAGGGTGAATGGCGAACCGCACTTTGACGCCTTTGGCTCGGAGCATTCGCGTAATTTCAGAAATCGCATATTGAGCCTTGGCGACAGCCATACCGTATCCGACAACCTAGTATTCCCTTAGTAAACAAGATTTGCCAGGGGGAAAAAAAAAAAAGGAACGTAGGAACATACAATAATGACACTCTCTGCATTTAGGAGAGCATCAGCGGTGTCGTCGACCGAAGTCTTTGTGATTTGCCCTTCAATCTTGTGTTCGGCTTGCGTTGGCGCAGAGATGCCACCGAACAAGACGTTGGTCAATGACCGGTTCATGGCAACACACTGGAATCGAATTAGCTGCACGGGCTACACTAGACTCTACCAAAGATTAAGGTAGACCTACCATAATATACGACAGAATGGAACCGCTGACTCCAATCAATGAGCCAACAGTGGTAAGCAACGGGTTATCCAACATGAAACCTTCTGCAACAAGAGCAAAACCAGAGTACGCGTTGAGGACAGTGATTACGACAGCTGTTTGAGCAGTGATTTGTTAGCGACTGGGCATTAAGCGTAGAAAAGAACATGGAAACTCGTACGCATGTCAGCGCCACCGATAGCAGCAGTGGTGGTATATCCCTTCAAGAAACTCAGAACCGTGCTTGTGCCCAAGCATGCAGCAGCGATGGCGGGTGAACCAGGAGCCATAGTCACGAACGCGCCCATAAGCGCCATGTTACTACCGAGTAGTGAGGAGTTAACCAAGTGTCGCCCAGGGAGGTTCAGCGGCCTGGATGCCATTTTCCCCGCAAGCTTAAGGAACGCGACGATTGAACCGGTGAAAGTGACACCACCTGCAATACAAATTAGAAATAGAACCGCCAAGTTTGAAAATCATATACCACGACCCACCAATGAGGACACCTAGATAGGCGGTAACAAGGTGCAAAGTAGAGATCGATCCAATATCCGCGAGGACGCTACCAATGCTGGTCAAGACAGCAGCCAGACCAACAACAGAGTGCAAAGCAGCAACCATTTGGGGGAGCTCAGTTGGCGTAATGCGACGGCCGATGATTGCACCTATACCCGCGTTAGCTTTCAATTCAGGGCCGTACGTTGAGCTTAGCTCCTACTCACCGAGGATACTACCAATACCAGCGACGCCAACGAACTGGGCGAGAACTTCGACGGGGAAGCCAACGGCGGCCAAAGACGCCAGGATACCGGAGCTAACACCTAAGATACCGAGCATGTTTCCTTGTCGTGCAGTTGCCTGGGAGGCAAGCCCAGAGATGGAACTGATGCAGAGAATGCTGCTCACGAGGTAGCCTGCCTGCACAAGGCCTGCCATTCCAGTGCTTACGGCGGCAATGTATCCTCCACCGAAGAGAAGACCGGGGATAGCATATAACCAAGGATACTCTGGGGGATCAGTGGGACCTGCAAAAGTGTCAGAGAGCTACGATATTAAGAGAGGGAAGCATAACCGACGTTTGAACATATCAAGCATGCGCTTGGTGATCACAAATCCACCGGATACGTTGACGAAAGCGAGAAGGACAGACAGAGCCCCGAGGGCCTGAGGAATGGTGCCAGGAAGATATCCACCACCCATGATGAACAAGCCTCCAACACCGACCATACCTAAGAAAGAAGCATGTTAGAAAATGATAGGAAGAGCTTGATTCACCTGTTGGATATCTCACCGGAGATCGCATTGGTCACACTCATCAGGGGAGAGTGCAAAGCAGGAGTCACACCCCAGACAACTCGATATCCGATTAGACCTGCGAGACCGGCAGTAAATACATTACTCATGAACAATGGGCCCGTAAATTTCCCGAGCGCGAGAGCTGATCCCATTCCCGCTGTCACGGTCGCCACCTCGCGGGATACCTTTTGGAACGGCGTCAGGGCAAGCTCAGCGGACTCCTTGGACACCTCTGTGCTTGCAGCCTTTGGCTGCGGCGTTGGAGGAGGTGCAGGTCGCGGTGCTGGCGGGAGAATTTCGCCGCCGTGAGTGACGATTGAGCCGCGTACGACTTCATCTGTAGGGTCGACACCGAAGTGCTTCTCTTCAGGGTTCATTGAGAGTAAGAACTTGGTAATGTTATTCGAGTACAAAGTAGAGGATTGCGTGGGAAGCCGGGACGGAAGGTCAGTGTAACCTGTATACATGTCAGTACTCCTCAAGTCCCAAGGTCTGAATGGCCGTTACGGACCGATAATAGTAACGCCATTTCGAGTCACCAACTGTCCCGGAACGGTCAACGTGCAATTTCCTCCAGCTTCAGCCGCCAGATCGACGATAACGGAGCCTGGTTTCATCGCGGCGACCATCTAAATTCTGTGTCAGCCTGGTCCAATCGAAAAATCTGGACCAAGTTTCCGTACCTCATCAGTGATCAGCTTAGGAGCGGGTTTCCCGGGGATCAGAGCCGTGGTGACAATGATGTCAACTTCACGAGCTTGCTCGAGGAACAGTTTCATTTCGGCCTCGATGAATTCTTTGGACATTTCTTTTGCATATCCACCAGCTCCAGAGCCATCTTCTTGGATATCAACTTCGATAAATTCAGCTCCAAGAGATTGAACTTGCTCTCTCACCGCGGAGCGAGTGTCAAAACCGCGTACGATTGCACCCATCCGACGCGCCTAGCAAGGTTAAGTATCGTATACCCTCACTATCACACCAGGGTGGGAGGGAGCTTACGGCAGAGATTGCACTAAGACCTGCGACACCAGCACCAATGACCAGGACTTTGCCCGGAGGGATCTAAAAGCGAATTAGTGGACATCTGTAGAGATGCAACATACGGAAGGCATCCTCGAACCTTTCTGTAAAGCGTTTAAACGATTAGCTTGAGCTTCTAGGTAAAGAAAATTTCCCCGACGAGTTGTGAACACTTACCCAGCTGCAGTCACTTGACCGGGTAAAAACCTGCCGAAGTGATTTGACGCCTCTAAGATGGCCTTGTAGCCCGCAATATTTGCCATAGAACTGTACAAGACCCATTCTCATAAGCATCTATTATATCCCCCTGGATACGTAAAACATTCACTAGGTTTCACCACACACCTCAACACGTCAAACACCTGAGCACGAGAAATGCGAGGAATCATATCCATTGCGAACGACGTCACCCGCCGAGCGGCCAACGCCTCCACGATACTCTTATTCTGCGCCGGATACAGGAGTGAAAGTAGCGTTGAACCTTCGCGCATCTGGTGCACCTCGTTGATATCTCCTTCGATCCTAGGACCGCGGACCTTGAGTAGGATGTCGCTGTCCGCCCATAGCTCATCGCGCCCAACCACGGTCGCGCCCGCACTCTGATACGCTTCATCTGGGAACTTGGCCTCGGAGCCGGAACCGCGTTCGACGAGCACGCGACTGAAGCCTTTCTTGAGGAGAAGGGCTGTATTCTGAGGCGTGAGAGCCACACGGCGTTCGTTGAGGTAGGTTTCGAGGGGAACGCCGACCGTGAGGGCTGAGTACGGGACGGAGGTGATGAGATTGGAAGGGGTAGTTTTTAGTTTATCGTCTCGTCTCTGTGCAGTGCAGGAGAATGTGCGAGACTGGAAAGCTACGGTGGGCAAAAAAAATAGAGACGTCGTTAGAAAGATGTGATCGCCCCAGAAAAACAAAAACAAAAGAAGGAAAAAAGGCGAGCTGCCAGCCTTTAAGATATTGAAGGGTTCGTACCTGAAAGAGCGAGCACCAGACGCCTCTGGAACCCCGCACGGGTACCAGTTCGACACGGGCGCAGGGTGTTGACAGGCCTCATTGTTGCGGACATTGTTGTGATTGTTGTTCAGCCGCTGAGGTCTCGGTCAACGAAACAAAACAGAGGGACCGGCTACCATCTGCCAGGTGTCTGTTAGCAATCGGGTGTGCAAGACGCACGGCTGTAGAAGTCCGCCGCTCTGATAGAGAGAGAGAGAGAGAGAGAGAGAGCGTGAAGTGCAAGCGGAAGTATACGAAGTATAGGTGATTGGTTGCATGTATAGTTTTATCACTCGACAGTTGAAGGGCAGGACGGCAGATGGCCGAGCTTCAGGAACGAGGGGTCGAATGTCACCAAGCCCTGGTCCTGTCAACAATGCATGGACAGTCTGACGATGAAGAAGCGAAAGCCTGATGGATGGCGTAGTAAGGTCGATGGGAGCGGAGAGGTGCTTGTACTTTGGGTACTCGAGCTAGGGTCGTATCTCGGGCGTGCGGGGGTGGCCAAGGGACGTAGCACGCGTGACTGGGGGATTTCGCCTGGCCCGGTTTGCTTGAGCTTGTGCTGCCGTAACAGCCAGCCCCGATGGTACCTTTTTTTCTCCCTGCTCCGGGTTGAGAAATCGGAAGCAGATATCTTCAGATTCTGCGTTGACGCCGACGAACAGCTGCCACAGATGACTCCTGCGTGAAAACTCAAAAAAAAGAAAAGTATTAGTGAGTTCTGATCTGAGTTTACGGGCTGCGGGGACCTGTGTGGGTGTGGCTCTGTTCCAGGGCCCCCTGGACCAACCGTTTCTTGCTTGGACCCGGCGGGATCTAAACGGCGGGACTCCGATGGCGCTTGAGCATCGCAGGTTTCCGAGCTGTGGGACTTCTTGTCCGCCGATTACGGAATTCTCACTGGCTGCTGTTTGCACCATCCTGGACAATTTGTTTGCAGGGGCCGTTCCCTAACTTGCCCACTGCTCGTCCAAGAGTGGTTATGCCAGGATCTGTGGAAACCAATCATCAGAATTTTGGCCATGCAAACTAAAAAAAAAGAGGTCCTGGACGTCCAGATCCAGCTCGAAGCCAACAACCGACCAGTCAGCGAATGGAGTGTATCCTGAGGATCAAAGCTTTTTAACGAGATCATGCTGTCATTTCTCCCGACGAATCCGTCGACGAAGCATTGGGTTTCACGAGGAACTACATAACTAGGTATCTGTAAGGCCAATTGGCCGCTCCAACACACTACCGGGCGAATAGAGCGCCGTCTTGGACACAAATCTTATCAGCTTGCTCCTTCTGCTCTACTGGAGGTGTTTTGTCCAAATCTTCCTCGCCTGTTGCTTGAAGTATGGGGAGACTTCAATTGGCACCAAGAGTTGACCTCGATAAGTCTGGATAGCAACATGCTACGGGGAGGTTCCTTTCAGCTTGAAAAAAAAAGAGCATCCACTACATATCCGTCAAGCAAGAACTTCCTTCTCCTTTGCTTGAGCCAGCTTCTTGAGGCCTGTTGCTTTCAGGGTCCCCACGCGAGTTACGAGATGTCGTCAATGTTCGGGGGTGTGGAATTGACGCTTGTGGGCGAGGAACCAAGCTGTTGCAATAGAAGCACATACGTTGGGTCGTTGAGGCTCCTTCGTCCATTGAAGCGTCATATTTAACTCCAGCGCACACAGCATACACTTTCTCACTGTACTGCACAAAAACATAGCCATTGCATCTCTAGTTCTCGACTTGGGGCAAAAGTATGCATGAGGAGTGTGTTATGGAAATACTGATTTCAATTCATATTTCCTGCTTCAATCTGAATTTCGCGCGGTATCCTTGTATGAGTGGACGGTGTGAATTTACCACTGTGCATCATTGTCGCCATTGCTGAAGTGAGCAAGCTGCGGAGATCGAATCTCTCTTATCTTCGAGCCGATTGCTGTAAACTGCAAGGGATACGGAGTACCTAAAGACATGTGCGTCAGCTGGGCGTTGCAGGTTTCGCATTGCCTCCACCCGCTCATCAAATGGCGCATGTAATCCGGGAGAGTTATTTGACCTGTACTCGGTCGCATCTCGATGGCTGTGATATGAGGCTTGGATATGGATGAGCTGTGATCGCGATGTCATCTGTTCATCTCGGGTTCGCAAACTCTTGATCAATGACAATAGGGCGCGGGGACGAACACCGTTTTTGTATCCTAGAAAGAAAATCTGACGCCGGGCAGCGGACTGACATAATAATGAAACCCTGGCAGCGACTCCGTATTTAGCCTGACCTGCTAGACGAAGCCCCAGACGCAGCTGAAGCAGCGCGACGAGGAAATCAGCCTGTGGGCCCCGTGGCTGAATCCGCGATGTCGGAGGACGAATTGCGACTCCGGAGGCGCAATGGGAGGATCCGCTTCCGCACCCAATTTAAGCTCGCGAACATGTGAACCCAACTTCCCATCAAGCTTCAACCTTGGGAGGCCACTTCCTTTGACCTTTTCGAATCTTCGATGGGTGTTCAGATGGTCGCTGAAATTGTGTGAAACCGGGACGGATGAAATGAGGCCTCCAATTGAGTTGAGCGGACTTCTTTTTTATAGGCGGATGGCACGGGGCTGGATGACTTCATTAGGAACGAGCTGAAGAGTGCGGCTCGGTTTCCAAGGGACGCGTCCGTCGCAGCGAGCCGGGAGAACGAGCCAGAGCAGCGGGTACCTGGGCGAGACATGAGCGCGCAGCCGAGCTCCAGGCCAGTGTCATGTACCAGAGAGGTCCCGCGCAGTTACCAGAAGCGGCTTAGAGCCAATTACGTTCGGAGCGTCGGGGTAACACATTGGCCAATCAGCAGCGTCAATGGGGGTGTGAGTCACAGCAGCGGGTCCACCCTGTTGGCGCTATACCTGATCCAGGATAGCTGCTAGGTCGGAGTGCCGAATCAGGCAAAGCGTGAGGGTATTTTCAGCCCCACGACCCGCCGCACTGCAATTCGCCCAGCCGAAGAGCTTAGGTAATGCACAGCCGGCAGCGGCCTCATATTAACTGCCTGGCAGCCTCCTTTTCCCCCGCCGCCCGTCTTTTCTCTGCCTCTTCTCTTCTCTTTTTTTTTTTCAACCCACACTCACAATCTTTCCCACACAGTATTCACACAAACCATCTACAATCACTCTACATTTAAAAAGAAAAGGTCAATCAGAAGGGATAGTCCATCATGACGGCCTTCTAAGCTTCTTCGCTTTTTGCCTTCTCTCTTTTCCAAGGAAAGAGACAACACCGTAACCATACTCTCCTCAACCACTCCGGTCTACCCCCAGTTTCACACTTCTTCAGAGCTTCCTCGTGAAGGACCTCTGAACTTAGGCAACGCTCTGCGCAGCTCGAGTTCCCAGACTCCAACTCCAACCATCACGTTCGACTTTACGTCGTTCACCACGGATAACCAACAGTCAACATGGCCTCCTCAACCCCCATCATCCCAGCAGCCTCCGGCTCCCTCGAATCCCCTGCACGCTCCTCACAACGACTTCGTGCTCTTCCCCGCGCCGTCTCGCATACGCGACTGGAACTCTCCCCAAGCGAATCCCCCTAGACCCGCCGTCCCGCTGAACCCTGCTTCGGCACGCAATTTTCGTCGTCACTCTTTCCTCGCCCAGCAACACCAGCACAAGCTGCAGGCTCGTTCGTCCGGCTCGCCCGTTGCTCAAGACCCGAGAGTGGCAAGCATCATCGGTCAGTCCCAGGGGCTCTGTGTCCCGTCAACTTGGTCTCCTCCTCGTCCACGCGTGAATATCTCGCCTCAGCAGCGCCGAAACGCTCTGTTGCTGGCCCGCGGCGCTTCACCGCATTCCGTTCGTCCTCCAGTTCCCCTCTTTCCCGGTACGGGAAGCAGTACACCACAGCATCCACAGACACAACATCATCGTCGAGCGATGTCTACGTCTAATCTCCCGCTCGGTATGGTGTCTCTCTCTGCATCTGCCGTGCGTCTTGTGGCTAACCAGCGTCCAGATATCGGAACCCTCCTGGATCTCTCGACGGACCAGTACGTCGAGGACCTGGGCTCTTCTTCCCACGGTTCCTTGTTAGATCAAGATCAGCTCGATCAGCTTATCAACTTCAATTCTGTCGTAGAACAGATGCCCGCCCAGACCGTGTCTCCAAAGGACTTGATGATGGACTCGTCCGCCCCACCGTCAACCTCCTTCACCGACATGAGCACTCCCTCGTTTGAGTCCCCCGGCTACTTCAGCCATGATACCTCGCCGCTCATTGCTACTGATTCGGACCTTGGCCCCGGCCATGAAGAGTGGGAGTCGTTGTTCCCGGTTGAATCCGCGATGCTTCCAAAGTTCGATGAGAAGGTGCCTCTCTGCTCACCAAAAGCACCCAGCGCGCTCATCACACCTATGACCCGCACTGCATCCTCTCCCGGAGCATCTCCCCGCAACAGCCGGTCTTCAACTCGCCCTTCCTCCATCTCTGGAGTCAAGCCACGCAATCGAGATAAGCCTCTTCCACCAATCGTTTATGATACCAGCGATCCTGTTGCCGCCAAGCGTGCAAGGAACACAGAAGCTGCTCGCAAATCTCGCGCCCGTAAGGTCGAACTCCAGGAGCAAATGGAGCGTCGCATCGCTGAATTGGAGAAGGCCTTGGAGGATAGCCGTCAACGCGAGGCGTACTGGAAGTCTCTCGCGGAGACTCAACAGTAAAAATGGTCTTGCTCTCTGCTGTGATTCTTTTTTTCCGACTTGGATTGATCTTGTACTGTTTTGTTTATGTGATACTGTGTGGGCCTGTGATGATGGGCGGTTCGAGCCATGCCTTGATCGTCCAACCGCATCGACGATGATCCGTTGTTTGAACGGTAGTCATGCGCGATCGTTATAAAAGTTGGTTTTTCGGAGGATTTTTCTGATGTCATTATTATCTCCGTCCTCTCGTGTTCAAGAAACTTATTGTGTGTGTGTTTTTCTTCGGCATGCACTCCTGTGCCGCTGTGCGTTCCATCTTCATTTGCTCCGTCTGTTCCATTTTTATATTTAGGCCGGTTCTGACGTCTCCTCGACCCTGTTTGGCAGGATTGACTCGTGGCCTTAATGTGACATGTTCATCCTACCACTTTTCACAATAACAATATTTACCAATCTATTTATTGTGCGTTTGAGACGAAACTCGTAAGTGAAAAGTGGAGCGATTCCATTCTGTCGCTGAGGGCCTCGACCCTTAATTCGTTTACCGGCTTGTATCACCAACTCTTTGATCTCGGTCGTGTTGAACATTTAAGTTAGGAGAGATGCTCTCCATCTTAGGTTTAGCAGTAGGTAGCCAAGACGGGGAGTGACATAGATTTTGACGGTCATTCACTCGTATTATTGTTTTTCCTTCTTTCTTTTGGGGCGAGACCGTGCCATCCCTGCCGCATTGATGTATCGCATTGCCAAAGAAAAAAAGAAGAATAACCCGGCAACTCCGTTCCGGGCAGTGATCAGGTGCCCTTCTCCCATCCCCCGCAAGACTTTCCCGCCGGCAAATTCATGAATGCCGTTTGCAATTCCCCCTGTTACACGCCTAACACCCGGAAGGCGGAAAAAAAGAGAATAAACCTAAGAAACTAAGTATCATACACGCACTCCCTACAAACTGCTTTAAGAAATTAGAAAAAAAAGGAGCTGGTGGTATTATGTCCTACTAGCTAGCTATGGAGTTTTTACATATTGATTATTCAGGTACATGCGAAAAAAGCTTTAAAAAAAAAAAAAAAAAAAAAAGAAAAAACCACCAACAACAAAAGGATATCAATTCCACCCTCCCCCCTCTTTCTTATTTCTCCGCCGCACGTACGATCAAGACTGTCATTTTCTGTACTTGTGCTCTGCCAAAGGGAATAAACAGACGGTGAGCAAGCACACTAGGGCTGTTCTTCCTATGAGAGGCTGCACAAGGAAGACTCGGGGCGAGGATCGAACCTGCGCACCGGCCTGTGAGGCAAACAGTTCAGAAGGTAGCCCCGGGGCCGGGGGGGGGGGGGGGGGGCCAATAGAATGTGCAAAAAAAAAAAAAAAAAAAAAGGATGGATTAGAGAAGCAAAAAGATGTATGTGGACATCTAAAAGAGCACAGAGAAACCCGATCAGCTTCCGTCATCCATTCCATTGAGAAAGCGGATGGTTGGAAGCCCAAAAGCCCAAAGCCCCATCTTCTCAGCTCGGTAACGAGGGAAAAAAGAAGGGGGAAAAAAAAGGAAAAGGAGAATACCACCCATCATATCGCCCACTGAAATGAACCAAATATTGCTTTTTTGTCCAAAAAAGATTGAAAAGCCGCACCGCACATCAGGGAAGCATTGCAGATCAGAGAGAACAAAAGCGAAGTAAACAACCCCCACAAACTTGAAACTAAGATGGTCTCGCTAATCCCACACATCAATAAGAGAAAATATGCTGTTTGTGATATCAACCATAGGGGCAACTTGCGAGGAAACAGTGAAGACATGAGTTTTGAAACAGAAGGGCATAAAAACTCCCAGAAGACCATATATCGCCACACACCTATTCCCCGATCGATTCCCCATAATCCCCACACGCCAGTGCCCATGAGCGAAAGAATAAAAAAACATCAAAAATAACAATGCAAAAGCAACTTGGTAATAAGCAGCTAATGAAAACACCATTGAACGCGATTGAAACGAAAGGGGGTATGTATCAGACGGACAAAATCCGCCCACACATGTAGAAAAGGCGAGGAAAAAAACAGGCAAAATCTGGTACATGGTATATGGCAAAAAGGCTTCCTTATCTCTTTCCCCGCAACTCTCAAATGCTCAAAGAGAATTAATCACACCAAAGTAAAGCGAGGGGAAAAAGAAAAGAAGCAGCAGCGTTTCTTCCCCTTTTTTTTGCTTTCCTGTTTGTCACCATATCTATAAAAATGACAGGATCCTTTTTATATTGCCGATTATTTTCTTTCTTTTTTCTTTCACAATGATAATTGTGAATATCGAGGGCCTTCTGCGCTAAATGGTAGGACCTGCAGACGTGTCGACAACGTTATCGGAGAGGTTGATGAGAAGCTGAGCAAGGCATCGTTTCGTGGCAGCATCGTCACGGAGAACAGAGGAGAATGTAGCATCACGAAGTGGCTCCGGCAGACATTGACGAAGGGCTTCTCTCGCCCGGTTGTTGTCGCTAAGTCTAATCATCATCACAGTAAGCGGATAGGTCTCTCAAGGCTAATTCCCAGTGGAGAACTTACCGAAGGAAACAGCGCACGACGTGCTTGAGCAATCTAACTGTCTGCTGCTCAACAAGCTGAGTGACCATGTTGCTCAGGACTGAGCCGACAGCATAGAAACGTTCGTACGTGGCACAGATGTAGGCGAGACCGATATCGTCGAGCAATATTTTTTGAACGATAAAGATGGCCACGGTCTTGCTCAGCTCAGATCCGGTTTCCATGATCCGTAGACAGAGGGGGATGATTTCAGTTGTAAGAAGGAAGTTGATGACATCCGACGAATCATTTTTCACCAGAGCACCGATCACACCCAGGGATGTGAGGCGAAGGTATTCAAAAGGGCGGGACTTTGAGGTGGTGTTGAGAAACGGGTAGAGGAAGAGTGGAATATGAGCTACGGAAAAAGATCCATTGGTTAAGAGCCCCACAACAACAGACACAATGTGTGTAGCAACCTTTTTTTTTTTTTTTTTTTTTTTTTTTTTTTTTTTGGTTTGGGGAGGGGGGAAAACAATCTCACCATTCAGAAAAAGAGTCCGCGTTTCATTGTGAGAGGCGACACACTGCAAGAGAGCAAGGGCGTTGCAGACTCGGTTTGACGCAGCGGCAGTCAACTGGGAAGGATTCAGCAACGGGTAGACGGAGATTATCTCCTGCAGCAACGATGTCATAACACCTGCGTTCAGTTAGTACCTTAAGGAACGTAACTGCGACAATGAAACGAAGTGGACGGAGGGACATTGACATACCGAATGAATGCCATATGATCAAGGCCAACTCGGGGACCTGCTCTCTCTTCTTGCTCAGCTCCATGAGCGCAGTCTCCCTCCGGCTCGGATCCAGCAGCTCAGCAACCCACACGAGAACCTTGCGATTCTCCTCGCTGATCATGCTGTCCATGTTTGCAGCAGCTCCGAGGGCGGTGCTATCGGGACCGCCCTGAGCGGATTGGGGATTGTTCGCAGAGGTGGCACCGCTCAGCGCAAGGCGATTGTAGTGTGGGTGCTGCTGCTGTTGTTGCTGCTGCTGCTGCTGTTGTTGCTGTTGTTGCTGAGCTACAGCTGCGGCCACCTGTTGAGCCTGTGCCTGTGCGGCATGCTGGGCCGCAAGGGAGTGATGCTGCTGCTGCTGTTGGAAGTGCGACTGGTGCTGTTGATGTTGCTGGTGCTGGAGCCAGGTGGAATCAGCCTGGGGGTACTGATGCTGGTGGGAGAAGAGGTGTTGAGTCTGAGCCTGGAGCATGATGGGAAGTATGGAGAGTGGACGTCCCTCTCTTCTCTTTTCTAGCCCTTTCTGGAGGATTTCACTCTGGGGTAGAGGCCCCGAGTGGTATTTGTCTGGAAGAAGAGCGGCGATTCAGCGGGATCGTGTGGCGCGAGAGGCATGTAGATAAGCAGGGTGTCTACGAGAGAATGGTTCAAGTAGAGTGAGGGGGAAAGTGAAAAAAAAAGAGAGAGAGAGAGAGAGAGAGAGAGAGAGATCAAAGAAGGGCGAGCGAGCTGGTTGTGGCTCGAGACGCCGGAGTGGGAGGGTGCTGACTCAGCGGACCGACGGCTTTTCACTTCGTTGGTCGAACGAGTCAAAGTTTCGCGATCACAACGAAGATCGCCCAGAAGCCAGCACGGAGCACTGCTTCAAAGCAATCCCTTCCGAGCCCTGTTGCACTCAGACCGAACCGGATCGCCAACCCCCGCCGAGAGGCTCGCGGCGCCAGGGGCAACCACTGGCGGACGATGCGCCCAGCCCTCAGCAAATCAGCTCGAAGCAGGCAGCTCTACAGCTTCGGCTGCAGCCCGGAGGTGTCCGATTGGCGAATGCGCAGGGCTTGAGCAGTTTTGTTACGATCCATCTCATTCACAACCAGCATCAGCGCTTGATCGAACCAACGTGATTATGTTCGTATAACTACTACTATGTATGTACAGGAATGCAGCCTTTAATTACCAGCGAGATCCATCAAGCGTAACATCATACATCCGTTGAAATCCATCATGCGATGGCCCTGAAGCCTCCTTGCGACTTTCTGGTGCCAATATGTCCATCGTCTAATATCCTTTATAGCACATTCAATCCGCCCACAGGCTGTCATCATCAACTCGGCGTAAAATAATGGCTGCTGGCCAGATCTAACACCACATAACTCCCAGAAGATACTTGGAAAGCGAAACAAAAACGTCCATGCGCAAATCCCAGAGCCCAATCCACATTATCCCAGGTCGGATCATTACTGTCGTTAGAGAAAAGGGTTTCGTTTTCTGAAAGAACGGGGGAGAGGGGAACAAAGCAGAAAAAAAAAAAAAAAAAAAAAGAAAAGGAAGGGGGGGGGGGGGAAGGTCTTGGAAGTGGTTCGGTGAGGCGTTGATCGAGACATTGTTTTGTCCAGTAGCGGTGGTGTAACTCGCCTCAATGCGATCCATGGCTTCTGGAGCCACGGTCACTCGGGTATCCTCGATGGCTGCGTGGTGGATGGTGACCGCTGCGTGGTGGACGGCCGCTAGAAGGGCTACTCGAGCTGCTCTCGGACGACGACGCGGTGTAGTACGAATAATAACTCTTCTCAGACCTTTCCGCTCTCTGTCTCCTTAAGCCCAAGCACAATGCAATCGCTCCAGCGAGGAATCCAATGCTCAACCACTTAGCCCATCCAGACTTCCCGTGCTCCGACGGTGGCTGTCCCCCGTGCCAGCCTCCATGCCCGCCGCCGCTCTCAGAAGCCGAATACATGTAAGACGAGGAGTAGACGGTTGACGGTGGATGTGGACGCCCACCACCGAACACGCCGCGGATGCGACTGGCGATGCTTCCGACGCAGAAGCAGAGGCAGAGCAGCAGCAGCACAAACGCCCCCGCAAGAGACCCGATCACGATACCTGCGATCGCCCCGCCGCTGAGCCCGCCGCTGCCGTGGGTGATTCCGCCGATCAACGTGCTCCCGTCGGTGCTGATGGCTGGGATAAAGCCAACGGTCGTGGTTGGTGCCTTTGTGGCCGTCACGGTCGCGTCGCTGGTCGGTCTCGTTGGCGGGCTAGCCGAAGGAAATGGGGAACTGCCTCCTTCGACACAGACGCCCTTTGCATTGCATGTTTCTGCGGCAGTGCAGCAGGTATCCCCGCACGGAGTCTCACCCAGGGAAATTCTGCATTGCGTGTCTCCGGGCGAGGTCGGGGAGGCGGCGCGACTGCCTGTCGAGGTGACCACTACGAGATCTGTCCGAGTGTATATCGTCGTGAAGTACTCCCACTCGCCCTTGGAAGCGGATCTGCATGCAGCTTGGCCGTCGGAATTCGTGTAGCATTCTTCGGACTGCTGACAGCACACCTGGCCGTAGAAACCACAAGGATTGGCGCAGTCGCGGTGTATGAGGATATCATGACTGGGCGACTGGGTAGGGAATGGCGAAGCATATGTCGGTAGAGGTGTGGCCGCAAGGAGCGCAACGACGGAGAGGGCCGTCGACCGGTGGGTTGCTCGTCGCATCCTGGAGCAGGGGCTTCGGATATGATGTATATATGTATGTATATAGCGCGTGCTGGTGTGCAGTTTAGACAGCGAACGGTAATTGAGACCAAGGAACAACAGAAAAATAGCCGTTAATCATGAATGACGTGACCAACACCCGGTGCAATCGGAGTTGGCCGCAGAGTGTTATGATCTGAGCTCCTGACCTCCGTTGCCAGGGAGGATGATGGGCTGGGAGAGAATGTCAACAACACAGCGGTTCTCGCCCGGTCCGACGAGGAGAGCTATTCGAAATCCGGGAACACAGACGAATGTAAGAGACAAAAGAGGAGATAGAAAGAAAGGCAAAGGTAAAAGGGAGAGGGAAAAAAAAAGATTTCGTGTTTGTGAACCAGAAAAGGCTGGGTATTTCACGTCACCACAGCTCGGTGGGCGGGAAGTCTCCCAGCCACCCGCTCCATCAATGCCCAACCACCGACTTTCTCGGCCAGGGCGATCGCAAGCGATGCAGTTTGCTGATGAAACAGCGATGAATAAAAATAGCGAGAGGACAACCACGCAGGATCGCGATGGTGCTCGAGAAAACGGTCCCGGGCGGCATCAACTCTATCAAGTGCGATGATGGATTATGTTGGCGATGCGGGGGACCAACACGCCCGCGAACGACCACGCAACTGGCCAACGTTGGCTTGCTCGAGATTTTCCCTGGCAGACAAAACCCCTGGAGATGCGCCAGGCCTCACCGGTTCTGCTTGATCGCCCATGAGAATACGGAGTATGGACCAATCGACGGTTTGGTGAAGTTGGAGGATACCACGATCAATACAGGCATATACTCCATGCTTCTGAGCCGGTTATCCTTCGTCTTGCGATCCTATCTTCGGCCATTGGCGATGTAGCATTGAAGAACGCACTCTGGTTTTGGAAAGCAACGGGCACGGGCCCATTCTCTTCTCCCTGAAAGCTCGATCATCGCCGCCAAACCCGATACTTAAGAGGCGCTTAACTGAGACACATTTCTCGAGACTGTCCACTAAATGGCAGGATGGCAAAAAACACACTTTGCCGAACCAGCTTATACACACCTTTGTCTTGGCTCTCCTGCTAACGAAAAGAAAGTTCATGACGGACAAGAGGTTGAGATTGTTTATTTTCCGGATTGTGAAATGCTAACAGATTATCTATATATATGATACAGTCAAAAACTGTAAAAAAAAATTCCTACCAAGGGAACTCCTCCATCCGCAGCATTCTTATTGCTGACTCGTTGCATGGAAACACACTGAGCTGAACATGAACGGGATGGCGATAGAGAAAAATAAGATCTGAAAGGGGAGGGGAAAAAAAAGGAAAAAGAAAAAGAAAAAAATATAGAAAAATGCACGACCCGAATGCGATGACGATTTGAGAGTAATCGCTCTCGGTGCCCAGCTCTATTATGTGGTCCAGGATATCTCCGTGGCGAACGTTGACTTCGGGACATCATCAGGCGGTGCTCGCTCCTGACTAAGGCGCCTAAAACTGTAGGGGTGAAGGGGACACGGCCACATTTCGGCCCTCGCATGATATGGGAATCTAAAACCATCCCACGGGTTCTCAGGCTCGTCGTAAGTGAGCTTTATTCCGAAGCGGCTTATCTCCCGTTGCAGGTTATTGAGCATCACCCAGGGATACAGATAATACCGGTCTCCAGGACACATATAAATCTTATTGTCAAACTGCACCTTTATTTCCTGCAAGGCCGGGCGTTGCATATAGCTGTGCTCCGCGAATTCGTAGAGCCATTGCACGTCCGGCTTTCCGAGGTCCGCGCTTGTGTTGGCAAACGTATCTCCGTAGAAGTACTCCAGGACCAGGCGGCGCAGCTTTGGACATACAATCATATCGGCCGTGTCCCTGAAATCTCCACAACCGCCGGTGAGCATATGCCCCGGAATTTGGAGTGTTTCCAAGTTCGGAAAGTTGAACGTGGCCATGTTCCATGCCCCGCGTGGGAAGTCGAGTGGTCGCAAGGTGAGGCTTTTCAATGAATCACGGCACTTCCTCAATACGCGGGTCAACGCCGGCGGCTCAAGGTGTCGACAAGGCGGGAATTGGGCCGCCATTTCGAGGGTGAAGTGTTCTAGTTTCGGGAACATCATCACCAAGGCCTCGAAAACTCCACAATGAAAAAGCTCGGAATTGAGGAGCTTTAGAGAAGTGACAGTGTCGCATCTCTTCTCTGCATACTTAAGAAACAGGTCTGCTTGTGTCCTCCAATAACCGGACAAGGTGAGACTCGTAAGTGCCGGAGGGAATCTTCTGACAAGGAGTGCTAATTCACCCGATATCTGCGGTTGGCTCAACTTGAGGCTTTGCAGTGGGATTGACGATATGTGGAATATGAGATGCGGCCAGAGTCGCGAAAAGGTATCGCCACCGAGTTCAAGCGTTCTAACGTTGGTGAGGAGAGTAAAGATCTCGCCAGCCATTCGTGTTTTGAGAAGCGGCATGTGATGGAGAATCAGGTGCCTGCAGTGTCGGCGCAAGTCCGGTCTGCTTTTCAACGTATTGAATAGGCAGATGACTGGATCGCCTATCGGGTAAAATCCATGCTCTATCTTAGCGCCTCCGAATTGCATGCTGCGATAGAGATATGGCGTGGCTGTGGCATAGAACCGTCTGCAGGCTAACGCTACTGCCCAGAAAGTGCCGTTCCAAGTACGGCCCCGCTCATGACAAGGAGGGTTGACGTCGACAAGCCAGTCAAAGATTTCGAGAAGAAGCTCCTTCGGTAGCTGAAGGATATAAGGTACTGCTGGGATTGTTTGATCATGCGTAGACACCATGACCGGCAGGATATATATTATTCGGCTGTACCGTAAACCGTATGTAAATATATATATCAGCCCGCGAGGCAATTAAGGGAAATATATATTTGAAATCGCAAGAGAAGAATTTATAAACGAGTCATTGCGAGTAGGGACATATATATATTCATATATATATGAATAGGGAAGAAAGCTCTCCGGGCGACATCTCCGTTTATATAGTATCGACAAACGTCACGACAACATCATTCTGTCGTTTAAAGCATGTACCGCTGGAGTCATCCCTATGAATCACCAAGGCCGGTAAGGACAACCATAGAACCTTGTATGGGTATCATAGTGCAAAGGAACATGAAGCGAACAACCTAAGTACGCCGTTCTATGGAATATTTCCAGAATCCCAGACGCAAGGGCAGTTTTCCGCGGGAGCAACAAGACACACATGCTCTGATCAGCGTTGAGCTCCGGGTAGCTACCGTCCCCAAAGCTGTTTCTAGGAGGTAATGCGCATCTCAATCAAGGTTGCGCCAGCAGCTCTGACTCATGAGAGTTTGTGATTATTCTTGAAGACAGCTTCATGACATCGGTAGAGAGAGGGTAGTCATTGTCACCGTGGTTGAAGGACCAAGGGTCAAGAATATGTAGCACTGAAACCCTGATTTCTTGGTTAGGATAACATGGAGAAAATCAAACATGCATTTTGTACTCTTTCCACTGCATTTGACTTGAAAGACCGTCGCCAGGCTCAAGTCTATCAAGGCTTATTGAATTTCAAGGACTAAGCGAATTTAATAAGGAGGGAAAAAAAAAAAAAATAAAATAAAATGAAAAAAAGAACTCTCCAAAGGGGGTCCAAAGGGCCCATGATTCATGAAGCCACCCTTTAATATTGTATTAATTAGAAAGGATTGTGTGTGTTGAAAAGCATAGCAAAGCAAATCCTCATTATGGACAAAATCCTGACGAACAAACACTATTGAACAGCATTATGTGCGTACCTTTTATGTGAAATTAATGCTCCCATACCCTGTGAGTGCAATATGTACAGCGTAAATCAATAGACATAAACCAAGAGTAAATGGACATCACGGCATAGCGATACCTCCCTTTTTCCATTCAGAGAGAAGTCGTGGAAAGTACGAATCGGACATAATATCATCTTCTCGTTTAAGCAATCATCCCTGCAAGAGCGATCCCGAGTCCGGTCAGGATCTCGTAAAGAGGCGAAGTCCTGGTCGATGGCGGCGATGCCCCAGAGCTACCGTCCTGGAAAGCGGTGCAGTAGGCTTCCTGAAGACCGTAGCAGGCTTCGCGACTGAGACTAAGGCAAATCGACTGGGCGTCCGCGGTGGGTTCTACTCCCTGTACTGTCGTTCCGGCGCCGTCTGCACCGCTTATTGTCACTCCATTAACTCCGCCTAGGGAGCTGGCGCAAGCTTGGAACTGCGACACACAGCCGGAGTATGATTGCACGCATTCTGGCTGGTTTCTGAAGCTTGTGGGTATGTATACAAAGGGAAAAGGGGCATTGGGAACTGTGCTGCCGGTCAGGGATGGGGGATTTGTCGTCGTCGCGGTGCCTGGCTCTGGAAACATGAAGCCAGAAGATGTGGTTGCGGAGGACGATTCTAGGCATTGCTGTCAGCTACTTGATGTCAGAACGAAGGTGGGAAGCGAAGTAGGGCCTACGGGTTAGAATTCCGGTGCAGGCTGCGCCCGTCGGGCAGCATGCGATGTTGTTCGCATCATCGCGAGAACATATCGTGTCCCTTTGGCAGCAGGCGCCGGGTGCATCTAGGAACGCACATGAGTTGAAACCTGCTGGACAGCCGTTCTGGCGTTTAAGAAGTAAAAGAGCTTCGATGCCGTCGCGGGCGATGATATCGGAGCCGTCGATGACGGGCTGGTGGAAGGGAGAGGTGCGGTCGTAGCCGGTCGCTTGGACGAGGATGGGGAGGAGCAACGAGAGTCCTGCTCGCATCCTTCACAAGAACCCGCAATGGGTTGCAAACCGAAGGCCGGGCTCTCTTGTGGTTATTATTTCTAGGGGTTATCTCAACTTCCCGTTAGTACGCGGCAATGGACTCATTCTGCGTATTTTGAAAGAAGATCAACGGCGTGGTCTTCAGCCGGAACGTACATCGTGACAGGGAAAAAGCGTGTGGTTCGTGAGATCATCGAGAGAGGTCACGAGAAGGACCGAGTGCAAACGGCCTTGGACGATCGCCAGTGCAACTCGAACAGAGTCAAGCAGCGGTTGCAGGATCGAAATTGATCAAGTCCATCGCCCACAGAAAAGAAAAAAAAAAAAAAAGGAAAAGAAAAGGATCTCGCGACTGATGAACTGTCACTCGCTGAACAGATCCAGATTCCAAGAGCGCCGGGGATAGCCCGTCGTCATCGTCGTCGCCCAATGATGGCGCTCGGGCTGGCATTGCTGGGCATCTCCACTGCCCGGGCACGCTGTCTCACTGCCACGGCAACCGGAGCCATGTCAACAAACGACCTTTTTTTTTTTTTTTTCCTGAAGCACACGGCGCTTGCAACAGCAACCTCAGCCGCTGCCCGAGCCATCATCCACGCTGTTTTGGTTCCGTCGTTTCAGTCTTCGACTGAGCTGAAATCTTCAAGGCCCCAGCCTTTTGCACCACCAGGGAAAGTCTTCTTACTTGATTGCAGTACGGGACCACGTTAGCTCACCGATCCAAGCGACAGGCGAGATGGGCATGCGATTCACACTTTTTGGCAGTTGGAGCACGCTTCTGTCGCCGGGGTCTGCATTGGCCGACTCATGGACCACCATCCGGTCTTGAATTTTATTACATACACATCAGCACCAATAATGATTCGCCAGGATTAGGGCGTCCGGGGAGCCTGCAACGGGCCCTGTTCTTCCCCCACATTATGATGTAGTCATCCGGCTTGAGCACGAAGACGGTGAATGCGTTTCAGTAAAAGCTGGATTCCCCCCACTGCCTCCTACAGACGACGTGTTTTCGAGTTTAGTCTGTTGTTTGTGCTGCACTGAGCCCCTTCACGATGGTGTCTGGTCAGGCTGCGAGTGATAGCGAGCCTGAGAGCTCCCCGAAGGAGATTCCCGTCGTCGACTTTGCCAACTGGAAGCCTGGCTCCTCGCGAGAGGAACGGATGAAGGTGGCCCAGGAAATTGTGTCGGCATGCAGAGACGTCGGCTTTGTGTACATTGTGAACCACGGAATGGCTCCTGAAAAAGTAGCTGAAGCATTTGCCTGGTCGGAGAAATTTTTTAATCTCTCCTCAGATGAGAAACAAAAAGCTCCTCATCCAAGCGGTGCCTCGGTTCATCGCGGATATTCGAGTCCCGGGCTTGAAAAGGTTTCGCAGGCAATGAGCGACAAGGAGGACCCGGAGCTCGCAAAGAGACTGCGAGAGATAACTGACTACAAGGTGATCGCTGGATCCCATTTGTTTGGATGAATGCTAGGTTTGCAAAATGCCGTGGCAAAATGACTTACACGCCTCATCGATAGGAAAGTTACGATATAGGAAGCGATGGAAATCAGGATCAGCCGAATGTGTGGATTCCTGAAGAGATGCTGCCGGGATTCCGCAGTTTCATGACACAGTTCTACTGGGACTGTTTCGAAGTGACAAAAAATGTCCTGCGGGCAATCTCTATCGGAATTGGCCTGGAAGAAGAAGATTATCTGCTGAAGTTTCATTCAGGGCACAATAACCAACTTCGATTGCTGCACTACCCTCCTCTCCCAGCGGCGTTGCTGGAGGAGCAAAAGTATGCGCGTATGCCCTCGCATACTGATTGGAGTACGATCACGTTCCTATTTCAAGATGAGTGTGGCGGGCTAGAAGTTGAAGACATTCGCAATAAGGGTCGTTATATAGCTGCAACGCCAATCAAAGATGCGATAGTTATGAATGTGGGAGATCTCTTACAGAGATGGAGCAATGGTATTATCCATATATAACGCCATCCCTACTCTCATCGATCTCTTTTTCCCGTCGTCATGTGTCACTAACTTTTCTTAAGATTATCTCCGCTCAACTTTTCATCGGGTTACGTTACCACCTCTCTCTGACCGCTACGAGGGGTTCAATCGTATGGTTCGTGGACGTTACTCCATTCCCTACTTCACTGCTCCAGACCCTACGTCGGTTATCAAATGCCTTCCTTCGTGTGTGAGCGAGGACAAGCCTGCGAGCTATCTCCCAATCACCCAGCACGATTATAATCGCCTTCGCGCATCAACCCATTATGAAACTGCAGCTACCAATACTGGAGGTGGCGCTGCGTATTGATACTCGACAGCACAGACTCGAGAGTGACTGGGCTAACTCTGAGAAAGTCAAGCTTCATCCTTCAAGCGACGATTTGACCCGGACTAGGGAAACTGTTTCCGGTTCTTAAGTTTTCTTTGATGAAATATTTATTATGACTATGATGGGGCCTAGGAGTCTACGTCTCTTTATGGGAGATATATCTGAAACTGGATCATCGATCACTTGATATTCAATATTGATGGACGCAGTTGACCAACTTTCCTTGGCAAACTCCAGTACTTACTTTCTTGCTCTCTACTCGTAACTATCGCTCATGAAATTTCGGGCACCCCATAACATTCCTGCGAGTGTCATTGAGCAGTAAGCGGTATTTGAGGGCTAAAACTTTGTTATTTAACTATAATTGTCATCATGGCATCTATACAACAGTCAAATGTATTGTATGAGTCATGTTTCCACTTTCGAGTGCAGCTCTGTGGTTTAGCTTAGGGCTAGGGAGATGTGCCAGCAAATTGCGATACGCTTATTTCTTGATGCTCACAATCATGGTAGCTGGGACATATCTGGCGGCGGTTGGGCCATCGTGGTGTCCAAATAGGCAAGGCCAGTCACAGGGCTGAATCCTGCATCCTCTAAAAGACTTCCAAATGGAAACGACGTAAAAAGCGATGAAAAATCCTCGTTCTGCTGGCAAGGAAAGAAACTGGTACCTATCCCACTGCTCGCTGCATCGGCTAAATCTCGTTCCTGGGCAGCATGCCTAGTTCTACCAACGTGGTGTTCGGCCATTGAATCCGGAGAGAGCATCTGAGGTATCCTGCTTTCATCAATTGTTTGTTGGTAGTAACCTAGGTTACTGCCTGCGGCGTTGCTGGTCGCCTCTGCGGACGGCGGTTTCAAGATGCATTCGAAAAGACGTCGAGTCCACACCACAATCGGCCATAGCTCTTCAAATTTGCTCAGCACAGTCATCGACAAGTTGGCCCAATGTTCGGAGATCATTTTTATGTAATCATCCCCTTTGCGGATATTTATAATGTGGATGACCAGTGAGGCGAAGATCCCAGAAACGCTGGGGAAAAAATAAATTATCATGAGCACCCATGGACAAAGAAGCATGTGGTAAGATGGAGAGTAATGAGCAACTTACATGTGTCTAGGTGCGAGGTAGAGAGTTCCAGATGAGAGCAGGTCCTCGATTAGTCGGGTGGTTTTGGCTGCTGCGTTGAATGGCACAGTCCCTACACCAGTACTACCCGAACTCTCTGACGTTTGACGGCGAAATACAATTTGATAGTTGCTATCAAAGCCCGTTAGCAAGAGAACATTAATATTCAACCAGGTTTCTCCATACCAATGGGAAATCTGTAAGATGGAGCCCCAGAACCCATGGTCCATCGAGATCCGTGATGGCAGGTCCCGTAGTTTTGGTGGCAAAGTTAGATGCCAGTCCTCGTCGATGGGCTGTCCATGCGGTGAATTCCCAGAGGCCATGAGTTTTTCAGTGAGACAGGCATTGACTGCCAGGTTAGATAGTTAGCCAACTCTCCTAAAAAACATGTATAGCTTGCAGCCCGGTTGCCAAATAAATATACCTTTCGAAATCAACTCTGCAAAATGGATTATAAACAGTCTACTCTCACGGCTTAAGTTTGGAAAGATGTCTGTTCCGGTGACTTCTGTGTCACAAAAGTCTGTCTCATCTAAGGGTCCTACATCGAAAAAGGAGGAGCTGATATGAGGTGGTCGATTGAGGACTGTCGCCATATGAATATCTTGAACCTGCGATCGACTCTTAGTAAGAAGCCATCATGGTGTCCATACAAGGCGACCAACATACATAAAGCGTCCACCATATTCTCCGCCATAGTCTTCGATATCTTGGCTGTAGTGACGAATAAGATTTTCTGTCAAATGTCAGTCATCCACAAGGCCCATGGGGCAAGAAATGATAAAAAAACGGGTGCAACGGACGATTGATGCATTCCTAAAGACTGAGCCAGCCCCGCTGCCACTCCCAGCCAGTGCCATGTATCCTTCTGCTCCAGCGGACTTCCCCACCAGTGCGACATGAGAAGAGTTGCCTGAATGGTAGAAATAGCGTCACACTCGTAATTGCCATCGTATAAAGCTTTTACCCGCCGATAAAATGTTAAGCAAGCAATATATCTGGAGGTGAACCCTGCTGCAGCGAGAGTGGACTCCGGGCAATGCATGACAGCCACTAGAAAAATGGCATTTAAGAGCAGTGGAGACGCCCTGCCTGCTCCATAAAGAGATGAAAAATCCAACAGGTCGAAGATAGGAAAAACAGGCTGTGAGTAGAGGAAAAATGTTTTGAGCAATGAATCGCTGGTCTCTTTCTGCGGCATCTGGAGTGCGCCTAAGCCCCTGAGATGCTCGCAGTCATCAGACCACGCCTGGTCTATTAGCTGCTTGCTTTGTTGGTCCAGTCTCTCAAAGAAGAAGCGTTGCAGACATTCGCCCCAGAAACGGCCACGAGAAGATGGTCGGCTGGAGGTTTGGAACGGGTTGCCGACTTGGACCATGAAATAATTTATATTGGAAGAGTCTCCCATATACACAACTGGGTTGCTGCCATTCTCCTGCCTACCCTGTTCACCATTTCCTCCGGAGCCATTGAAACTAGAATGGTTGAGATCTCTTTGGAGAGTTCTTCCCGGACTGCTAGCTCCGTCCCAGGCATCCGAAGCTGCCTGGGAACTGCGACAGGAAGTACTTTGGCGAAGTGAATCAGCCGGCTGATGGCTATTACGTTCATTGGTCTGCGACGGGCGGGACCTTGAGATGCTGGTTACGTTCGGGCGGTCTTTTCTGTGCTTTGGGTGTCTAAGTGAAAGGGGCCTATCAGTTTCTTCGTCTGGAGGAACGAGTCATCCTTCTCCGAAATTCCGGCTGCCTGGCTCTTCTACATTTCCCCAGTTTCTTTTTCTTCTTCTCATATGCAGAGGACGCCACCCAGCAAACAAAACGATGATATCAAGCAATAACGTGAGGATCCATACTTGCCGCGTCTCGATTGAATGGGCTCGCAGTGGTGACCGGCATTGCGACAGTTGGAGCAGGCGGTGCTTTCGGTTCGGTCGCAGCGCACACGCCGTGAGTTGCACAGCTTGCATGCAACCTTGACTCGTGTACCCGACACGGGCATGTTGATCAAGCGAACTTTGGCTGCCGATTAGGGCCACATTCTGATGCCTGAATCTCCTCGGTAGCAGATCAATGAACAGTTTGAAGGACGACCGACCTTGAAACTACGACGACGAGCCGGCTATTCGGCTTCTAGCAATTTGGCCAGCCTTGGTTGAATGCCGAAACCCTAAAATCGCTGGCTCGCCCCAAAGAGAACCAACGACGACATCTTCCGCGACATCTTTCTGAAGCTAGCCTGGCATACCTTGGCTATTCAACTGTTCCCGCCACCGTCTTGAACTGTTTGGTTTGGTTAACAGACTGTCGTTGAACGCACGGACTAAACAATGGAAACTCCAGGGTTATCCAAACCTGACCGCCTAGTCGCCGACTAGCTATTTTCAAGCCGCCTGTCTTGCATGCTCGACTCCCCACGCCATCACTAGCGTGTCCTATGGATGTAGCACATGGTCAGTTAGAGTTATTTGGCTTCAATTAGCTCTCAGGTGGAGAGCGAACTTCTTGAGTCTCCAGGGTACGTGTTAGCGATTCGATCTCGCATCAGTGTGGGGGTTTGTCCAGTCCCAACTGCTCAGATCAAGTCTTTTATACAGAACACAATGGAGCTATTATTTCGCTTTGATGCAGAGCACACCAAGGATTAACTGTGCTCCTTTACTATCCTGATATACCTGAATTACTGGACCTTTTGTGTCTTACCAATGCATGATCGGATGGATATCGTCATTCAGCTACCCTCTGGCACCATCTCCGCAGCTCAGAAGGAGAACCTAGTTCACGCTCGCGGCGTTCCATACGCACATGCCAAACGCTTTGAACCTCCTCAATCAATTGCGCCTTGGGAAGGCGTAGTTGATTACACTCGGCCATCTACAATATGCCCGCAAGCTCCTTCGCGTCTTGATATGGTCACCGGGCCGTTGGCGAAAGGTAGGGTCATGGACGAAGACTGCACCCATTTAAGTATTGCAGCTCCGATCGGTGGACAGAACCTTCCTGTCATGGTGTTCTTTCATGGAGGTGCCTATCTCACAGGCGGCGGAGACCTTGACTGCTATCAAGGACTGGAGCTGGCGGCTCGCGGTGTCGTGGTCGTTAGTGTCACATATCGTCTAGGAATTTTCGGTTATCTACAAATCCCTGGAATTGCGCCAGCAAATCTTGGATTGCTTGATCAGATTGAAGCGCTGAATTGGGTCAAAAACAATATCCTTAGCTTTGGTGGAGACCCCAGCAATGTGACACTCTTTGGAGAATCCGCGGGAGCAGATTCAATTTTCTGCTTGATGGCTGCGGAAGGCACTGAGGGCCTCTTTCATCGCGCGATATTGCAAAGCGCCCCCATCGGCCGACGATACGACAAATCCGCGGAGAGCCTTACTCTGGCCCTATCGAAGGCTGCACAGGAGAAATTGCAAAGTTTAGCTGCTGGTTCTCCCTCGATAGAAGAACTGCTATCAATCCAGCTCCAGCTACTGATTACGGCGAAGAAACTTGGTTCCCGCGGCATGCCCTTTGCGCCCTCGTTCGGACAACATCCTCTTCCCCAGATATCTGAACTTGACGATGTTATACGGAAGAGGGCCAAGGACATTCCAGTTCTGATTGGCTGTACAAAAGACGAAGGCACTCCGTTTGCGGCAATGAATGATCGTGCGGCTCGATTTTTTACGATTCCTCTCCTTGGCCGGTGTATTCGTTGGCTTGTAAGCTGGCTAATTACGAAGAAAGTTTTCCACTCGCCGTCAAAGCACTTTCAAAAGCAGGTTCTCGCGGCTGGCGGAAAATGCTCGTCCTTCTACTTCCGATGGGCTCCTCCAAGCAGCCCCTGGGGAGCAGCGCATACAATTGACTTGCCTTTCTTGCTGGGGTCCTGGTCCTCTTGGGAAGATGCTCCTATGCTAGGTGGCTCGAAGAGCAGAGACGTTGTTGAGAGGGTCGGATCACATGTAAAGGATGTCTGGGTGGCCTTTTCCAAGGGCGTGGATTTGGGATCAAACACTTTGATTATTGACGAGAGTTTTCGTTCGGAGCACTGCATTAAGGAGAAGAAATTGTAGGATATTATTCAGCATCAGAGACGAAATTTGAAATAGTTAGATACCTTTTCGAAAGAAAGCTAATAAGTGCCAACCTCATCAGACCAAGACAAAATCAACAGCTCGTTGTGGTAGTGTAAATGATCAGAGCTATGTAGGGGCAAACAGATATGCATGGTAAAATTATAGTTAGGCATTGACTTAATTGCTAGCATGCCCGGTAGGGAAAATAGCCCAAAAGCTGCTAAAGAATGTAAGCATATAGACAAATAATTTTTAACTGAGATGGTTATAGTAAATTAACATCAGGAACACTTAGTGGGAAGACACCATAAACCATTTGGCCAAATGATTAAAAGATTCTGATATGATTTCCAGTAGAGCTTTCGAGTAAATTGTAATAGGTTCACAAATGTCCTCTGTACTTGATCTCAAGCGCTCTTACGGGAGCATACACCAACAGAGCACCCACCACGGCAAATTCAAACCCCAAATCTCCAGCTTTCTTAGCGATAGGTCCAGTATACCAAGCAGACTGCATGCTTGGAACAATAAGCGCCCAGGGAATGAACGTTGCGGCCGCTGCAGCGATACCAGAAGGCAAAGCCCTGGCATCGTCCCAGATAGCGGGATCCATTGAAGCAGGGTTTGCCTTTCGGAAATAAAACCATTCGACCAGGTAGATACAAGCGTTTGTTCCTGCCGTGTATCCACAGATGTGAAGGAAGGAGGCCATTGACTCTAAGAAGCTCGCCGAAGCCGCGATCGCAACACCGATCATCGCTCCAGTGGCAACTATTGCCCAGACGATTCGGGGAACTACCCGTAGAGGTGGCAAAATTGCGGGGACGTTGAAAGAGACGGTATAGAGATCCCGAGCACATGTCGTGACAACTGAGAACGCTAGAATGACAAGGATAAACTTGCCAAAACCACCAAGTCGCTCGATGAGAACATGGCCAATGACACCGCCAATACCGCCTAGCTTGTAGGCCTCAGCCCATGCCGGGATAACGGGTATAGCGCCTCCAATCGCAGCTCCGAGAAGCATCAATAGCGAGAAAGGGACAGCAAGGCCTGCGACGACATAGCACATTATAAGGATAGATGGAGCCTCTGGTGCCATATATGAAGCATAATCACCAATGATGTTGACCCAAGTTAACATGTTAGCAGCTGCCAATGCCACCATACCCATATAAGGCGGAGCGCCTTGTGCCCTAGGTGGAGCCTGCTGGTATAGCTTGTCTCCTGATGTGCCTGTAAGAACGACGATAGCGAATAGGGTGGCAGTCCAGGCCCAGCGCGCGAAAAAATGAAGAACGCTATAGCCCATGAAACTAAGGAACAGCGATACCAACATCATAATGGTGATTGAGACGGCAATAGGGAGCCTTTCGGGATTGATAGATGTGAGAACCTGGGACCCTTGAACACAAGCAATAATTCCAAAACCAGCGCTTCCAAGAGTAACTAGAAGCGAGTTGAAGCCGTTGAAGTACTTTCTATTTACTTGTCAGGTTGAAGATACGAGAGAAGAGAGAAGGTTACCAATTTATAGTCGACTGACCCAAAGGAATATCGTGCTTGGACCATTTGTCTCATGCCTGTCTTGGGAGCAATGGTGGCGATATAAGCAGATGGGATGATAAGCACAAACTGCAGGCAGATAATCATGGCCGCAGCATGTGAAAATGACAGCCCATACGCAAGAGTGGGTGCAAGTCCAATACCAAGCCTAATGATAGTCAGATCAGCAGGTTTACACAAGTTTCTACTAATACAAGGAAGGGGATATCTCGTACGGCAACAAACTAATCATGGAAGCTGCCAAAATCGTGCATATATTGATGTAGCGACGATCGGTCCGCTTGTCTAAGGGAACGGGCTCGAGGCCTCGTAGCTCCACGCCGACACCGAGAAGCTTCTGCCACACTGCAAGGCCAATAGACGGTGGGCGAAAAGTGTCCTCAGTGTCGTCATCAACTTTGACGGGCGCGGTATTCTCAACATGGCGCTCGACGCCCATTATCTTTTCTTCTGCGATGGGGGACATCGCGGTTTGCGGGGACGATTGGGACAGGTGTCGCTATGACAGGAGAAGCTGTAATTTCAGAAGCAGACATGGAGGTAGATATAAAAGAAATAAAGGAAAGGTAGCCTTATAAAGGCATGAAAAGAAACTTGGAGGCTCAAGTGTCTAGCTACCCCATGAACCCCATCCCAAAATCTGGGGTAAATCTGAACCGTATATTTGGGACTCTGGGGTAGGACAGAGCTTGTGGTGCTCACTAAATGATCTCTGCGGATAGGAGCTGAGCTCATCGACTCCAGGGTCTTCTTCCCCTCGAATGGGCTCCAACTTCCGGAAGCGAGCCTTTACCCGGGATTGGAAGCAAAGGAGCTGATCCCGACCCGAAAAATGCGTAATCCGATTGACCCGGAGCAGAGCTGGATAGCTCCCGGAACAATCATAGCTCTGATTTGACGGGAGTACTCCATGTACTGAACGCTATTCCGAGCCCAAGGAGCGCAAGACGGCGACTTGGTTCTTAGTCGCCGACTTACTTCCCAGTGCGGAAAAATGACGGATCCGTAGACATACCTTTGGGCGTCCTGCTTTCCGGGAACATTGACCATGATAGCAGATTCCTCGAGTATATGTTGTGTTGCTTTAAATAGGCAGGGGGTTTGTAACTCATTCTTTTTTGCATCAAGCTATCAAACGCTCACCTTTGTTTTGAACCCATCTTCGCAATGCTCTACACGAAAACCATCAACGGACAGCAATTGTCATTTATCGACTATGGCATTCCTAGCGAGCGACCAGCCATTGTCGTCTTCTCGGGCTGGTGCCAGGACCATCGAGGCTGGGAAGAGCTTCTCCCGTATCTGATTTACGAGTATCGGGTGGTTTGTTTGAATTGGAGAGGGCATGGGCCCAACCGAGATCGTGTGGAAGACTTCGGCGTGGAGGAACAAGTAAAGGATTATTTGGCTCTGCTTGAAGAACTCGAAGTGGGAAAGTTCGTTGCTATCTCTCATTCCCACGGGGGCTGGGCTGCGATGCAAGTTGCCCAGACGTTGGGCAAAGAACGAGTCCCAGCGGTACTGCTTCTCGATCTTATTATGACAGAAGCTCCTCCGGAGTTTGTCAACACATTAAAAGCCATTCAAAATAAGGAAACATGGCGAGCGGCGCTGTTCGGTCTCATTGCTGCTTGGGAAGCAAACACCTCTAATCATAAATGGCGCGAATCAAGAATCAAGAATGCCGGCGGACATGGATTCGATATGTGGGCCCGAGGTTGCCGAGAGGTCGAGAGAGCATATGCGACTTGGGGCAGTCCGATGAAGCGCATGGAGGCGATGCCGGACCCTCCACTTCTTCGACATGTGTTCAGCCACCCCAAACAACCTGGTTATGTGGAATTACATGAACAATTTCAGGGAAAGCATGCCGAATGGTTCTCCTTTGTCAAACTCAGTGGCGAAACCCATTTTCCTGCCATTGAATTGCCGGAATCAGTGAGCATGACACTGAAGGATCTTGTCGGGAGAGTGTCTGCTCAGGAATGAAAGTGAACTTGACATCGGGGTATGTAACATAATTCACCGTTCAGGAATTCTAAGAAGTTTAGAGAAATCTGGTAGAAAGTATCGTATAGCCTCCTTCCATCATCCCTTTACCCTTGTCTTGAGTTTGCTCTTTCAACATCATGGTTGGAAAATAGGGTTCAGGAATTAATGCAATGCAAGACTTTTACCCCACCAAAGTGTCACCTTCCAGTGATCCTTCATATGGGATATCACATTGATACCCGATTCATGAAGCTGATGAAATTGTGCTTCAAAAGTATTAGAATATGAGGAAGCAGAGCATGAAAGGCTGTATTATTGATATCATTGAAGCAGTTCCAGCGAGGCAGGTTGAAGGACGTTTACATGGAGGAGATTAGTCAACTAGCGCGGTCTGGTGGAGCCAAACTTGGACTGGGCCTATCAGCAAGCTAGTAAGTTCGTCATATATCATTAACTAAGCACACTAGACCTAACTAACTACGCTAAATTGTAAGGATATCGAACGGCGTTTTTGCCTAGGTGGCCTATTATAAATCATGCCAGTATCAACTGCGGTTTACAAGTAGAGGAAGCTGGAGCATACATGGGCAGACTATGAAAAAACAACCTGCATCAGGAGAAGCTTCCACCGAAAGGATAGATTGGCCTATCATATATCTATATAGATCCCCGAGAACAAATTCATAAGCCTTGGTAGGCTTATATGCGAACATAAGGTAAAGGGAAGACGGCCAATTCTGTCAGAACCGAAAGTACAGTCATGATGTTCTCAAAATTTCAAAGCACACGAACAACGGTATGGCTCTTGTCGGTCTCTGAATCCCAAAGTTGTGAGCCTACACCAACGGGGTCATCGGGATCTTCAGCAAGAACCAGGTGAGTAGCGCCATCTTCAGTTTCCACTTGCTTCAGATCTGCGGGCGCCTCGTTGCCTTCGTTCATGGTGAAGCCTGAAGCATCATTCAAGGCATTGGGCCTGTTGCCCACGAACTTGCGGTTGGAATTGAGGTAAAACTGTCCTCCGTCATTCTTGCAGGTACGTCGCGCACAATAGCGTCTTTAAATGGCTGGTTAGCCTGTCTTTTATCCACGTGCTTCAAGTAGAATAGTGACGGGTTGAGTGGTTAAACGCTTACGCTTTTCCGTAGTTTCTGATAGTGATGCCATATCTTTCTCCAGGCTTCAGCTTTCTGTAGAATCCACGGAGCTGGCCACCCTCGCCTGAGCATCATTAAGTATCATCATTAGCTTCACTGGAAAATGGTTGCGGCTTCAGGGCGAGAAAGGAATTGGTCATACTGCTATTCTCGCGCGGGTTAACACATCTCAACTGCGCACCCTTTCCACCTTCCTTCGTACTGGCAAAGGGGAACTCATCGCATGACCTGCCGAACTTCTTGAAGGGGAGTCTGCTTTTTCTTCCGCACGGGTTCTTACTGCACCCCGATGCAACTCGACGTTTTCTGGCATTACTCTTGTTAGGGTCGTAGGTAAAGCTCCTCTTTGCTCCTGATCGGCATTTGGCGTAGTAACAGTAGTTGTTGCACGTCCCGACGGAGTTCCCACAGTTCCAGGTAAAGGTCTTTGCGCTAACACTGAGGAAAAAGAAGAACAGGAGGAAGAGGGCAGAAAGCCGAGAGAGACCTGCGGTAGAAGACATTGGGAATAGAGAGAGCAAACCAAACGCTGGTGAGGGATTTGCAGATGCTGACAGGACTGGGCTGGTCTGATACTGCTGTAAATGGTATCCAGCAAGGAGGCATGGTATCTTTTATATCTGGGTATTCTACTCTCATGCTACCGACAGACATCCAGCACCAGGTGCCGGTGTTGCGGTCGGATAGCCAGAGTAACAAGCTCGCCGATCCCATATCAGCTGCGGCTAACAAAAAGAGGCTGTATGGAAGAGGATGAAGGAAGCAGTTCAGATCCTGTCGTGTTGCGTTGTGCGAAGGCAGGCCGGTTGGTGACAGGAAGATAGGCCTGACCTGATGGAGTGTGGATGGAACATTGAAATACCAGCTGGAACAGCAGAGCTCCTGTGTACCTCCAGAAGTACTCCTGTACTCTCAACTTTGTGAGTTTGTATTCGCTGGAGGAGAAAAGGCTGCCCCATGACTTGTTATGATCGCCTTCAGGCTTCTTTGCTTCTTCTCTCCACTCCCCTGTCTTCCTCTCCCGCTTCATCTCAATTTTATCTTTTTCATCTCTTTAGAGAGTCCCAATAAAGAGACCACGAAATAAGAATCAATAAAAAGGAAAAGAGAAGAAAAAAATTCCTCACAGAATCGAAGATGGTTGAACTGATCCCCATTATCTGCACTTATGATGTTGAGCCTTCGGTACTTAGAAGATCCCTTGTCTGCTGCAGAGGGAGACCAAAGGTATACTAATGCGCTTCACAGGTGCTTTCTAGTATCGTAGAGACGGCTTACAGCAAGAGCGAAGATACATCTGAAGCCCTTCTGGTGTTGTCGGACACCTCCCGCCCCGCAATCCAACGTTACACGGTCGACGACTTTACCCGCCCACCTGTTGACCAGTCATTCAAGTCTCCCTTTATCGGTTGGAGTCTCGAAAGGATCGCCAAATTCCTGAAGGATAACGCAGATGATACAGCTGTTGGCTGTTACTACTTTCTTGTTGCCGACGAACGGACCAGCGCGGACAACAGTCTTCTCTTTGTAGACACTCTGTTCAATGAAAGCGAGGACGAAGGTGACAATGAAGACAAAGCACCAGATGAGCCCTTGACGGTGCGACTTGCCCCTGAGTTTGTGAACTCGTACACAGTTGCTATCGCCATAGGTTCTATGGGCACGAACGAGCTGGTGGACGAGACAGACGAGGATGGAGTGTATCGCGGTGGAGCCTCAGACGTTGATGAAGGTGAGGGCTTTGAAGAGTCTGACGCCGAAGAGGATGGCTCAGACCAGGACACACCCTGACGGTTTCGAATAAAGAATGTTGTGTTTCCACCTGAATTTCGGCTTGATGATGGACTATGGGGCTAAAGCATGCCAGGTCATGAAGTCTCGCGCCAAGTTAACTAACTAGTTAGTTACTCTCTAGTTAATGAGCTTAGTTCACCCTGACATCAAGATCCCTCCGTACTTTTTGCTAATATCACTGAGCACCATAAAAAACGATTCTACCTCCTACTTGAATTCCAAAGGCGCTGTACATACAAAACTTCCAGGGGTAGGTAATCATGTAACTTAACTCCCAACAAAGAGGATTATGTACAAGCCAAACGACATCATTGTCACAGATTGTTAATATCAGAGAAAATATGCTGCTGTCTTACGAAATCGACATGTCCCCCTCAGGCATCAAAACCGACGCGGTTAACACCGACCTCCCAAGTAACCGGGTGTTCTAACCTTTTGAGCGTGTTTGTACGCCGCCGGCCTCAAAGGTGCTCAAAGGTGTCTCTCCCGGCAAAGCGGATTGATTCTCAATGGGAAATCCACGTTTCTCCGCGGACAACCACCAAACCGCTAGATATTTGATCTACTCTCTTCGAAAATCATATCCGTTTTAAATACATGCCGTGCTCGAGTAGCTCCCCGTTCCCACCTCAAAATCAGGACTGAGCGGGTGGTCAACAAGGATGCATGCAGCAGATGTCTCAGCAGCAAAAGGAGTGGGGTGTGGTGAAATTGTGTTTTCTGGAAACATTCTGTGTGATGGAGTACAAGACCGCGACTTGGAGGAGAGCCTGAGTGATTGCAACAGGAATCTACGTATATTCGACCCATATATTGACCCCGAACTGCTCCAGTCCAACCTGCAGATACGAGACAAAAGGACACCCTCCTGCATGTTCGAGATACCTCTGCAATTGACAACTTCACCCGACAGCCATCAACCTTGGGAATTTGACAGTTAGCCTCGCACGAAGAGAATACAGCAACGATCCCGAGCGAGACGGGCGTGTGGGAGTTGGGGCCGGAAAACCCCGGCTGGGATTGCTTTGAATCCCACCTGTTGGCTTGTCTGTCAGAAGACGGGGCTGAATGCTTATCGTTGCTAGATGTATTCGACGAGATTCTGTCGTAGCGGACGTGCGATCGACGCACCCGTCGGGCGGTTTAGATTGACTTATAGGTCGAATCGGCGAACACGACTCACAGCAGCATCAATCAAAATCTATCCTCAGCAGGTGTCCGGATATTTTCCGGTTCTATCATATGACCCTCTATCCGGACAATCCGAAAAGCTCCCGCTGTCACGCATTGAGCTCAATATCAAACGAGAATATGAAGGTCGACCAGTGATTACAGTGAGCCGACGTACTATACCAAATGAGTTAGATGCAATGCAAATCCTGCTATTTTCCGCTTTCGGAGGAGCACGTACTTACGGCCAGAGTTTCGCAAATTGGCCCCAGCGATACCTGCGATCTTGGATTAATGGATTCGATACGAGGGAGCGCCAAACAGCAACATAACAACAGAATTACTGTCAATTAAGGGTAAATTTAGCCCCGGATGCGGTGTATAGTTATATTTCTGACATTTGCAGCAGTAGATTTTGCCTGGGATGTCCGGATGTCTCGTGTAATTTGACGAGGCCATCCACGGAGGGACGGTAGTGGGACGTCGCTTTGAGCACGCGACGGACTTGCGCACAGAAGAGATTTTGCCCTTCCCTTGCGTGATGCTTCAGGAAATGTTCAAGGCTCACAGCAATAGAAGCTGTTTTTTCTGACAAGGTGCGAAATAATATCTTAGACAGGATTCTTGTTCTAAAGACAGACGTGTTGACCACAATGCAGACCGATTAAGCGGCAGCTTGTTCGCACTTCAACTTTTGACCTTTCTATCGACCATTCCTACAGATTGTCCTACAAGGGATAGTAATATCCTATCTCATGGAGTGTTAATTTGGAACCAGAGGTGCAGGTTCTTTTTAATCATTTGGCGGCAGTAAGGGCAGCAATATGCACAAAAGAGTGGTGAGATGACGTGGCAAGATCAGTACGCAATAAAGAAACCCAACTGTCATCAAAAAAAAAAAAAAAAAAGAGGGGGGGGGGTGAAGAAAAAGCAAAAAAGCGAATGACCTTCATCTCTCGAACTCGGTTCGGGTGCATTGCCTCCACACGTAATATCGAACGTCTATCAATTAAACGAGAAACAAAATTCCACTGTCCTTCATCCGCTCTAATTGAAGAAATGGCTTCCGGCGACCAATCCCTATTCGAGAGCATACAGGCTGAGCTATATTCGAGACAACAAGAATTGGGACAGCTGCACAAAGAGAAAGCTCGTCTGCTCACATACGTTAACCAAGTTGAGGAGTCGAAGGCTGATATGGAGCGGCAAAAGATAATCGGTGAAAGACAAACCGTCTTGTCGGAGGAGAAAATGGCCAAAACCCGACGAGAGCTGATGCACATAGAGGAGAAGCTTGAGGCGCTTCGGGAGGCGATCGATTTACTTTCAGAGAAGTAGAAGTGGGAGCCTGTGTTGCGCCTGATTGGAAGGCATTTACTTTGCTCGGTATTTTGTGGCAACATATGAGCCTGAGATGATAGTGATACTAATCGATGGCCAATGCAGCAGGAGCTCTAACCGGTGGGTTCGCAGGCCCTGAACACTACGGCATCCAACACCAAATTCCTTTCCACTGGTATTCCTCTTCTACGTTACTATACTCTCACAGCCGTTTCTTTTTGGCTTTTTTTTTTTTTTTTTTTTTTTTTTTTTTTTTTTCGCATTGCCCGGTAGTCAGTGCGTTTCGCAAGTCCAATTAGTACTTTTCTTTAATACCCAAATTCTCCAGCTCCTTTCGAAATTATCAAGTTCCGTATAACTTTGTACAACACTGCATTCAGTTCTGGTTTGGGATATTCAAGTCAAAAAGAAAATTGAGGGCCTTTTCTTTGGGGTTCGATCTATTATAAATCGCATCAAGAATATCAAGACATACGGGGGACATATCACGATTTGACAAGCCTAGAGCTAGAGATAGAGTACTCCATATGAGACTCGCCATATCTTGGCCGATCATCGCTCACAGGCAGACGTTCTATCACTCAGATTGGACGCTATCATGGGCCGTCGTAATCCATAGCAGGTGTGCATTTGTTTGTAAGTTGCTCGGTGGTTGAATGAGCTTTCGGAACCGGATTCGGGTCGGTGTGATTGCCCTAGTCGCCGAGAAGCGAAAGGGGCCTCTTAACGCCGACTTGCTCGAGTATCAAAGAACATCCCGAAGTCATCACAAATCCGAGGCTGCCAGGAAACAATTGCAAGCAAGAAGCTAACTAAAATACAGAAATTGCTAAAGCGGGGGCTGAACATGTCTAATAATGTCTGTGACAACCTCTATGCACAGCCGCTGGCCTTTCGAGAACTTCAGCCGCTCTCAAACCCATCGCTGAGTGCACAACAAAGATTGGCGTCGTGTGGTGAACTGATTCAAAAAGCTCGTTGCAAAAGTACCGATTGAGAATGAGCGTCCAAGCAGATCTTCCTATCATCATTGTTGGTGCCGGTTTGGTGGGATTGACCCTGGCCCAGGCCCTCAAGTCAGAAGGAATTCCATTCGAGATATACGAACGCGACAGTGGCCTGAACTCACGATATGGAGGCTGGGCTATTTCTTTACATTGGGCAATGAAGCCGCTTGCATCGTGTTTGCCTCCTGAGCTTTATGCTCAAATCCCCAAAATCCATGTGCATCCAGAAGTGGCAGACAGGGGTAAGTGGAATTTAGCCTGAATACATAGACCGAAGGACCTTCAAGGTGACTGAAATTGGATTTGTATATATGACTTCTTTTGCCCTTAGATCGTATTCCTTCCGTCTATCTAAATCTGGAGACCGGAAAACCCAAATTCGCAGCCGAAACCCAATCGCATTATCGAGTTCATCGAATCAAGCTCCGCGAAATTTTGAGCCAGGGAATTGATATCAAATGGAACAAAGCTTTCACGGGATACAAGGTCACAAACGATGGCGTCGTTGTCTCTTTTGCCGATGGAACAGAAGTAAAGGGAGCAATCCTCGCAGCCGCAGATGGAAAGAACAGCAGGGCTAAATCAATGCTCATGGGCCGCGAAAAAGCCGCACTCCACGATCTTCCCATTGCTTTCATTGGCCTGAAGCTTCGAGGAGATGAAGAGTACATGAAGCCGTTTCACTCCGTCGCTCCAGTTTTATGGCAGGGAACCCACCCAGCCACCGGTGTCTACATTTTCTGCTCGAGAGTATCCACACCTCAGCTCAACGGAAGCGCTGGTTCAGAAAAGGAGTATCATGAAGTGCAATTCAACATGAGCTGGATAATGAAGGAGGATGAGTCGCCAATTCCAGCAGACAATGCTGGGAAAATAGCCAAACTGAAAGAAAAGGCTAAGGAGGGGACAGGATTCTATCCTGGGCTTCGCAAAGCACTAGAGAGCATAACTGACGATCAAGAAGCGTTGGATATCAAGTTGCAAGATTGGCCAACGCTGGACTGGGATGTATGTTCTGGGGGAAGGGTAACCATTCTAGGAGATGCCGCTCACCCAATGACAATGTGTAAGTTGTTCTCTCATATTCTTCTCTATGACCAATGACAGTGCGAATTAACTGACCATTTGGGAAAAGACCGAGGAGAAGCGGCAAATCATGGTATGTATGATGCAGTCTTGCTGAAAAACCAAATTCAGCTCTGGCGCAATGGGAAGAAATCTCTTGAGCAAGCTATCCGTGACTTTCAAACTGAGATGCGAATCAGAGCAAATGAGGCAGTCTTGCTGAGCCGGCAGGCTTGTTTTGACTCTCACTTTCTAGATAGCTTGACTCTCGCAAGTCCATTGCTGTCAATTAAAAGAAGACTGGTATAACAATAACAATGATATCAAAGCCGGTATAACACATTAAAAAAGCCAAAGCAGGGCCACATGAATGGGTACCTTCACAGCAGCCAATAACGCAGTTTGCCATAGCCAGTAGCAATAGCATGTCAAAACGCTCATACTAATCTTTTGTTTGGCTGCTCCGCAGGCTTCCTCTGGAGATGGGCTCAGGACGAACAAAATTTTCCAGTTCTAGACCAGTAATACTTTCTGTCACACTGTTAAGTGTTGGCTGTATTATGGATTCTAGGCTGCATTTATGTGCTTCTCGACCATGGTATTTCAGGTACCATTTTGGTGAGTAGATTTTCGCAAGCCCATCTAGCATGTCCCTCAGGTTCAACCTAGAGAAAGGTCTGGATGGCCGTGGTGAGAGAAGGTGCATCATGCTCAAAGCTCTGGTCAATGCCCCAAGCATCATACAGCTACATTCAGTGCAGCAGGGTTCTGTCTTCGTGAACTCGGCAAGGAGGCCATGGAGGTATGCCACAATCCGCTCAATCGATTCCTCTCTCCGCTCCTGTATCTCGTCTGTTGTCTCCGTTAGCTCGGGAGGTTGTCCGGACCTCGAGGCCGTGTGATTTTATAAGCTGCTTACTCAATATTCTGTCTCGGATGGGAAGTCCCTGGGTATAAAGCGGGCCCTCAAGTGTTAGGATAGCACGCTTTGTCCAGGTCTTAAACTTGCTCTCCCAACGGAAAGTATAGCTAAGCCATATACACTGGGCAATATCCTTTAAAGTGACATGCGGAATGGTAATCTTCGAGGTCCATATCTCAGCCATGATTTCAACCACCTCCAGGCACTCGTAATAATCAACAAGCGACGCGATTTCTGTAAGAACATCAATGGTCACGGTTCGAGGGACCTTCTTCGTTCGGCCGTGGATGATATTCATCAGAATCAAGAAGGGCCCGGACTTCCAGTCCTCCTCGGTGACCTCCAATTGCCGGCCATCGCGCGGAGAATACATCCTTCTTTCCAATCACCGCCAAGCATCCTCTGAAAATAACGCGAAGCCAAGATAAGATGCTTCGAAGAGAGCCGCATCCGGATGTCTATATCACTTGATTCCACCGATTCGGTTGGCGATTCAGCTTTGGTTTTCTCGTCGGCCGACTTCGCGTCGCCGCTGCATTCGGTTTCGCGCTTTTCGGTTTCCATCCGTTCATTTGGCGTCTCAGCCTTGGGCTCATCGTTGGCAGACTCCCTGTCTTCACTACTTTCGTCTTCCTGCTTTGCGGTTCGCAACAGCAGCAAGACGTCACCATCCGGATCTATTTCGTAGTATTTTACCTCCATGGTCCTGCAGTCAACTTGGTGTGTTCAATGGGAGGGTGAGTCTGTGAGGTTGGAAAGAAAACGAGGAAAGACCGGGGTTGCGAGAGTGCGGCGCATTGTGGTGAGGCATCAGTGGTCACTTCGCTTAAGCGCCCGGTTTCGCAAAGATTGCGAGGGTTGGAGTTTAGCCTGTACATGTCTGCCCCCTGATTTTGCAATATTTGCGCTAGGAGAATGCAATTTGTTGCAATGAGACTGGATTGTTTGCAAGTTCCCACAGTGGAGGAAATTGTGGTGATGCTCAAAGCCGCGCAGGTCATGGTCGATTGGTCGATGCCGCCCGTATCACAAGTCGGCCCTCTGACGTGGAGACTTTCTGACGAGTCGTTCGAGATTCCGGAATTCCTATTTTGCTGAAGGGCTATCGAGTAGCTGTTCTCCGTAGTTAATGCAAAATTAAATATATTTCTTTCCAAAAATCCACAGATTGGATCATCTTTGAGACATATGCTATTGATGACATATTGCTCTCCCCTCAACACGCTGCGCTCGATAATGTTAAATTCAGGATTTTCGCTTCAGACAATTAAGATTTGGCTATAAGCATTTTTAAACAAAAAGAACCTAGTTCAAGCCATCCAGAGCTTTGACAACGGCCGGTGCGGCTGCATCTAGTTTGTGCAAAGCGGTCGTGAAAGCTGCCGCTCTGTCTCCTCTAGACGCCCCCGAGGAGGTCGACACTACGATAATAGTTCCTGACCGTCCCAAAGAGATTCCGGGGTAAACCGCGATAGGCGAGGCTCCACCAGAGGACCTGCTATCTGTAGAAATACTACCCGGTGCGCTGGAGGCCTCGGAATCTGGGTTCATCATTAATATAACCTGATCGGGGGCTAGGCTGACACGACACGCTGTCGCAGAAGGAGTCACATCATCTGACGATGTAATTTTAGTTTGAATTCATCTTGTGGACTTCGATTATTTAAATCCGTTGGATGGTACCTTTTATCTGGATGCCACATGAGGAGCATTTCATCGTTTCATGTTCGAGAGGATGCCTAATCAGTCAGAAAACGGTTAGCAGAATCCTTCATACTGAAATACCTTATAAAAGTGGAATCGAAGAGACATGTTGAAGTATCACACCTGGGAGTCCACCCTTACCCTTCCTGCCCAGTCATTGATCGCATCCCTCTCATCTTTTGTCTCATGGCAAGCCTCTGTCGTGCAGCCCAAGCACGACTTAGCCTCTATCTCTCGTCGGTGTAGCAATTATCAGTAGATTGAGCTTGCTGCATTGTTTTCGTTGTCAAAGTGACCGTAATTTTACATTAATAGAAGATGTTCAAACTTGGTGGCAAGACAAGAATTTGGTGACTGGGGAGGTTGGTTTAACATGTATCTCAACACATCTCTCGCGCGGAGTTACTGTTTCGTCTCTGAGAACTGCTAAACAGTAAATGAAATCACCAAAACAGAAACAAAGACAGCACGTTTCGCTGCTCGTTCATCGAGTCGCTGCCCTCCTGGGAGGCTAGAAGCCGGTGCTTCCAGATATCTAGCCAGGCATGGGAATATTTCCCCTTGGTGGCGTCGGTGTCTCGTGTGGTCGGTTGGGGTGGTTGGTACGGTTCTTGTATTTTTCTTTTTTTTTCGTAGGTTGAATTAAGCAATTTGCAGTAAGGGTAGGTTCTTTGTTCATGGTGTAACCATGAACCTAAACACGATAACTTTCCAAATGTAGGAACTCTTCAGTATCAAGAAGTCGAAGAGCGGGGAGCGAGAGCACACTGAGCAATAAATTCTGTAGTTTTTGAACCAGATGAGCAGCTACATCCACCACGCGGTGGCCTTGTCTATTTCCCAATGCCGTTCATATTGTAAAATGAAGTTCATCTCGGAGAGAATGCACGGGGTCTCCTCTTGTTAGCCTTCATGGTCCCATCATTGATTCGATCATGACCTGCTGCGGGTGGCATCATGTTAACTGGACTGATACTATTCACGAATGTGAAAGTGCCGAGTCAATTGGTGCGAATTGTTGTTTTGGCATGGCAAGTTCAAGGCACTGGCAAAGCCTAATTGATGAACGGAGTTGGTCACTCCTTGTTCGACGTCATTGATAAAGGATCTTGCCCCGGAGGAAATCAGTTTTGACATCTGCTGCGCTCCTAAGGTCAGCATCTCGCGATGTTCTCCATTGGAGCTTTCAACAACAATTCGGAGCCCGGCGGAAGACGCCGGAAAGTATAAATACGATCCCCGTATAAAGTGACACTCCATGTCTAGTGTCGATTCGTTCACAGCATCTCATCCGGGCCGCAATGTACGAGTGGCTTCGCTTCTGCGTGCCAAACCGAAGCGGTGCAGCCCCTCCCAAGGCGATCGTGGATGCACGCAGGGTTTCCCAAGAGCGGCCAGGCGCGCGGCTTTTCGGGAGGTACCTGCACGTGACTCGGCGCAGGGTCGGGCCGAGAGCAAGTTTTCCCGAGGTCTTGATTATGTAATTGCCAGCATGGGCGGCAAAGACGAGGGTTTTGCTGGCGGAAGAAAGGCATCTTGGAGCGAGATTCCTTGGTTCGGAAAGCAAACTGTGATGACCCTGTGAATGTCATCGTTCCGGAACTTCCTGCGCCCTGTTGTGGATTTCTTCGACCTTCACATCTCCCCGCAGTGTCAGAATACGATGCGATGACGACATCACCTTAGGCTCTCGCCTAGCGGTGTGATCTGGAATCACTCAGTCACCAAACCAAAAGTGCTCCAAAGAAAAATGCGAGCCGCCAGCCAACTTCTGTAACAAGAGACGAAAGATTCGAAAATTCAGATCCTATATCCGAGTGTTCTCCAATCAAGCATTTTCAGGATATAGGTAATAGCTGTACTGCTCGTGGATCGAGTGGACAAGAATGTCTAATGGCTCCCATTCCAGTGTGCAGTTGAAAAGCTCCAGTATGCCCATCACCAGCTCCAATTTCCCTCCAAAGCTTGGTCATAAATAACCGGAACACATGCAATAGCTTATCTATCCAAGCCAACCTTTCATTTTGCGGCTGGCCTCCTCTCCGGCCTCACCTCCTCCATCCTCCTTCAACCTGCCGACCTTCTCAAAACCCGAGTCCAGCAGTCTCGAGAAACAGCTGCTCTCCTGCCGACAATCCGCTCTATCTTGGCTTCTCCGCATCCCATTCAGGGATTATGGCGTGGCACCCTTCCTTCCGCCCTTCGAACAGGGTTCGGTTCTGCGCTGTATTTCACCAGTTTAAACACTTTAAGAACAGCAGTTGCAGCCGATGATCCCGGGTATTTGTTCCGGGGCGGCCATGGGAGCAAGCCACAGAATGGAAACTCCCCGTCGGGGGTGTCTGCGTCGTCTGCTCTACCCAAGCTTTCACACACAGCAAACCTGATAACCGGCGCCGTCGCACGGGTAGCCGCTGGATTCGTTATGATGCCCGTAACAGTCCTCAAAGTCCGCTATGAATCCGACTACTATGCTTATCGCAGCTTATGGGGAGCAGCGAAAGATATCGTCCGGCACGAAGGCGTGAGAGGCCTATTTGCTGGCTTTGGAGCAACCGCTATCCGCGATGCTCCCTATGCAGGACTTTATGTGGTCTTCTACGAACAATCGAAGCGCAGCCTTGCCTCCCTTCTCGGGGTTTCCTCCCCTTCTGCTCGGAGCACTCCTACAGAGCAGCAGAAATCACCCCCCTCAACAGCATCCATAAATTTCATCTCCGGCGCCCTCGCTGCAGGTCTGGCTACCACCATAACGAACCCCTTCGATGTCGTGAAAACCCGAGTCCAACTTATGCCCTCCAAATATAAAAACATGATGCGTGCGACTGCATTGATGCTCCGAGAAGACGGAATGAGGAGTTTATTTGGCGGATTAGGATTACGAATGGGAAGGAAGGCGCTGAGTTCGGCACTGGCATGGACGGTTTACGAGGAGTTGATTATGTGGGCGGAGAAGAGATGGGCAGAGGAGCAGAGAGATGTTAAGGGAGTGTTGTAAGCTGAGGTCTATGCATCTATCATGGCCATTTCTCCTGTCATTGCATTTGAGCATGGTTTTGGTGAATTGGGAACAAGGCCGGATTTGTAAAATTATCTATATCATGGGATCTTTCTGTATAGACGGGATGCGTATGGGTTAATGGAGTTATATGTACGGAGTATGTTTATGTCGATGGCAGCTACGCAATGAAATCAACCCACTCCAAGTATTTGCTCAAACCCCCTAGTCATATTATGATCAATCCCACTAACATGGTGGAATAGAACAGATAGCTTTTTTACTAATTATAATATGTGCTATTGGTATTTTTCATCTTTAAGACCTTCATGAGGCATATTGATCGTCCATTGTTAGCACCATCTCTCCCTTATAATCATCAGCATATTTTTGTTTTGGAGTAATATGACTGAGTAGATAAAAGGACTAAAAGGAATAAATCATGAATAAAGAAAGGAAACAAGGAGCCAAGACCTTCAAGAATAGAACAAAAACCAAATCTCCCTATAAGAAAAAGGTTATAAAGCCAATGATAGAAGATGAGCGATACACCTTGCCTCATCATCGCATTTGTCCAGAAGCGAGCCTGCTTCGCTCCTAACCTACTTACCGCTCAACGAAGATATGCTTCTTCGCCCCCTTCTTTTTCCTCACCAGGAATAATTGATCTTTTTTCTTATCATTCACCCTCAGCTCAACGTATTCTGCGCTCTGTTCAGGTTCCGCCGCAGCGGGGAGCATGCGCCCTTCGCGTAGACGACGGGTATGCTCGAAGAGCTCTTCCTGGAGTTCTTGAGGCACCCAAGAATGGATGAGCATGTAGTCTGCATCGTACTTTAGGGTTGGTAGGACTTGAGTTAGCGAATCTTGGTCCCTGGTCAGCGATCAACGGTGGGGCGTAGGGAGACTTACAGGATCCCACTCCCATGGAAGTCCGTATGCCATAAGCGTCGAAGGAGAGATAAACCGACGATGGACCTTCAATGATTTTAGTATAGGTTTGCGTAACTCGGGGAGCCGAATGCGCGTACCTTGACAAATTGATCTTTGGGAGCATGCGGCTCTATAGCTTTGGGCTCTGGTTTTTCTTTATTCTGGTTTAAAAATTTCTTCATATCCTCTTCCGAAAACCCATGGCTACCAAACAACCTTTGAAGCCGCTCATTGAACTGTTTTTCAGCCTGCTCTTCCTCTTCACGCCGTTTGCGTTCTTTCTCGGCTTCTTCCCTCTTATATTCTTCTATAGCTTCTTCTCTTAGCTTCTGTTCATGCTGTTGTTTTTCTAGCTCTTCTGCTTCCTGCTTCGCCCGCTCAGCTTCTATCTTCTGCCGTATCTTCCGTTCGCGCTTATTACGCTCTTCCTCTTCCTGTAAGGCGCGGAATTGTGCGATCAAAAAAGCATCCTCGACGTGCTTCTTATTAGCCTCTTCTTGCTTTATATGACGTAGTTCCTCGTGCGCAAGTTCGTTTGCGATCTCGTCACGGGTCCAGCAAGCCCTGTACCGGCTTCGGCTACGGCTATGGCTGTGGCTTCGGCTTCGACCGCGCCCTCGGTCACGTCGCTCCCTCTCACGTTCGCGTTCACGCTCTCGTTCACGCTCGCGCTCCCGCTGTTCGTGTTCAAGTTCTTTATCCCTTAGTTTTTCCCACCGCCTTTTTCGGCGTCGATATATCTCTTCTTCCCGTTCTGCCTCTTCCCAGAGCCTATCTTCAACCAATTGCTCGAGTTTTCTTCTTTGTGATTGAAGCTGTGCTTCGAGCTCAAGTATCTCACGTTCGCGTAGCCGTTCCCGTTCGCGTTCCCTCTCGCGTTCCCTCTCGCGTTCCTTCTCCCGCTCCCGCTCCCGCTCCCGTTCGTAGTCGCGATCCCGATCCCGGTCCCTGTCTCGGTCGCGCTCACGCAGCCGCTCCTTTTCTTGCTCACGATAACGGTCTCGGATATCGCGTTCAATGATTTCCTGACGGATAGCTCTTTGCTCGCGGAGGATGTTTGTTTCTACCTCGTCCCAGGCACCTGCTGCATCACGCCGACGGGAAAACGACCTGGCACGGTTCCGCGGACGCGGCGGGGACTTGGGATAGTTTTCATTGTTGATGCCGATGTAGATTGACGAATCCCTATGGCGATCACCAACAGAGGCGGCTCTGACCCGGGGGGCTTTGATGTCGAGGAAACCACGACGTCTGTCAACAGGACGTCTATGGTGGCGGAATCGGTCCTCCTGGTAGGAGTCTGAATCTGTATCCGAGCTGGATGGTGACTCGAGGATACCTCGGAATCGTGGCATGACTGGCTATTTTGTTTCCGTGGCCTGATCCTTCCAACGGCCACGACTCTCTTTGGTAGTGAATTTCAGAGCGATTTAGGAGCGGGGCGACGAAGAAATATTTGGGAAAGGGGGCCTCAAAAACAGAAAAAACTGGTATTCGAGAAATCAGGGGACAGAAAAAGGATGGAACAATGTTATAGGCGATGATACTTGACGTTAGATAAGATAGTATAGGTGCCTCGTTGAGGTTGGAAGGTCTAAGGTGGGATGTTCGTAAGTCGTGCACGTCCCCAACAACAGGGCAAAAAAGAACGAACTTCGGCTTCGTTTATTTATAGTTAAATTGAAGGGTATATTTTATTGGTGCATCTTATTTAATCTTCCGTAATGCCTGAGGCCTTTCACGTCGCAGCAGTTCGATAAATGGGGTTGTTATGATGTTGGAGGTTTGAGGATGAAGAGGGGACTGTGCGGATATGTGGACGAAGAGCCTCTTATGTTTGATTACGACGAGCCGCCGCCAGGGTCGGCCGCTGGCTGGATGGACGGAAGCCGCCCAGTGAGCAAGAAGAAGGGGATGAAGCGGGGCCGATTGCAGCGTAGGGCAGCGCTGTCGGCAGCAGACGGCGTCAGAGGACGTTGACTTCTGAGAATAGCTAGGCGATCCTTGGATGGTTGGGCGGCTCCTCGAAGAGGATGTTTCAAGGGTCTACTCCATACCTTGCAGCAGTCTTGCTGTTGAGAATGAAGGGAGGCCACGGCTCCGTGAGGAATCCTTTCTCCCAGCCTCCCCCGTGCTGGGTCTGTATACATATTTAGCACCACCGCTCAAGCCAGGAAGCCCACCAGAATGTGGAGCCGGTGCCATCGCTGTGCGGGCCAAGAATTTGCCTGAAAGTGCGTCGCAATATCTGTCGCTTCTTCAAGCTCCCAATCATATCGTGCCATCAACGACTGCTGATCACAAGCAAGGGGTCGCCTGAACCATCCCGCACCTGGTGAGGAAAGGATGTTGTGTCTCATTCGCCTGGCCATGTTCTCGTGCCAGTTTAGCCATTCGCTGTTGAGCTGGCCCTCACCCTAACCGCCAACATGCTCGAGCAAATCTGCGCAGTGCATTAACTCATCCTTTGTGAAGGAGTGGTTACCGCCCTAATCACGGAATGCATTAGCTTGATGTTGCCTCCTTCGTCCAGGATGCATCTCTCTGCGTGTCTACCTTATCAAATGCCCCATGAACGCACGAATGTCATTATTCGACGCCCAATTCCCTGAGGCACGGCCTTGAAACCTGGATGAAGAGCCGCCAGCTCCACAGGGGACTTTGCAAGACCCTTGGAAAGAGAGCTTGGAGTTCCTTGATTGGAGTCTTGTCCCGAACCAGGAACCAGAAATTGGATGTGATAATGCCGCTTAGTTTTGTTGTTTCGCAGGCTGCGTTGTAGCCTGTTAGTAGTCTTTTTCCTTCTTTTCCTTTTTCTTATTTTTAATTTTTTTGCATTGAGAAATTGTACAGAGTACTCCGATCGAAGTGAATTAATATGGGAATAAAAAGTAATCCTTTTTTCGAGGCTCGAGAGCGAGATTCGAACTTGGCGCCTCCGAGTGGCTCAAATTTCAATTTCCAATTCGGGACGGCATATCAGAGCTCCCTCTGCGATTCATAGCTCCGTGGTACAGGTACCTACAGCGAAAACAACTGCATGCAAAGCACCCACCACATATCATGGATAAGATACCCCAATACCCATATGTTCAAGGCCTCTATAGACGAAAAATATATGCTGGAGGACTCAGCAACAAAAATTGACACCTGCGTATACCACCCGCCCCCCCACTGCCTCTTCGACGGGGGGTTTGACCTGAAGCTGCATTGCAGGCTTGCGTTCCGGTAGGGAGTAGAGGGACGACTGGCAGTGTCTCGGAGAGACCCGTCGTTATCCCAACCCACAAGGACCGACCGTTCGGCCACCAGGGCTGTCTGGTTATATACCACTCACTTTCTGGCAAATATAAGTCCTGCTTTTAATTCAAGTGGCTGGCTTATTCCAGGGGCGTATGCCTCCCATGCCCACATACATATCGACTTTATGTTATCCTCTGCCAGTCTGCAAGTGCTTCCCTCATGTTTTTATAACATACTATCTTAAAATTATATGGCCATGCTCGCAAAAGTTGGATATTCGGATTTCTATCAGTCACGCGAGTAGTCTACTTAATAGCAACGGTCACCGGAGATTATAATACAGCTCACTCGATTTTATTGATATATACATATACATATATATATATATATATATATATATATATAATGATAGTCATTCTACATCACATTGAGCTTCATGAGACGCTCCATAATGCCAGGCACTCGAAGTCACAGAAGTCATTGGAACAATCCCATCCACTCCACTTGGAGCCCAGCACATTCGATTGCCAAAAACAATCACCTCTCGCTCAATCTCACTCAATGGATCTAATTCTCCACGCTCCAACAAGAATATGTGCAGAGACTCCCACGTTCACGGATTGCAAAGTATTGCCTCGACAGCCAAGACCCAGGGCGAGCTTTCTCCCCCAGGCGACCATCCCAATATTGTCAAGGCCGCGCTCACGCTTCGTAGGCTTTCATATGCAGTAAATGTCCACAATCTTTTTATAAAGAAAAAAGGAGAAGATTCAACACCTCACGATCTCCCGCCACTCCGGAAAATCTGCTCGATCTGGTTCTGGCTATTTTTAAATGTCGTCTCCAAATAATGTAGTCTCTTCTCGAGATTCGTGATATCCGTCTTCAATCCCTTCTGCTCATCTGACAATCGTTTATTGACATTATCGATAGGCGTCGCGACGAACCTATAAAAGCCAAGCACGCATCACCCACAAATCAGCCTTCGGAACGTTTCGAGACCATAGCGATGGTGAATGAAAAGAGGGGATTCAGATACACCGTCGGCGGCAACGGCTGAAAATCATAAACGTACATTTTACCAACACCTTCGTATACATTGGTTCCCTTCGGAACTTGGCCCACCTCGCTCGAAGTGAGTTCCAGGAGGCGTACCTCTCGCTGCTTCGATGTGATTTGGGACTTGACCAGGCCGATCTGCTGCTGCGAGGCAATGGCTTGAGATTCAATCTCTTGGACTAGCTATTAATAGTAGCAATACAGGTGTCAGCAAGCGCTAGAACTAATCCTATGATGGAGCTTTGATCGCGATTGTGTCGTGTTGACCCTGACAGGTGCCGCACCTTTTGAAGAGCTTCATTGGGAATGGACATTTTGACTTTCGAAACAGGGGAAGTGGGCAGTAGCTAGCAAAAGGTAGGGGGGGTTCGAAGGTAAATGGAGATCTAATTGGAGAGATAAAATGGGTTCTTGCGAAACCGTTAAGCGCTAGGGACAAGGAAACTTCTTCTCAGGAGGGGGAGCGTCTCTGTTGCTTGGATCCGTCAACGAGCAGCTCGAGTGATGTCAAGTGGTCGCTGTTGCGGTGAGGATCTGATTGGGCAGGACTTCGGAGCGGATGAACAAGGGGGCCGGCCCAGCGTTTCCAACCTTGTTGGTTCCCTGGGCAAGCCAGAGACTCGAAGGGGTGACCTAAGATACTTCTGGTGTGTGAATGATCGATTCCTTCGAGGTGAGGTTGTGATGCACAACGTATTTACGGCCTGCTTTCGGAGCTCTACCAAGCGTTGATCCTGATACTAATCTCTATGATGTCTGGGAAGATAGAATAGAAGCAAGAAGAGCGCGACACATGAGGAAGTTCCTCCGAGCCGAAAATTTGCATCCAGGCCTGCCTTGTCCGCAAGACAAACCTCCCAGAAATGACGGCCCTGGAAAAGATGACAGCCTCTTTTCCTCTCGGTGGTCCATCCGCCATTAGCAAGCCAGGACCCATGTTGCCAAACTGTAACTCTGGTCGTTACTATTCTTTGTTCAAACTTTTTAGCCCGTTTTGGCCACACCTTGGTTCTATTCGGATGCGAAACATGGGCTGGCTTTTCAACAAGGCCTGGCCATGGCCGAGTGCATATAGCACCTGTCACCAGCGATGTCATGGGAAGATCCCTGAAGCCTCTGTGTTTGAAGTATGTTTCCCTGAGGCTCAGACAACCCGTTCGTTGTCATACATAGTTACAGTCTTGGGGCATTCCTTTTTCCCAAGTCTTTCCCGGCCAGACAGACCACCACCTCTGGGAGTCATGGAGATTGATGATCTAATATGCCATTTGCCCCTGCATTAGAGCCAAGGTGATTCGGATGGAAAACTCAACTCGTAGCCATCTTGTTGAATTTTTACCTTTTTTTTTCTGGAGAACGTCAGGCAAATCCTTCGTTTTACGGTACTACCGAGAGTCCTTTTCCACTCAGTGGATAGTCCTTCGGGATTCAAGGCCGTTTGCGCTACTATCTCAACTACCAGTATTGGTACGAACGGAGAAACGGTACTAAGCATGTCCCCCTTCATCTCTACTCCGTATACACTCCTATATTGAAGCAGAGACCGGCAGTGGGTTTCTTCAAGTTGGGATCTTGCTCCGACTCCAACGACCGTCTCTCGTCACTCAGCCAGGTGGCGGACCTTGTTGCGGGGTGGATTCTTGTTCTTCTGCTGAGCCGTGGAACGCACAAAGTCAGACTGAATCGTCCCTGGAGGCAACAAATGCCGTCGGTGCATGCGGTGCCTTGGGGGCGACTTTCCTGTCGCATCGATTTCCGGGGACGGCTGGAGGCACGCCAGAAGTCGAGGTGGTCGAGAAGCGACAGATCATGGGGCTGGACCCTGCAGAGACCGGCGCTGACAGGCAGCCAGGGCGTCAGCGCCTATCTTTAGCAAAGGACGCGCCGCCCAGAACGGAACTCGGAAGGGTTTAGTCAGCAGCGCTGCGATTGGGCGGCGGAGGTCCGGGACGGTCGGCTCTTGGCGGGTCAGTTAGGGCTGCCTTATCGGGTCTTATCGTCCGAACCAGGGAATCGCCGGCGAGGGCAACGTAACGTGCTGCCCTCTGCTTCCTCCTCCTGTCCTCTCTCTTTGTCTCTCACACACGCTCTCTTCTTCTTCTTCTTCTTCTTCTTCTTCTTCTTCTCCTCCTCCTCCCATACGTTACTCTTCAAGACCATTGCCTTGGTCTTCGTTGCTGCTCTCCCCTCCTGACCCCTGTCACCCCGAGTGTCATCTTGTCAGAGGCCAGTCCACGCAATACGTCACAGGTCCATCATCCATCGTTAAAGCCTCTTCAATTTTCCCCATCCCCACGAACCTTTTTCGCCTCGTAATCCTGCGCTCTTTTTCTTTAAAAGGAACAATTTTTTCCCTTAGTTTATTCTCTCTCTTGTGCCTTTTTTTTTTTGCTTTATTCAGTAGATATCTCGTTTCGCTCGTTTGCCCAGTGCCATCCCTGCTTCTTGCTCCGCACGTTCCCGGCCGATGCAGGGATCAACAGTCTAGCTCTTCCTCACTTGAAAATGTTCCATATTCCATACCCGCCTGCTCGGACAGGTTTCTGGAGTCCCGTCACCTCGACTCTCAACTGGTGTGAGGAGGTAAGAAATAACTTCCGGTATCCTCGCGTTTATAATCTTGTTCAGGGCGCGTCGACTGACAGTATGCATTTGCAACTTAGGATTACTATGCCACCATCTATTTTGCCGAGATCGTCAACTCCTTGACCAATGCGTTGTTTCTCTTTCTCGGAGTAAAGGGGATCATCAGCTGTCGAAAAAATGGCCATGATTTCATCTTTCAGATCGCTTTCATCGGCTACTTTATCGTCGGCCTTGGAAGCTTGCTCTTCCATTCTACATTGAAATGTGCGCTTTCGCCCCTTGAACTTCCTATCCCCATTCCCAAACCATCCGCTAACCTTCTCGCTCGACTAGACCCAATGCAGCTCGTCGATGAACTCTCCATGATTTATACCACGTGCTTGATGTGTTACGCCACTTTTTCCTTCTCGAAATCTACAAAGGCCCGCGCCATACTCGGCTCCAGTCTTCTCGGTCTATCTATTTTCATCACCGCATACTATCATTATCTCCAGGATCCAAGGTTCCACCAGAATGCCTACGCCATACTGACAGTCGTGGTTGTCCTTCGGAGTATGTGGTTAATGGAGGTAACCCTCCGATCAAAATGGCGCAAGGCCCGCGCACTGAGTGCATCAGCACACGTCAACGGAGGCTCGAACCCATGCTCCTCGAGAGACGTTCAACTCTCCCAGAACACCCGAGATTTGAAAATTCTGAACACCATGTGGTTCATGGTTGTGTTTGGGTTGACTTCGTTCCTTACCGGCTTTTTGATCTGGAACCTCGACAACCACTATTGCTCCACTTTTAGAGGCTGGCGCAGGAGAATCGGTCTTCCGTGGGGTATCGTCCTCGAAGGCCATGGATGGTGGTATGTACTTGTCGATCTGAACCTCAACGATGGGTGCATTCAATGCTAATTTACATCTCTAGGCATCTTCTGACTGGAACTGGTGCATACATTTATATCATTTGGGGCATTTGGCTCCGGCACTGCCTTAACGGCCGCCAGGACGAGTATGAACTGTATTGGCCACGGTTCTACAATTGGCCTGACGTTGTCCGTGTCGAGAAAGAGATCCCAAAGCCCGTCCATTTGAACGGAACGGCCGCGATAAAGACCCATTAAACTCTTCATGTTACACCTTTTCTTCACATCTCTCTTGATGTTAGATACCTATCTTCTTTGAATCTGATGGTTTATCGGACGGATTAGAGTAACATGTTCCCTTTTTTTTTCTTCTTTTTCTTTTTTCGGATTCGGTTTCGAGTACCTCCCTTAGTATAGATTTCTTTTGCGGTTTTGCTCCGGGCTAGAAAAGATCACTTCCACTTTTTTCTTGTGAAAATTGTTTGAATACTGAATTTCACCTTTCTCCCACGTTTGCTGATGCGAGTAACTACATGTATAGATGGGTCTTCCCAAAACAAAAAGTACCTGTTCTGCCCTTGATGTTTCGTCGTGAGTATCTATTTTTTTTTTAGCTGAGAACTTCTCGGTTTTCTGGGCTCCCGCTCTTGTGGAGCATCGATATCATGGAATGCAGTGAGATTAAAGCCGATCTTCCCAAATGCAGAAACACTCTCATTTCGCACTTTACCAGCTACAATACTGACTTCATGGGCACTGTGACTGAGCCCCAGTCTTTCAACATGCACTCCCCCTTCTTAGCCAATTTTCTTTCGTCCTTCTCCTCTTTTGTGAGCAAGTGGAACTGGTATCCAGTGTCTCCAGTAGCGCCAAAGAATTGTTTGTCAGTCATGACCCAGTAGACCGTATCAGACACCCAGCTCGCTTTTATATCTCTGAAGAGAGTGTTGTTGTCTGATATCTACCATGCTGGATAGCTGTCTCCTCCTTCTCTCAAGCTTCCTTGAAGTCTGAGACCAATCATTAAATCTATCCGGTCAATATCCAGGACAATCAAGAAGCAGTCAGTAAGATGGGCTTTGAGCAGATTCTGCTGACACAGCATGAGTGGACTCTGAGTTGGCTGTCCCTGCAAGCTTGAATTCAGCATTGGTAAGAATGTTTGTTATGCAGAAATTGTCAGAGAATAGTTTGAAGGGGCTAAGATTAAATATGCAGAGTTAACCTTCTCAGGCAAGCTTATAAGCCACGTTGTATATCTGCACCCTTCAGCTGACTCGATAGTATTGTTCTATCGGGTGGACAGATGATTCATCCGTGTGTCTTTCCAGAAAGCACATCACCGAGACTTCCACTTCAATTTCTCTTCCGGAAACATGGGTGTGCCTGGGCATTGGAAACTAGACGAATACAGAACCACCATCTGCAAACTTCACGCACAGGTAGACATTGAAAGACCCGCACTGTAGTGAGACTAGCTCCTCCGGGATGCCACCTTGCATGGTGGCCAAGACGGTGCCGACATTTCTTAGAATCTTAATTTTGAAGAGTTTGTTTGACTTCCATTCTTGGAAAATTTGGTCTTCCCCGTCTGATGCAAGAGGCCCATGCTTCCATATAGGTTGCGGTTGTGAGCGGTGAAAGTTTCATGGTGGATCCGGTGAGATGAATGTACGTCCATCGGACGAGGATTCTATTCAAAATCGAATCAAGAAAGGGTGGCTGAATGTCAGGGAATGGGCTTTTGCGAGGCCTGGGAATTGAGAATGAGAATGTGTCATATAGGCGGATCAACATCCTCTTTATTTGGTGATCGCTGAATTTTGCACACGGCCATGGGAGAAAGTCATTGTGGTATCATTAAAAGGCGTAAAGAGTCTTATGCAACTTTTTTTCCCTTCTGCAGGGAGCACCCAACGCGATTTCTTGCCTTGCGTTGAAGATATGAATAGGTATGGATGGTGTATCTGGAGAGGGTGTGCCCTAATAGGTATTTTAAGCCTACGGCCCCTAAATCACCTCGGATGCTTGACTAGACGAAACATCATTGGATTATAATAAGGGTGTAGGCTAGATACCTTTGTATTCTCTATATGTCTAGGCTTAGCTATACAAGGCATGTGTATATACGGCGTCTATAACTTCGGTGCTCTCTTTTCTTTTTTATTGTTCCCGTTCCTTAATGGTGGCGGCCCGATGTGTTTCTTCCACTCGTCATCAATGGTCATCCTCTCCACCTTGCTCTTCCCTTCCCACTGCTTCCACAAAATCTCCTCCTCTCGCCTCCACCGCTCCAATTCTTTCCCCAGCCACGTTGCACTCAGCTCTGCTGAGTCCTTTACTGCCTCCATCGGGATTAAATGACCTACTTTCTTCAGGGTATATGCATCAACCCTGCCCTCTTTCGCTCCTCCGCTCCCACCAACCCCGACTCCGGTGGTTTCGAGCTTCTCCTGGCAGAATTCGGGTTTACTCATGTCGGATTTTTCGCCGAAGATGTAGAATACGCTGGGACGCAGGTAGCGGAGGAATGTGAACATGCGTGGTGATTCCGGGCGGTAGAAGAGGTGGCTATTAGGAACGTCAAGGGAGATGTCTGGATGGGTGAGGCGCTGCGTTTCCCGGTCTGAGTTGGCGATGGAGTACTTTGGGCGGGAAAAGGTGAAGACCTCTTGGTGGAGGGTTGTCGTTAGGGTTACGGGGCGCTGGCCCGGCGGTAGGGTTTGGGACTGTGAGTCCAGGGGGTGGATGGCCGTGGGCAGTTCGCGGAGACCATACTTTATCCAGCGGTCGAAGACGCGTTGGTCCCAGGATTGGTAGAATTTGCTTTTGCGGAGGATCTCGGCGGCGGCGGAGCGCGAAGGCCAGAGATCTCGCCGGTAGGTGGATGCACGGGTGGTGGTAGGGATGTTAGTCCCCTTGGTGTGGAAGGTATGGTCGGAAATATAGGACTTGAGGTTTTGAATTGCCGGGTCCATGAGAATGATGGTCGTGAAGAGACGGGGGTGGATGGTAGACAGGGCCACCCTACATAAGAAATATTAGGGACTCGTCCTCGAATGAAGTCAACTGGGATAAACGAACAAGTGCCCGCCGCCCATACTATGACCAATGCCCACTATCGGACGAGGCATTTCCTCCCTTTTTAAGTTGATCAAATGCAAAAGGTCTCGAGGATGGTCGAAGCATGACGCTACCCTGTGCATTAGTGATAGGTCTACTATTTGAAATGGGTCTTCATACGATCATTGCCCATGGCGTGCTCGTTTAGCACGCTGCTGTTTCCTTGGTGTGCAGCATCTGCAATCCAAATAGCCCGAATTCGAAATCCATTTGATTTAGAGCGTGCCAACAGCTCCTCCCAAAGGGGTTCGTATAATTCCTATTTAATAATGTCAGGCTCGGTGTAGCGACAGGCAAACGCGCAGGGGCGCCTCACCTTCGGAAACCCGTTCGCATGCGCTCCAATGATGGTGACATCTCCGGGCTGCGGACTGGGGTTGTCCAGCGGAATGTACTGCTTCACAGAGAGGTGCAGCGTTTCCTCTTGAGTCGTGCTCGTCGCCCGGGGGTATTCCCGAATGTGTTGGCACGGGGTGACGTGCTCAACCACACGGAAGGGAAAAGTGGTGGCAGCCATCGCAACTTCAGACCTCTGTTTCCGCTTGCATATATCCCGGGCTCCTGAGACAGGTCTCTGTCCTTGATGATGTAGCTATCACTGCTCTCACCCCATGCCGAACCCGCCTCCTCTTCAGCTTTCCGCCCCGTCTACGGAGTACGGCTGGCAACGAGCCGAGGCTGAAATGCCGGCCCCGGCAGCATCCAAGCGCCGAGTCCTGAGCTTGGCATAGATATTATTAGTCATCAATGCCGTTTAATTAGTTATATCACATGATCTGGTGTTGCTTGGGACGCGTCGACCCGTCACGTTTGCCAGCGGCGGATCAATATCAACACCCATGTCGAGAACTTCTGGTGCTCTTCGGTTTTGGCTGAACAGATTCCGTCATTTCCCGATATGCCGCTATGATAATTGTTATTTAAGCTATCTATATTTCAAAGTAGCATTTTATCTCGCTCCTTGCCTATCTACGCATCGAAAATCATGGCAGATCAACCCTCCCATATTGAAGGCGGGCTCTTCTCACAAACCAGAATATGTATCATCCGCTCTCACAAACTTGATAACGATGTCGCCTCCAAAGTACGTACGCTCAGATTTTAATTTGGCCTATCGAACTAATAGTTGCCTATAGCTGTCATCTACAATCGAGGAGCGTGGAGGTGAAGTAGTCATCCATCAGTCGCCTACGCCGTTACCCCCAATCAGCGAATTTTCGCACCTTGTTTCTTCCACCATTGACTTTCCCGGTCACGATTCTGCATGTGACGCGCTGATTCCCGTTGTTAAGCCGCAATGGGTTCACGCTTCTGCCTCCAAAAACAAGCTCGCAAATCCTCGACAATATAATCCCGACCCAAGGCTTTTTTTGAATGACGTCCTCGTTAGCTGTGCGGATATACCAGAAGGTGACAAGGATGCGATTATTGGAGGAGTGCTGGCGATGGGCGGGCTCTATACAGCCAGACTTACGAGTAGTACGACGCACCTTGTTGCGTTGAATATGGATACCGACAAGTGCCGACAAGCCGCTGGACGTTTAAGTAATTTAAAGATAGTGCTTCCTCATTGGTAAGGCCCATTTCATATGCATAATTGCCTGATAAGTCTAAGTGAGTTAGGTTCGATGATTGCCTAAAATTGGGTAAGAGAATAGACGAACGACCGTATATGCTTCCCGACCCCGAAATTCTCCGTGCTCGCTGCGATGATCCCATAAAAGGAACAACAAACAAAGATATCATTGGCGCTTCTACTCCAGAACCAAGATATTTGCTTTCAGCGGACGAGGTGCGGGATGATTTGAATGTATTTGACGGGAAAAGCGTGATGATATCTAGCGACTTGAAGATTGGAGAACGCCTGCTTCAATGTCTTGAGACGTTAATAGTGAAAGGCGGCGGTAGGATTGCCTATGACGTCGGTAGTGCAGACATTTATGTCGGCCGCTATCGCGAGGGTGAGGATTATCAGGTTGCCTCCAGAGCAGGAAAGGAGGTTGGCAACTTGTCATGGTTATACCATCTCATCACACGGAACACCTGGATATCTCCACTCCGTCGACTACTTCATTACCCGGTTTCCCGATCCGGTATCCCTGGATTTAACGGATTGAAAATCAGTTTGTCGAATTATTCAGGCGAAGCGCGAATATACTTGGAAAATCTCATTGTTGCTGCCGGTGCCGAATGCACAAAGTCTCTAAGACAAGATAATACGCATCTGGTCACAGCACATGGGAATAGTGAAAAATGCACTGCAGCCCGAGAATGGAATCTCCACGTTGTGAACCATCTATGGCTTGAGGATAGTTACGCAAAGTGGCAGATGCAGACTGTTACCAATCCTCGATATACGCATTTCCCCCAGAGAACCAATCTCGGCGAGATTGTAGGTCAGACACAGATTGACAAGTTTGCCATTGAAGAACATTTCTTCCCCCGTGAAGAAGATGCAGCGACGAACAAAAACACGCCGCCGAGCGTTGTGCAGCAGAAGGAAAACAATGTGTGTGTCAGCAACGTGAAAAAACAACCTGAAAAGACAACTACTGCAAAACAATTATCTACTTTAGGATCTTCCACGCCGCAAGGAACGAAAGAATCAAAGCCCACGACTAAAAGGGATCGCCTCTCGCTCCAAACACCCCATGTATCTCGGTTCATTGCTGAAGGAAAAGAGAACGACACCCCATCCACCACTGGAAGCAGAAAGTCTAAAGATGTTGCGACAGCACGCCTACAGGACCTCGCACCGGATATGATTCTCTATGAGAGGGAGAAACGGCGAGCCGGCGGAGTTATTTATGGTGGTAGAAGGAAGAGCGACGATGGCGCGGTCGTATCGAGAAAACGGTCCATTGAGCCCGATGAGACCACAGATACGGAGACCAAAAAGCAAAAGAAGACTAGACCACAGGTGTCTATGCATTTACTTATTACGGGATATTCTCCATGGGTGGGAAATGCGAGACAGGAGGATAATGACAGGGTTTGTCTTTCGGTTCCCTATTCGCAGCAAAGTTGTTTGGGCTCCTTGTTGCTAACACGTACATTAGCGTATTCTACGTGACCTTGGAATCATGGTTGTCCAAGATGCGTCGAAATGCTCACATCTCGCTGCCCCATCTATCCTAAAGACCCAAAAATTTGTCAATGCCCTTGCATACGCGCCGAAGATCATAAATTGCGACTTCATAACCGACTGTGTCAAGAAGGATGAACTGCTCGACCCGAATAAATACAAACTGCGTGACAAGAAGTCAGAGAAAAAATACGAGTTCTCTCTCGACCAAGCATTGCAGAGAGCTGAAAAGAATCAGAATAGACTCCTTCAGGGTCGAACGATATTCTGCGTTGAAACGATACACGGCGGTTTCGACGTATTTAAGTCTATCATCGAGACAAACGGTGGACAGTGCGCAATGTACCGGGGGCGGCCGCTAACGATTGCCGGGCGTCGCGGTGCGGATGGCGGAGAGGCACACAAGGAAGAGGTGTATCTCATCAGCGGCGGCGACAAAAGCCATGTGAAACTTTGGCCGAGGTTTCAAACAATGGTCCAAGACGCAAGAAAAGTCCCTAAGATTGTGCGCACGGATTGGCTGTTGGAGATTGCAATGTCGCAGGAGTGGCGGTGGAAAGATGAGTATGAGTGGAAGGAAGAAGATTTGGCAGCATCCGGCAATTGATCCTGGTTATGTTAAGATCCCTGCACACACCGGCGTGTGCCGAGGCAACTGTTGATTAGATGAATTGTAACATATCACCGTTGACCGTGGCCAAGGTCTTATTTTGTGATATTTGTATGGCAGGCATTGATAAAAGGTCTCTGCTTCGTCGTTAGAATCCATCTTCCGCTGTAATCAACGGAAGATCGTATATCATTCAAAAGAACTTCACGCCTTGCTGGTCTTCATTCCCGAACACCTGGGCCTTCCCGCGTTTTACCAGAACATGCAACGACTTCTGCAGCACATCTGGATCCATGCCGTGGAATTCCTGCGACATCGTAGCCTCCCCTTCTGTCAATTCGTAAAGCGTGAGAACAGTGTTCTTCTGCGCTGTTTCCTCGACCTACAGCGCCATTAAAATCATCAGCATAAAAAGATCCAAAAAAGAAGAACGAAACGATCTCTTACCCAGTCAGCAATCACGCCAGCCCACTCCTCAGGTCTCCGCCACCAGATCCACGCTACGCTCTTCCCTCCCGCCTCACCACCAACCCACTCCGCTCTCCGACCGCCTTGCGCACCGCACATCCAATCCACAATCCTCCGTGCGTCCACCAGGCTCAGCCGTTTGCGGATCTGCTTGTTGTGAAACAGTGGGGAATCGAGGGCATCGACGAGGGAGAGACGGTAGAGGCGGTGATGCCGGCAGTATGCTTGGATGAGGGCGGACCATTTTTGGAGCTGGGAGAGAAGGGTTTGAGCATTGGGCTGGAGGGTGAAGAAGGGCGGAAAGGAGTGCGGCGCGGGGAAGGGAAAGGTGTTTTGCTCTGCGGGGGTTGGGGTGGCCGGGTGTGAGGTGAGCGGTGGCATTGGGAGGAATGGCCGGCTGCGAGTGCGATGCGTGTCGGAGGTGGACTTGCTGGTGTCGTCTGCTTGAGTCGTCAATGAGGATTGTATGGGTGGGGGAGCTGCGCGGAGAAGCCTGGATGCTACATATAGTGATGGTATCAAGGGTTATTATCAAATGTTATAACGCCACGCCCCCCAAATAACCTGGTTATTCCGGCACCCCTCCGCAAAAAAACCACCCCAAAATAACCTGCTGTTTTCCTGAATGTTAAGCTTCGTGTTGTACTTAGTAAATGTGATCTTCATTAGTTAACTAGTTAGTTAATTGCATTAGTTCTGTAGGCACTGTGCAGACACACATATATATCAGAACCAGAAGAAGACACCACTTTGCTATATCAAATATATATAGACTACTAGTTCTGAGCATTAATTCAGGGAGATGCAGGCTAGAAATTCTGTTATGGATGCCTGTCAAGATCCATAATCATCTCATCTTGAGACTCTCAGCTACAGTTGACCCTGAGAAGGAGCATGTGGGTATGTTTTCCTTCATAGTAGTACGGAGCACGGAGCACGGAGTACAGGTCTTCTGGATGAAGTGTAATGGCCCACGCAGAATATTCCATCTCTTCAAACTGGAAAATGGTTATTCCACTCCATTTAAAAGTATTAGAAGGTTGTATACGCAGATTTCTCTCCATCTGGTTGATGCTGACATGGGTTTATCCTGGCATGGTCTGACTGACATTCTCTTGACTGTGATTCAACTCCCTGGTTGGAGTTGGGACCCAGCCTTGATTGGATGCTATAGGCTGCTGTAACTAGTTAGTTGGTTACTCACCTGCGGGCATCGTCCTCAACCTCACCTCACCTCACCCTCTGCCTCCGCTATCCCAATCATCCCATCTTCCCACCAGTCACCCACCTTCTTACAGAATCATCAATTCAGTAAAGCTTATGCGATTGCCCAATTCCTTCTGTGGCGGGACTAGATGTATGTGGCCTGATGCTCAAGTTCATGAAGGGCTGAGGGCTACCCTCCCCCATGTGATCTAAGAATTAACTAGTTAGGTGGTTGGCTCCATCAATCTACAGGGGAATCTTTGCATACCTAGTCAATTGTCAGCTATCAGAAAATACCCATGGGATAGTTCCCAATACCATGAGAGTCAATCCCCAATGATATTTGTTAGAGTCTAACTAACAAATGAAAATGTTTGTTAAAATATGATAGAGACTGAAGAAAGTCACATCTTCTCTATCATATCAGACTTTGTTCTCAAAGACTGAGATCTTCTGTGATGTAGCTGGTGATGATTTGTAGTGATGAGAGATGTTGATGTCCTGCCCTCCCATGTCTCAAGTGCCTTGTAGGCCTATTGGTCTTAGCAACCAATCATTACTGCATCTTGGTTGCTATGCTAAAAGGTCGACAACACAGGCAGCGACCATCACCTACAGCTGAGACCCCTCTTTAGTTATCATTTCTGAACCCTCCCTTCTGCTTTTGCTTTGCTTTTAGAGGTACTCTGCCATCACAATCTGAGAATAACTCAGTGAAAGGAAGGGCTTCATTAAAGGAATACAAATAGGTATGCACTCCCCAATTCCGTTCCTCCTCTAGGACTGTCAAGCCAGACTGAAAGCTGCTCTTGAATGGAAACTGAAGAATCTCAGGAGAAGACTGCCATTCTGCCAATACCCGAGCACCAGTCCATTTCAAATAGGCAGTTTAGTTCTCTTGGTTATCTTTTGAATATGTCCCAAGAGTATGGTCCCAGGCGACCTCACTCAGTCACGGCCCCAATGTATGCGCAACAAGGGATAATCATGAACTCAATGGCACTCCTCGGAGCAGAGCATCAAAACCATGTTAGCAACCTTAATATTACAAGCCCATCGACGACCACGGCAGCAACCACAGCGAAACGGAGCCGTAAAAGACGGACACCCCTCCACAAAGCGGAAGTTAAGGAATTAGCGGACCAGCGCTGTTCTGCTCCGAAGCTCGATGTTGACAACCGCGTGGTTGAACGACTGAAAAAGTGTATTCAAAAAGCCAATCATCCGAATACTTCTGAAGCTGAGGCTAAGGCGGCGCTCTTTTTGTCGTCAAAGCTCATGACACAGTACAACATCAGTATGCTTGACGTGCTGAACGCGGACGACAAGCAAGAAGATGGGCTGCACAAGCATGGGGGCCAAAGCATCGTTGAGATTAGAAAATCGCGCCAATTAAACGCAAGACCGAACAATGAAGGTTTTGTTAGCATTGTTGCACATGCAATGGATACCTTTTTTGATTGCAAACACTACTCTACTCAAGGGATGTGGTATATCAGATGGACGTTCTATGGTATTGCCCTGAATACTGTCTCTGCTGCCATGGCTTTCGAGATGGTTTACAATCTAATATCAAACTGGGCATGTGATCAGAAAGGTGGGAGTTCGGCCTACAGCTATAGCATGGGCGTAGCACGCGGTCTTCTCTGTATGGCGCGAGAAGACAAGACGCTGCAAGCTACGCGTGCTCAGAAGGAAGAGGCTGAACGTCTAGCAACTGAGGAACTCCGTGAGCAGCAACATCGGCAACAAGAATTAGGGCGGCTTGGAGTTTCCGAACAGCTTGACGGGAATCCGACTGGAACATCACGGTTGGCGGAGGACAGCGGTGAAGCCCCTTACAAAGCTCACCATAGCGACGATGATTGCGACGAAGAGGATGATCAGGGTGGCCCCACAAAATTTGAGGGAGTCTCTTTGGGCGATGTGTCAATGACTGGATTTGATGAGGACATCAAAGCCGATTTCTCAATGCAGGACGATGAAGACGTTAATGTTCTTGGGGATTGGGATGAGCAGATGGCGAAACTCGTGAAAAAGGAACCGTCCGACCCGGACGATATGAGCGCTTTGCAGAATTTAAATGTAGCATGGTCGTCCGAAACACAATTGATCAGGTTCCAGGAGACAGCAAGCCAAGTTGCTGATGAGTTTTTACAAGAGCAAGGTGTCAAATTAAGCCATCGCAATACAAGAAGAGCTGGTGTGCGCGACCCCAACGCGTACAACCAAGGGAAGAGAGATAGCAGAAAGATCAATGTTCGTCAAAAACAACTGGAGCATTAGGAATTTGGTGCGGATGTAGCTGAGATGAAATCATCGCCGCAAAACCATTGGGTGTTTTGTTCAGACATTGCGTTGAAATGATAGTGGTTAGTCGATGTATTTAAATATCTCCTCATTCAGCATGTTCTTCCGCGACCTCACTGCAAGACCAAATGTGTTAGATAGCTATTTGCAATTGGCCGCCTTTCAATCAAAAACATCTAGACACTCATGACAATGTTTTAGTGGCTTTGTTTATGGCGTCTGTCAAGCAGATTAACAAAGCGGCCTGCCTGCTGCGCGACTATGGGCATAGTATGATTGAGCATCTTGGGATAATCGAAATTCCTTCCTGATTATTATAGGAACTGTACATTGATGCGGAAACCCTGAGCTCAGAGTGCCCGGCTAAACAGCATGACCGACGGCTGCGGGAAACATGGCGAACACTCCACGCCCTCAACTGCTCTCGGAGTAAGAGGTGTGATCGACATCTTCTCAGTTATTAATCATAGAGGACTAAGAACTATAAAGTGAGCTATTAACTTGTATTCCATATTCAAACATTCTAGAACCAAAGATTGTTGCTCATAATAAGTACATACAAGGTTGGTCATGGTAATTGTTACTTGCTAAGACATGGCACCAGCTTCCAGCACCTTTGCGAATAGCACATTCATACCAACGCCGTGCGCTCTATGCGGATCCCAACGTTGAAAAACTGCAGAAAGACTCTTATGCCCATCACCACGCGGCCGACACGATGCTCGGCAGCATAGTCGCAGTGTTGTTCCACACCTGGCTGGAACCGACGACGAACAATGTGCCGATATACCATGTGTTTCTGTACCCTTGCAGGCCGTACATGTCCCTGTAGAAGCCGCCGGTGATGCTCTGAGATGACACATCAAGGCGCAATGGCGAGAAATCTGAAAAGTCGAGGAATTCAGGCTCTGCCGTGGTTGTGCCGTTGGTGGCTCTCTGCAGTGTCTTGATCGTAGTTGTCATGGCCTTTTGCACTTTGTCCCTGGTTGCCGGCTCTCCAGGGTTGTACCAGTAGTAGAATAGACCGTCCACGTGGGTCGGGGTGATGACTGGGACGTTTGGCAAGGCAGGGACGTGATAGGAAGTATTGGCGCCGACGTTGTGATAATTGTAATCCGTAGAGAGGCCGGTGTTGTTTATCACCCCACCGTAGTATGGGGAACCTCTGATTTGCGACAAGATTCTTCCCTCGCGCTGGTCGAGGCCGAAATACTTCATATTGTCGAGGATCTGCGGCATAGCGATGATAAGTTGCTTGGCCATGATGAGCTTATTGCCGGCTGGAGTTTTCACAACGAGACTGACGCCACCTCTTCTTCTTCTTGACCGGTGGGCGAAGAGAACGGTCGAGTCCAGCAGGACGTCTGGTCCCAGCTCCGCCAAGGCGTTCCGGTAGAGCTCGGAGTTGTCATGGTTGGCGTTTACGATTGCAAGCCCGTTGTGTTCAGCCAGCATGACATGGTTTATGTCGTTGAAGACGTACATCGCAAGGGTATTTAGCGGATTTCCCGGATTTGCGGGTCGCGCAAGGGTGGCGTGCACCGATTGATTGATGTTATACTTTTGTATATATTGCGACCATGGCAGAAGCAGATCCTTGGGGATAGGGTCTGGCAAATTGAAGCCGTTCTCGAGATACGGGTACTTGTTGAGCTCATTGACATAATCGGGGCCGAGATGGGGTATCTGGAAGTCTGGTAAGACAGTTCCCCAGGCGAAATCGGCATAAACGGGCGTTCCGGCAAAGTCAAAAGACGCGTTTGCTATGGGAGTGTTGAGTCTTGAGAAGAAATTGCGGCAGAGGGTATTGTTGAGGTACAGTTGCACTCCAAAGTCGACCGTTCCGCCAGTCTTGGGAGCGGTATAAGTGACCGCATGGCCACCCAGCCTTCCTGAGCGTTCGACCAAAGCAATGGATCTGTTCATATCTCGCAGGCCGATTGCTGCGTATGTTCCTGCCGCTCCGCCGCCAATAATGGCGAAATCCCGAAAGATCACATCGCCAGCGGCATATGAATCGGGGCTGAATATGTCAGCCGCCAAAGCAAGAGGATAGGCGAGCACGCTCAGGATCGCGACAGAGAGCTGCATCTCTGAAAAAGGCCAACCAACGCCAGTAGGGACTTAAATGTCTATTTATCAATGATGGTTGAGACGAAAACACAGGACAATATTAGGGTTAACTTGATCCTGGAGGGGTACGGGAATGGACTTTTATATCCATCTCTCTCTCAGGAGGCTAGATAGCGTATCTCTTTTTGCATCATTGCGCAAATTCAGCAACATCTCGACAGCTGCCTGAACATCATGGTGACCAGTCTCCGCGGTTTAACTGAAGCTCCGAGATCCCTCCGCACCCCCCCTCCCCCCAATGCTAAATATACTTCAATCTCGCATTCTGGCTTTTGCTCCTGGTCTCTATGACATAACACTGCCCCTTACATCCGTATAGGGTCTGTTTAACAGAAAGAGAGGAGGGATTCAACTCGGTGCAGCCTTCATCGTCGGCCGTGCTTCTCGTATGTCTCGGGAACAAGTAAACCCGTATCTTAGCTAACTAACTAAGTAGTTAATGAGGCCGCACTTATGTTCCGGGAGCCCTGAAACAGAAAGCTGGAAATGCCTCATGAGAGGGCGAGAAGACAACAGGGCACAAACTGATCTCGGTGCTTCCTGGAGATTTGTTGGATGTTGCCGCGGAAAAACGTCGCGTCTGCGTACAAACTCTCAAAAGCGAGCATCATCACGTGAATCATCGCTAAATTTAGCCAACACAGCGCTTTGTTTGACCGACGTCGTCAAAGCCATGCACTTTTGAGTCAGCCTGTCAAGAGACAATCAGCCGGTGTCCGCAGACTTTTCCTGAGCTGCTCGAGGACGAAGTCAAGGCCAAGCGTTTGCGAGCTGTTGGGCTGTGCCGCTTGGGATCTGGAACCCGAACTGGGCAATAGACATGCTCGAGGGCACCACTGCTGCAGCTGTTCAGCAATAACAGCGACCATTCGCGTCGACTCAGTCACCTAGCTGAGAGGCTGGATTGGAGTGGGGTATGCAAATTACCTCCAGAGCCGGAATAAGGAGAGCTCTTTTCCCCTATCCTCCATTTCTTTCTTTTATTACGGTGAGTCTTGGCCGATCCTTGATCCAGTATTAATTTTCGCATGTGAAGTCTGTTGCAAATTCCTGCGACGCGTGTATTGCTCCGCGTGCTTTATATTTTGAGGGTCGAATGGCCTTTATATGGCGCAATTAACAAATTGAAATTGGTTTCAATTACTATCTTCGACACGGAGTACGCGATCTTATCTACTACAAAAACTCATTCGAAAGAACAGCGACCAGTCGTATTTTCGGCCATATTTATCCCCAGTCTCATAAGCCACTTACTGCACCAATTAATGCCTTCAGGCTTTGTTTATACCCCTGGGTAGCTTCTTGCAACATCACATTATAGTTAAAATGCCATATTTTATGCGACCGGTCCTTGATTTCTTCAAAGCAGGTCTCAGCCTTAACCCACTTTGCCGGGTCGGCCCATTCTGGCTGGTGATATAGGTCACAAACCCTTCGACTGCTGTTCACAAGCCACTGGCTCCTCGTGCGTCTAACAGAATTAAACGTCTCGAATACCGAGATCAAAGCTTGATCTCTGATTGTCGGGGCTTTCTGGATCAAAACGCGCGCTTCTCCCATCAGGGTGCAAAGGCATAGCACATCTTCGATGCCCATACACGCGCCAGCACCGTGGTGAGGACTGGAAGCGTGGGCGGCATCACCAGCAAGACATATCTTACCTCTGTTGTAGAATGGAGCGGGATAGTCCCAGAGGTCGAATACCGCCCATTTATCGAGTTTCTCTGGGAGCTGGCTGACTAGCCCACGAACGCAAGGGCTCCAACCTTCAAATGCATCTTCGACGTCTTTCCGAGTAGCGGGCGCGACCGTTCGTTTATCGTCAGGCCATTCTTCGGGGTCCGAGACAAAGGCTGTGGCGTTGATCATAGTTTGGTTGGCGACCGGGTAGTGGATGAGATGCGCGTTAGGCCCAACGTGGATGTGCTGGTTCCTGGCTTTGTACTCTCCCAGCACTTCAATCGCCTTGGCCATGGGGATCAGGCCACGATAGGCGATCTTGTGTGTATAGTGAGCGTATGATGCTGGATTTCCCTCTCCGAGAATAATCTCTCTCACACGTGACTTGATCCCGTCACATCCAATGACTTGCAGCGTTTGAGAAACGATCTATCAGTGATCATTCACGAGAGCAGAAGTAAAACTGACTCCGGTTACAAACTTACCAGCATCAGCTTCTGCTGTCGTTCCGTCACAAAATATCAGGCGAATCTTTCCACCATCCTCCTTCTCTTCAAGAGTGTCTAGGCGCTTCCTGCACTGGATCACGTCTGCAGGTAAAATTTTTACAAGCTCTTCCAAAAAGCGGTCACGACGGCATCCCTCAAAGCCTTTGTACCCTGCATCAATTTTGAAGAGCATTTTCTGATAAGAAGGGTCAACCTTGCGGTGTTGATTATGCCCATCGATCCACCGAAGATAGTCGTTTGGATCTGGATCCTGCTCGTCGCCGCTTGAAGTTGCGACTGATCCGCTTGCTCTAAGCGCTACGGTAATGGTGGGGTCGATCAGATCCATACATTGCCTTGCATTGGCTGTAAATGCCATGCCGGCACCGATCTCACGAAACCCTTGGGCTTGCTCATAGACCATGACCTTTATTTTTTGACGTATGAGGCCGACTGCAAGCACAACTCCGACAATACCACCGCCAACAATGGCGATATCGAGAGGCGCTTCTCCAGTAGCGGTATCCGGCATTGGGAGATATGTGGGAACGGTCTGAAAATAATTGATGTGATGGCTTCACGTCGCCGTGAAGCCCAGAACCGAGGCAGTACAAAGGGATTGATGGCCAAAAAAGGCGTAATCGCAGAGGGGACTAGAGCGCAACTGAGAGAGAGGCATGGTCTAGCTACCTTCAGCTCTTGATAACATGGTATTGGTTCTGCCTGTTGTATGGCTTGCGTGGAGTGAGAGTGAAAGGTAATTCCTGACGGAGTAACTCGCTGCCGAGTACGATGAGTTCGGGCGATCTATCGCATCTACTATAACAGTTCAATACGACTAGTACCAGTCACGTCAAGCTGATGCAGCACTTGGGTTTTTGAGAAGTCTGAGCGACATTTTGTGCTGCTGGTCCAAGCTCCGAATGCCCAAGCTTCCGACCGATACCTCCGAGTGATCAAAATAAAACCGAAATTTCTTGGCAATCTTGGCCAACAAAAAGGAAACGCGCTTTTGCTTCGTGCCGAGTCGCATGCCGTCGCGCTGCTGTGAGTGAACGAAGAATCAAAAACCGAAAAAGGCTTCTACGTGCAATATCGTGGCCAGACCTATGTGGATCGAGAATCAATTCCCTGATGTCTTCGGCGGCATACTTCTGTCAGGTCCCGAAATTCCAGGCGCACGGGGACGACCCCGGAGTATTTCCCGCCCGCGGAGTTTCCTCTGCCATGGCTTCGACGTCCTTGTCCATGACAGGGGTCAAAGGCTATCGCTACGGGTGACTGGGCGCTTCTTAGCATTGCAGCACGGCAATGGGCAGGACCCCATTCGTGCTATAGCTTGGCAAAATTCTCGTTCACCGTATGGTGTGTCTATATCCACCGTCGGCGGACGAAAACGTAGCTTCAACGGGCATAGTATGACACGAAGGCCTACTCTACCTGTTCAATTTAGCTGGACTATCTTGGCCTTAATTGCTTAATTTCCTTGGTTCTTTTTTCCGAACCGCCGCGATAGTTTCACCTGCTGTGGATTCATGCCAACCAGGAAAGCTAGTTGCTGTTCCTGCTGTATAGGAATGCTGTTTGACGAGCAAGCCACATACAAGATGTACCTTGCTATCACGGACTTCAAATATGGACATGAGCCTTTTCTGTCCTTATACCCACGTCTCGCCTCCTTTATTTATCCGTAACTCAGCTTCTCCCGGGCACATTGATAATCTCTTTTTCCGGGCTCCTGTACCGCAAATAAATTGTCTTCTTTCTATAACCACTCGTTTTATAACCCATAAATACCCCCGCCGCCCCGTATCATTCGATTCACAGAGCCAACGAGCAACAAAAAGCCCAAACGAAGAAAGGGGTCAGACTTGGATGTTGTATATTCGTCCAAGTGAATTATGAGCACAATCCCCTCATAAATTTTCTTTCACACGAAATAGACTTCTCAACAATAGATCTGTCCCTTCTCTCTCCTTTGCCATATCCCCTAGAACCGGAAACCGGCAACGATGATGAACATGGATGATCGGTTAAAGTGCCCCATTTCAGGACCTTTGATTTTACTATTCGGATCTCTTCCCTTGTCCTTCGACGAGGCTTCCTTTACCGAGTTACGGAAAACCGTGATTGAAGCCGATTCACACGACTGGATTCTTAAAGCTATTGCCGAACTCCCGCAATGTTGGAGGACTATCATCGCAGCGCTTCCAAATCTTGAAGACTGGTCAGCTCTCAATCAGTTGGAAAATCTAGACTTTGCCTTTAGGACTGGACAACAGCTCAAAATCCCGTTCCCGCTTCCGAACGCGCTCCTGATTCCTCTTGCTGTTATATCTCACCTGGCACAGTATACGGCTTTTCTTCACAGTAACCAACTTGACCTGGACAACAAGTCTGACCACCTCCTTGATTCAAAGCATGGCGCAGAGACGCTTGGTTTCTGCACAGGGCTCCTCAGCGCTTTCGCTGCATCAAGTGCAACTCATAGGGAGGAGTTCGTCAAGTATGGCGCCGTCGCAGTTCGTCTTGGCCTGCTGATTGGAATGGTTGTGGACTCTCAGGATAGAGAGTCTGAACTTGGAACTTCAAAGTCTCTCGCCACTCTCTGCAACACCGCTGAGAGCGCTAAGGAGGTTTTGCGTGTCCTGAAGCACTTCCCTGAGGTAAATATTTTTTTTTTTTAAAAAAAAAAAAAAAAAAAAAAAATTAAAATAAAATTTTGCCCCCCTCCCCGGACCTGTGTCAATGTTCTTGCCTCTACCTTGATATTATAGCTAATGGGACCATCTAGGCCTACGTTTCCGTCTATTATGATGAATATCGAGTCACTGTGACCGCGGCATCCTCAACGGTTTCGAAGTTGCAGCAGCAGCTGAAATCGTCCGGTGTGATGGTATCTGAAGTAGGCCTATTCGGACGCTTTCATGCCGAATGTCACCGACCTCAGTTAAGTTCATTAGTTGAATTCTGTAATACCCATCCAGAATTTCAACTCCCTGATGCATCGCAGCTAGTGATACCCACTAGATCAAACAGTGGAGGGGAGTTGATCACCCAAGGGACCTTGCACAGCCATGCTTTGACGTCTATTCTGGTAGAGCCTCCACAATGGTATCGGACTTTCTCCACTGTTCGTGCTGGCAGCCTAAATGATAAAAATGCCGCCATCTTCTCGTTTGGCTCCGAACGGTGCATACCACCGTCACTCATGCGCGGTTTGAGCCAACAGGTGGTCTATGTGGCGGATCGAGATCTAACCAACGAGCAATTCGAGGGATTGCAGAAGGACCAGCGGACCTACTCGGACAATGACATTGCCGTCGTCGGTATGTCATGTAAAGTCGCCGGCGCGGAGGACCTGGAGGAGTTCTGGAACCTTTTATGTTCAGGGAAATCACAGCACAGGGAGGTTCCTAAGGAGCGGTTTGGTTTTGAGACAGCATTCCGTGATACTGACCCGAAGCGGAAGTGGTTTGGCAACTTTGTCAATGGCCACGATATGTTTGATCATAAATTCTTCAAGAGAAGCCCACGCGAGAGCGCTACAATGGATCCTCAGCAGCGTCATCTTTTACAGATTGCCTACCAAGCTGTCGAACAGTCTGGCTACTTCCACTCGGCCAACCCCGAGAAGAACATTGGATGTTATATAGGCGTTTGTGCGACTGACTATGAGAATAATATCGCTTGTCATGCGCCCAACGCCTTCTCTGCAACTGGGAATTTGCAAGGCTTTATTGCAGGAAAAGTCAGCCATTACTTCGGCTGGACAGGCCCAGGGCTTACCATTGATACAGCCTGTTCTTCATCAACTGTTGCTGTGCATCAGGCATGCCGCGCAATTATTAGTGGAGAATGCAATGCCGCCCTCGCAGGGGGGACCCATATTATGAGCGGCCCTCTCTGGTTCCAAAATCTTGCAGGGGCCTCTTTTTTGAGCACCACAGGACAATGCAAGCCTTTTGATGCTGACGCTGATGGCTACTGCAGAGGCGAGGGCATTGCTGCTGTGTTCCTAAAGAAGGCTTCTGCTGCCATTGCTGATGGGGACCAAATCTTGGGTGTCATTGCTGCAACAGCTGTGCAACAAAATCAAAACTGCACTCCTATCTTTGTCCCCAATGTTCCCTCCTTATCCAGCCTCTTCTACGCTGTCACGAATCAAGCCCGCATCAAGCCGGCGGAAATTTCCGTTGTTGAGGCACATGGCACTGGAACCGCTGTTGGAGACCCTGCCGAATATGACAGTATCCGGAAAGCCCTCGGTGGGCCGGCAAGGGCGGGCCCTCTTGCGCTAAGTTCGGTCAAGGGCCTCGTCGGTCACATTGAATGCACGTCCGGAATTGTTTCAATTATCAAGGTTCTGCTCATGATCCAAAAGGGGATGATTCCTCCCCAGGCAAGCTTCAATACAATAAACCCGGCCATCGATGCTACCCCGGCAGATAATATGAGCATTCCCACGAAATTACAGGCATGGAACACCGATTTCAAGGCAGCGCTTATCAATAACTACGGCGCATCAGGATCTAACGCTTCGATGGTTATCACGCAACCGCTAGTTCCCAGATCTAAGACGGCTCCGGAGAGCCCTATCGAAGTGCCCGCTGGGACCAAGTTCCCATTCTGGTTCTGTGGTCTTGACGACCAAAGCCTTCGTCGGTACTCTGAAGCTTTCCGCAAGTTTATTGCTGGACAAAACTCTTCAACGAAGGGACTTTCGTTGTCTAACATCTCCTTTAACCTTGCCCGCCAAAGTAATCGTTCCCTCGAGCGTAGCTTGATGTTTAGTGTTCGATCAGTGGATGAACTACTGCAGAAGCTAGAGATGTTCGAGAAGGGCGATATGAGCGTTGCTTGTGCTGCAACTACCGGCCAGCCTCGGCCAGTCGTGCTCTGCTTTGGTGGCCAAGTCTCTACATTTATTGGGTTGGATCCAAATGTGTACAAACGTGTGGCTATCCTCCAAAAACACCTTGACACTGTCGATGCGGCTGCACGCTCACTCGGTGCTGGGAGTATCTTCCCAAGTATATTCGAGCGTTCACCCATTCAGGATACTGTTAAGTTGCAGCTTATACTATTTGCGATGCAGTATGCTTGTGCTCACAGCTGGATTGACTCAGGCATTCAACCAGCTGCAGTTGTGGGCCATAGTTTCGGCGAGCTCACAGCTCTTTGCGTCTCGCAAATCCTCTCCCTAGAAGACAGCTTGAGGATGGTTGTGAGCCGCGCTACTCTTGTTCGGGACGCTTGGGGTGGTGATAAAGGCGCCATGATAGCGGTGGAAGCTGACGTGGAAGATGTTGAGAAACTTCTTAGCGAGTCAAGCAAAAACTGTCCAGGGGAGATTCCAGCCAGCATTGCCTGCTACAACGGACCCAGGAGCTTCACTATTGCTGGTTCTACAGCGTCTATCGAAGCCGTCGCTGCTGCTATCTCCACACCAGCTTTTTCATCGATGAGAGCGAAGAGACTGAATGTTACCAATGCATTTCACTGTGCTTTGCTCGACCCTCTTCTTCAGCAGCTAGAACAGGTTTCCAAAAATCTAAATTTTGGCGAACCCGTAATTCCCATGGAGAGGGCAACTGAATTTCCTCATCAAGAAAAACTCACCCCTAGGTTTGTTTCGGACCACATCCGTTCCCCGGTGTTCTTCCACCATGCGGTGGAGCGACTCTCTAAGCGTCACCTATCATGCATTTTTTTAGAAGCTGGTTCCAACTCCACGATTACTTCCATGGCAAGCCGAGCGCTTGGTAATCCTGGTAGTTCGCACTTCCACGCTGTCAATATCACATGCGACAATGGAATCAACAATCTCACTGACACCACGTTGAGCTTGTGGAGGGCTGGCCTGAAAGTACACCATTGGCCACATCAGATTGCACAAACAAAAGAGCATACTCCTCTATTGCTTCCTCCATATCAGTTCGATAAGGTGTCCCATTGGATCGAGCTTAGGGCTCCCCCTAAGGTATCATCGACGCCACCCTTGCCGAAGGAGGAAGAAGAAAAGGTTCCTGACCAACTTCTCACCTTCGTTGGATATCAAGATGGCAGGAAGCGCCTCGCTAAGTTCCAGATCAACACGATGATCTCGAAGTATGATAGGCTTATCGTCGGTCACGTCATCGCGGAAACTGAGCCCATTTGCCCATCAACGGTGCAGTTGGATCTTGTCGTCGAGGCCATTCGCAATCTCCGCCCCGACCTCATGGCTGCAAAACTGATGCCGCAGATCCATGGCGTTCAAAATCAGTCTCCTATCTGCATCAACCCAGCGCGGGCAGTTTGGATCGAGGTTAATGAAGACGACACGAGCACAGCCCCATCCTGGAATTTCGAGGTATTCAGCACCGACTTGGCAAACAGCGCCTTGAAAACACTTCATACAACTGGTAAAGTGCTCTTCCGGCCTTCAGATGACCTGATGATTAAACTTGAATTCGCGCGGTTTGAGCGGCTGATCGGCCATCAAAGCTGTTTGAATCTGTTAACGAGTGGTGAGGTCGATGAAATTCTCAAGAGCACGAACATCTACAGGATATTCGCTGAGATTGTTGACTATGGTGAGGACTATCGCGGTCTCGAGAAACTTGTCGGTCGTGGCAATCAGTCCGCTGGGTATGTTGTCAGGAAGTGCGATAGCGAATCATGGCTTGACGCCCACCTTGTCGACAGCTTCTGTCAAGTTGGAGGTATTTGGGTAAATTGCATGACAGATCGAGCTCCAACGGATATATTTATTGCCAATGGGATTGAGCAGTGGATAAGGTCACCGAAGTTTTACCACGGAGACCTCAATCCAAAGGCCTTCCACGTGTTTGCAACCCACCACCACCCTTCGGAGACATCATATCTCACGGATGTTTTTGTTTTTAATGCCAGCAGCGGTGCACTAGTTGAGGCAATTCTCGGTATCAGCTATGTCAGAATACCGAAGGTTTCAATGAGCAAACTACTTTCATGTCTTACCGTGAGGAATGCCCATGGTTGCGCTGCAAAATCAGGGTCAATCAAGGTGGAGCGAGCCGCTAATTCCACGATTACCCTGTCACCAGAGTCCACCATATCGGCCAACCACGCACCAAATATCACCAAACCGGCAAAGGGGAAGAAGCAGTCTCAGAGTCTAGACGTGAGCCCGAAGGTAAAGGCAATTCTAGTAGAGCTCTCGGGTCTTGAGTTGGATGAGATTAAAGATGATAGCCAACTTGCTGATCTCGGTATCGATTCTCTCATGGGAATGGAGATGGCCCATGAGATTGAGCAAGCATTCAATATTACGCTTCCTGAAAGTGAGCTCATGCAGATTGTGGACATGTGTAACCTACTCAAGTGTGTTCAGAGCGCTGTGAAACGCTCTACAGGCGGGGAGGTCGCTGCCGACAGCGATTACGGGGAGTCTGACGATAGCTATGAAAGATCAAACACCAATAACGAGTTCACCGCTTCTACTATTCAAACCAACCAAAGCACTCCTGTGCCCGAGGCGGAAAGAGATCTTCTGAACAAAGAACCTACCGGCCTCGAACTCCCTTTCGCCACAGTCATGGAAGCATTCAACGAAACGAAACAGTTAACGGATGAGAAAATTGCCGAGTATAACCAGACCAACTACGTTGATATGGTCATGCCGGTCCAAACACAACTGTGTATTGCACTTACCCTTGAGGCCTTTGATGAGCTAGGATGTAATCTGCGGGAGGCAAAGCCCGGGCAGAAGTTAGCTCGCGTTTCACACCCTTCGGAACATAGGCGTTTGGTGGATTACCTTTACCGGATGCTTGCAAAGGAAGCGCTGCTGATAAACCTCGATGACGACACTATCACGCGAACTACCACTCCACCTCCGCCAGAATCCAGCAAGGACATCCTCGAGCAGCTACTCAAACGCTTCCCGGATCAAAATACGGCAGATAGACTTACCTTCTACACCGGTTCCAATCTAGCGGAGGTACTGCGAGGCAATACAGATGGGATCAAGTTGATCTTCTGTACAGAGGAGGGTCGCGAGCTTGTCTCAGGCCTGTATGCTGACTGGCCCCTGAACCGGTTGTTCTATTCACAGATGGAAGACTTCTTGTGTCGGCTTATCTCTAAGCTCGATATGAGCACTGGCCCACTCAAGATTCTGGAGATGGGTGCTGGTACTGGTGGAACAACTAAGTGGATTGTTCCTCTTTTGGCAAAGTTGAACGTGCCAATCGAGTATACCTTTACAGACCTTGCGCCGTCCTTTGTCGCTGGTGCAAGGAAAAAGTTCAAACCTTATCAATTCATGAAGTTCAGAACCCATGATATTGAGAAGGCGCCTGCGGACGATCTCATCGGGACTCAACATGTCGTTATTGCAAGCAATGCTGTTCACGCGACACACAGCTTGTGTGAGTCGGCAAAGAATATCCGTAAGGCATTACGACCAGATGGGCTCCTTATGATGCTGGAGATGACGGGTACACTCTACTGGGTCGATATGATCTTTGGGCTATTTGAAGGTTGGTGGTTCTTCGATGATGGCCGCACACATGCTGTTACATGCGAGTCCAGATGGGAGAAGGATTTACAGTCTGTTGGCTATGGGCATGTTGATTGGACGGACGGTAACATGCCGGAAAACAAGGTTGAGAAGCTGATTATCGCAATGGCTTCGGGTTCTAGGTGCGACAGGCTCCGAATTCCTTCCACCCCCAAGCCCATTGAGATTCGATCAGCTGACTGTGCCGCTCGACAAGCAGTCGTCAATAAATACGTGCAGGAGCTGACCGACGGCTTTGCCGCGGCTGTCGATGATGAATTATCGGCCTCTCTTCCGAAGCATAATCCGAAGGGCAAAACTGTGCTCGTGACAGGCGCCACCGGCAGCTTGGGATCCCACATAATTGCCAAACTTGCGATTCTCCCAGATATCAGGCGCGTTGTATGCCTCAACCGGCGAAGTAGACAGGTACCCAAAGAGCGGCAGCAACAGGCTCTGACAAAGAAAGGCATCAGTATTAATCCGGAAGCTTCCAGAAAATTGTGTGTGATTGAGACAGACCTGTCAAAACCTAACCTTGGTCTACTAACGGTCGACTATGAAGACCTTGTCAACAATGTCACCGATATCATTCACAATGCATGGCTCATGAATGCCAAGTGGCCTGTCAAGAACTTTACACCCCAGCTTCAGATTATGCGCAACCTGCTCAATCTCGCTCGTAAGATATCAAGTAGACGGTCGCAGGGAACCAAGGTGACGTTCGAGTTCATCTCCTCAATTGCGACCGTCGGGCACTGGCCCATCTGGACGGGCAAGGTTAATGTTCCTGAGGAGCGGATGACAATCGAATCCGTGATACCCACAGGCTATGGTGATGCCAAATACATTTGCGAGTGTATGCTTGACGAAACGTTGCACAAATACCCAGACCGATTCCGTGCCACGGCTATCCGGCTTGGGCAGGTTGGAGGCTCCAGCGCAAGCGGTTACTGGAATCCGATGGAGCATCTGTCGTTCGTGTTTAAATCTTCTCAGACACTTCAGGCCCTACCGGACTTTGATGGGCTTCTCTCCTGGACACCTGTAGACGACGTCGCCAGCACGCTTGTCGATATCCTGATGTTGCCCGAAGAGACGACCTTATATCCTATTTACCACATCGACAACCCGGTTCGTCAACCATGGAAGGAAATGATTCCTGTGTTGGCGGATGCCATGGATATACCGCCACAGAACGTTATCCCATTCAAAGATTGGGTACAGCGCGTGACAGATCATCCAAGGCGGGTGGAAGGCCCCGAGGGCGAGAACCCAGCAATTATACTGATAGACTTTCTTGACGGGAACTTCCTTCGCATGTCATGTGGTGGACTTCTGCTTGATACGGCGAAGGCGCGAGAGCACTCAAGGACCCTGGCAAATGTTGGGCCTGTGAGCGAGCGGGTGGCTAGGTTGTTTGTTAAAAGCTGGAAGGATATGGGGTTTTTGAATTAGCTGACTTGAACTATTTTCTTTTCTCTTGTTTGACTTATTTGGGCCCGCCTTTTGGAGCACAGAGTACTTCGTACTGTCTATAGAAAGGGATATTTATGGAAGTAGAATGGACTAATATATTTTGAGTCGTATGGAGTACACACTATCCTCTTTCTCCTAGGCGACTCTTTGGAGTCATCACAGCATCGCGGATTGTCCCGCAGGGCTAGTCGAAAACAATCTGTCCCTAACCAGCGAGACCCAGCATGATGTTGTTCTGAATGTAGAAAAGCAACCACTTTGGTTAGGGCTCCTTAAATGCGACCGTACAGGAAGAATAAAGTAGACAAGAAAAAAGTTTGTATATTTCTTACTTCGCCCGCAAGATAGATATGCGCTCTTTGATTCTAATGCTACCTTAACGGGGTATGAACTATAACCCGGTACTTATCTCCATAGATTCAGCACGCCTACCTCCTGGGCAACGGAATATATTCGCTCCACAACTGCTTTCACATCCTTGCTCTTAGTTGGCACAGAGTGTGCGCCCTCCCACTCAAGCAAAGTTGCGGAATTGGGGTCGCAATATTGATTCAAAAGCTCGCGATGGAGGTCGATTCCAGGGTCATTCAGCCCATGGACATGTATTGTCGGCAAACGTAGAATGTGCTCATCGGAGTCATCAGCAAGGAAGGGTTGTTGCACAAGCATTGCTGGAGACGTCGGGTCAACAACCCCGTGCGGCATGGGTGCCTGCGGCGTTAACCATACAAGGGGGCCCCGGCCGGCCAGGAGTACCGCGAAACGGAGGTCCGGCCAGTCAAACTGGCCGCCAGATAACCCCATTCCATATTGCTGGGCGAAGAGGATACTCGCTGCAATCTTCGCACCCTGACTAAAGCCCAAAAGCCCCACAAACTGGCCGGTGGCACCGAGTAGATTGTCTGCACACCTGGCGGCGGTTACAGAGTCGTGAATCTGCTCCGCTACGTTCTGGGCGCTGTACTCGTGGGCTTGCGCGGTTGCCTGCAGCCAGCCTTTGAATGGCCCGAAGTTTTTGTACACTGAAGTCACATCTGGACCTGGCTGCGCTGGAAATGGAGCCTGGGCGTAGACCAGACGGAATGTGGAGCGGAGGGTGCGCTCAAGCACACGACACTGCATGCGGAAAATGCGTGCATTGGTGCCGCCACCGTGGAGGCAGAGGATGCGAGGGAGGTGAATGGTTGAGTCCTGATCCATGCAGACTGTGCCAGCCATTGTAGAGTGGGATTAGACGGTGCCTTTGGCAGTTATCCGTGCCTTGTGAGTCGGTACAGAGTGAATCTTCTCTGGTCCAGCAGCGCAAATCTTGACTCCGGTGAGTTTCTCCACCTCAGCGTAGGGATAGATGGAGGAAGGGGAAAAAGCCTGGGAAAGTTGAAGGCAAAAAGGGCCAGTAACTTCCATGGGCATGGCCTTATCCTCCTTCTTCTTCCGCCATCACTCTCGACCCGTGGGTGAGTAAAAGCACGACGGCCGTCGTATTGGTGAGGGCTCGACACGAGGGCGAAGGGCTGAGAAGACGGGGTTCAGTTTTGCCATCGGAATAACAAGTCAAGTTCCTCCGTCCACTCTTTTGTCCATTCCCAAGAAAAAAGGCTTTGAAAGTCACATCGCGGTTGCGCGCTTGATTGCGCGTGGGAGAACTTGGCTCAACCAACCCCCCTGTGCCCGTGAAATACTTAACGTATTCCACAACCAAGCGGGACACCAAAATACACATACAAATCTCAACTCTTTGCTCTCTTCTATCTCAACAACATTGTTGAATATAGACTTTAGAATTTAGATGTAGAGTATATAGACACTTAATAAACAGTATTATCAATTTGATTTATTTAACTCTATTATTTGTGAAGATACTTTGATACATGCTAGTAAAAAGATAATAAAATACTATAACTTAAGAAATAATTATTATATATAGATAATTCTTATAATTTACAAAGTTTATTATATCTGTATAGTATCTTCTTCATTTTATAATGATCAGACATAGACTTGTTAAGATATAAGAGAGCAAAGAGTTGAGATTTGTATGTGTATTTTGGTGTCCCGCTCGCTTGGGTGTCCCGCTTGGTTGTGGAATAAGGTAGTTCACCACTAAGCAAGCCACACCACTAAACAAGCCAAATCTTCCACCACCAAAATTCCTCCAACATTCAACATTCAATATGCAACAACATGATCAACAATGCCTCAATTAGACTTGCAATTGAAGATCTTGAATCACAAGAGATTCTAAATTATGCTGCAACCACAAGAAAGTACTCAGTTAACTGAGAGACTCTGCACTGATAGTATAAAGACTTGCAACTTGCTCAGGATAAAGCAGTCTTCTAATATAAGAAAAAGCTCTCTGATATACAGGAGACAGAGCTTCTGAATTATATAAATAAGCTCTCTAGCTGTGGCCTTGCCATTACACCTCAGATCCTATGAAATATTGTACAAAAGATGACAGAAGAGAATGTTAGAATCAACTAAGTTAATTAATTTTGTGAGTGACATAATAACAAGATTAAATGCATTTATCTTAAAGTAATTAATTAAAATAAACAGATAGCAGATAACTATTAGTGCTTTAAGCACTTCTATATGCTTGTAATTTGATAATTTATTTGATTACTTGTGATTGCAGTTATTGATGCTGGCTAACTATTTGACTACTACTTATGAAATAGTTGGAGCAGAAAATTAATTAATATAATCTTGAGCTCTCAAATATCTATAACTTTAATAAAAAAGAATTTCTTCTAGACTTCTGCCATGCCTTAAAGCAATTAGTCTCTATTGAAGCTCTATAAGCTGGAAAGAATGCTGCTACTCAGAATAGTAGTTGAGAATTTCTCTTATTACTCTGCTCAGTCTCTGCTGAAGAAATTACACTACCTCCAGCTCTTATTTATCAGAATAAATCACAAGATCTCCAGAATACATAGCTAGATGATTATAATAAAAGTAAATGAGTCTACTTTGCAGCTTCAATAAATGATTGGAGCAATGATAAATATGGACTGGAGTGATTGAAATGGGTTTTCAATTGATATATTAAGAAACAAGCTGGTTGAGAAAGATATCTGCTTCTACTAGATGGCCATTTCTCTCATATAAATATGAAATTTATTGAATATGCTGACTGTAAAAAGATTCTTCTTATGATTTTTTCACTGCATTCAATCCACTGTTTGCAATCTCTTGATGTTGGAATCTTTGGGCTGCTGGGCAAGGCATATTTCAATAAGCTGGAAGTACTACTATATCAAGAAATAAACTATATTTGAATGACAAAAAGAGATTTCTGGAGACTATTCAATATGACTTGAAAGAAGATTTTAACAGTTGAAAATATACTTACTGGCTTTGTAAAGACTGGAATTAACTCTCTGGATTCTCAACATTAACTACACTGATTTGAAACTACTCAAGCCTCTATACTGTTAGTTAAATCTTCTATTTCTAGCAATATGCACCAGCTCTGACAAGAGATCAAGAGTATATATCTTCAGCACAGTCTAAATTTGCAGAGCATTGAATGAATTATTCAAGTTAGTAAGCAGTTTACTCTTTATAATGAACTGCTGGAACATAAGAATCAGTAATTAAGATTAACTCTAGTAATGAAGAAGTAATGCTGCAAGTGAGACAAGCCTCTAGATCTACTTAATAAAGATAATTCTAGTCAAGTGCAGTTCTGGTCTTCAATAAAAGTTCTTAAGACACATAAGCATCTGGATAAAATAGAGACTGAAAAAGCTAATAAAATTACTTAAATATAAGAGATAAAACTTTAACAAGAGCTTCAAAAGAAGCAGGCTGCTAGAGATATTAAAAAAAGACAGATTGAACAGAAGAATGTCTGTAAAAAGATTTAGAAGCAATAAGAGACTGAAAAAATCAAATATACTAGATAAAGAGAGATATAACATGTTGCTTGTGAGAAGAAGAAGACTTTACAACTAGCAGAGAAGAAAAAATAAGTGATTGAACATGCTAATAAACACCAGCAGTCAGAGCTTCAAGTACTGGCTTCAAAGTACTGTCAGAAGAACTCCTCTACTAAAGAGTCTTATTGTGGAGAGCCTATACAATCTTTCAAAAGGGGAAGTAAGAGCTCTACAAGCATCTCTAGCAAGGCATTAGACTCTCTAGCTAAGAAATCTACTGTTGACATTCCTTTGAATTCTTTTCTATCTACCCCCCAAATCTCTTGCTCTGGCTGTAATATTAGGCCATCCACCTGTTTATTTTCCTAACTATACTAATTTCTATGCTTTAAAGAATACATTTATTTAATATTTAATAGCTATTTAATAATAAAGATCTGGTTGTTGAGATATTTAATAAATTCATTGCATGGAGCATTTGGCGAAATTTGGCTTGTTTAGTGGTGTGGCTTGTTTAGTGGTGAACTACCTTACATCAAGTAAATCTATCACGATGCCAAGCGACGTCACACGTTCGCCAGCCAGGATGAACTTCACCCAACTCCACGTTCACAGTAACAAACAGTCCACCAATGCCTGGAAACCCTCAGAGTCACAGCCTGCTCTGCCCATCGCCGTCCGGCTCGGAGTTTCTCGAGCTACGGCGTCTTTCCGTGGCGAAGAACGAGACGGCCGGCCGCGCTTTTTGGGTCGACCGCGGAGCTATCGGCGCAGGTGTCGTGGAGAGCGATAGCACCGCCGACAAGCCCGAGTCCGCTGGCCCTGATCATGGCAGCGCAGGCGAGTAGAAATACTCGTGCTGTTGGATCGCAGAGGGAGTGGAAAGCTTCTTGGATCCAAGAATAACCTGTCCTCTCCATTACGGCTGCCAGAGAAAACAGAGGCCGTCCCGCCCACAATGCCGTCCGCCGTGTCGTCAGCAAGCAGCCTCGAGCAAGAGAAGCGCGACAATCCTGAGCCGCCGCCCGTCGTTGAACAGACCTCAAAGGTGCTGCCTCCTGGTGGGCCTTCACCCCCTCCAAACGGCGGTCTCTCAGCCTGGCTTCATGTTGCCGGCAGTTTCATGCTCTACTTCAATAGCTGGGGCATCCTCAATGCTTTCGGTGTCTACCAGACATACTACGAATCAGGGTCCTTCTTCTCGAGATCCTCCTCCGACATCTCATGGATCGGCTCAATTCAGGCCTTCATGGTGTTGCTCGCCGGTATCCTCGTCGGCCCATTCTACGACCGGGGCTACCTTCGCTCATTGCTCCTCGTCGGCACTTTTGGTCTTGTCTTCGGACACATGATGCTTAGCATCTGCAACGCCTACTGGCAAGTGCTGCTTGCACAGGGCTTTTGCATTGGAATTGGGGCCGGATGCCTCTTTGTACCCTGCGTCTCCATTCTTCCCACCTATTTCAGCACGAAACTTGGCTTGGCTGTTGGCCTGGCGGCTTCTGGCTCGTCCCTGGGCGGCGTCATCTACCCAATTATCCTCCATCGGCTTATTGACCGGGTAGGATTCGGCTGGTCCGTCCGCGTTATCGGCTTCCTCGCACTTGGCACACTTCTCTTCCCACTCGCCGCAATGAGACTCCGCGTTAAACCACCAAAGGCTAGATCGTTCATTGACTGGACCGCCTTCACGGATGCGCCCTACATGTTCTTTGTAATCGCCTCATTTATTGCCTTTATGGGGCTGTTTACCCAACTATTCTTCCTCTCGTTCTTCACCGAGAATCGTCACATCGCCAGCACCGAAATCACCTTCTACATTGTGCCTATTTTCAACGCCGCATCCTGTCTCGGTCGAAGTGTCCCCAATGTCATCGCGGACAAAACGGGACCATTCAACCTCATATCTCCCGGCGCCACCATTTCTGGAGTCCTTATCCTCTGCACCATCGCGGCAAGTAATAAGGGAGGCCTCATCGTCATTGCATTACTCTCTGGCTTCATCAGCGGCATTCTCATTGGGATGCCGCCTCTCTGCTTCGTCATCCTGACGAAAGACAAGACCAAGATCGGAACCAGAATTGGTATGGCCTATGCCATCATCGGCTTTGGTGTGTTAGCCGGTGGACCTGGCGGTGGCCGTATCTTGGGCACACAAAATCCACTAGGTTGGACTGGCTTGTGGATCTTCGGTGGTGTCTCGCTTTGTGTCGCTGGTTTTATGTATGCTGGGTTGAGAGTGGCCCAGTATGGGTTCAAAATCAACATCAAAGCATAACGTATACCATCTTAAACTTCAGGTGTGGCAGTGGCTAGATTATACCCACGCCACTAGAAAGATAGATTGTCAGTCATCGAAGCATTCATTCTGGGCGTTTAATTTCCTGCCCAAAAGTTTTGTTATCTCTTGGTCGTTGATTGGATTCCCCAATTATATTAACGATTTAACGGCAGCAGAGACTGTCAGAAGAAGGTTTTAAATTTTTGCTTTTGAGAATCTAATCAGCGGCATATTAATGAAGTAATTCATAGATAAAAATCGAACTCTCTCCCTTTATTTCTCTTTGGGTTCTCCATTTCTCGCTTTTGGTGCTTACAGGTTGCATTTTGAGGGAGGATTGCTACTATACAACCTCCCTTCTACACTGATACTAGAAGAGGATACAAGGAACACTTTGAAGAGAACGCAGGCACAATAGTCTGTATATTTCAGCAAATTCCTACAGACAATTTATGCTTTACCTTTATTCGGCGCAAATGAAAAGCTGGAACTAGACACCCAACCTCCGATGGCCTTTTCACAGGCCCTCCACCCCTTACGCCGTCTTCTTCCTCACCACGCACCGAAAAGGCGACACAACTGCATTTTCCACGTCCCAAAATCCAACTTTCGCATAAGGATCTTCCCTAACCAGCTGTCGAACTTCCTCCTCGGTCCCCGCTCGAATCAGCATAACGCTACCCGTGACTGCAAGATCTGCATCTGGGCTTTCTGGTTGATGCGCGAGTAAAGGGCCCCCAAACAGGATTTTCCCCGCTTCTATCAATGGTTTATTATGCACGAGATGCGCTGGGCGGGTGTTAATGCGGCCCTCGAGGTCCTCGGTGTTGGCACGGATTTGGATAAGCCAGTCGTATTGCTGAGACATCGTTGCGGTATTGCCTTTGGTAGACAGAGGGTAGCTTTTGTTGGAGCGAAAATGAGTTGATTTGGAGTTGGAGAAAATATTGGATGGCTAGACGACGAGCTTTGTCGGTCTCTCTTTTGTACTAAGAGTCCGGGTTTATTCAAGGAAGACTTGGTTGATGTGAGATATCTTTAACTTGTGGTTGTGGGGTGTCAGTAGTTTTTTTAACGGCAATATGTAGGATTTGTGCTCGTGAAAAGAAACTCCGTTTTCCCTGTCTGTCTACATAGCACTCTCCGGACCTCCTTCACTCATCCACACCGTAGTGTCAGTAAGAGGGCCTCCGTACTTTGTGCACATCGATTGGACGGGAGATTAGGATAATTAGTGGCCATGGGCCGGGAAAACCCCTCGCAGGATACGATAGTTATCACTCCGCTCAGCGGAGTATATTTGGTCCGACAAGGTTTCGCATTATCAACAACCCGGAATCAGGAACCGTCGGTACGGAGTTTTCAAATTCTCAATGTTGCTCTTTGTCAAACTCCGATGGTGAAAACAATTACGGAGCAGGCCTTGTAGCCTAGAGAGACGAAGATGGGTTACTCTCAATGCTGCTGGATCTTCTGCGCTCCCGAGGTCATGTCACTAGAGCTTTTCGAACGATATAAAAATGACAGCGCGTTAGCACCTGGAATGTGCTAGGCCATAATTGCAACTACCTATGCACACGTCGATTCCTTCAATCAATAGACCATCCCTAGTAGCAACCCAAATCAATTGGCAATATGGGGACTGTCGAGACAGCCGTTCCCCAGACCATCCCAACCATTGACATCAGTCCATTTTTGTGGCAAGATGCTACCGAAGAAGCCGTGCAGGATGTCGTTGAAGCTGTCCGCCGTGCATGCACCACATATGGCTTCTTCTACCTGACCGGTCATGGTGTTTCCACAAGCGAGCAGAATAAGGCACTCTCTTGCTCCAAAAGATTTTTCGAGCTGCCCATGGAAGAAAGAATGAAAGTTGCCATTTCGAAGTCCGTGGGGAAGTCCTTCCGAGGGTATGAACCTCCCGGAATCCAAGTCCACCAGGAGGGTCTGTTGCCCGATACAAAAGAGGTAAACCAAAACTTAGATTTGTCCCTTTTCACTTTGAAAATAAGACTGAAATCATTTTCTCGGAAAAGGCATTTATTATCGGCGCAGAGATCCCTGAGGATGATCCAGACTGCGGTAGCTTCTCTACGGGCCCAAATCTTTGGCCGGACGCTATCCCTGAGAGCGAATTCCGCACTCCTATCATGGAGTATCAAAGCACAATGGTGAATTTGGTGAAAGTTCTCCTCAAAATCCTCGCTCGTGGCCTTCCAGCAGCTTGGAATTGCCCGCCAGACGTTTTTGACAAGTTTGCGGAAAATCCCTCCATTCCAATGAGACTTTTGCACTATGCTCCTCAGCCCGTCAAGCACGAAAACCAATTCGGAGGTAGGATTCCCTCCTTTCTTTTGGCCTATCCTGGGAAAACTTTCTAAATTTCCAAATCTGATTGAGAGTATTCATACGGAGTATAGTTGGTGATCACACGGACTTCGGCGGAATCGCAATCTTGCTCCAAGAGCCAAATACAGAAGGACTCGAAGTTTGGTATCCACCAACGAAAACATGGATCCCAGTTCCGGTAAAGGAAAATTCCTATGTGATCAACATCGGCGACATGCTTCAGAAATGGACGGCAGGATACTATCGCAGTGCTCGGCACCGGGTGATCAACTCGAATGTAAACCACCGATACAGCGTTCCATTCTTTTTGAATGGGAACCTGAAATTGAAAACTGTGGCACTTGACGGATCGGGAGTTGAGACTGTTGTAGGAGAACACATTCGGCAGAGGTTGATTAACACTATGGGCGAAAGCGGAAAAGTCCTGGCTTGAACCCTATCCGCATACAGCCTATCAATTCGAGGGATTATACTCCGTAGAAGTCCTTTCTTTTTCTCCGATACACCCACAGGGTGTGGTAGTCGAAGACGTAAAGGGCTAGGCGTGTACTTCCTTGGCTAGCAATAGAGATTTTCCATCTCACCGTCCTCTCTTGCTAGAAAATTAAAGTCCTGAAATCATAAGGGCGGACAATACTCCAAACCTTACTCACAGGCCTGATGCTGGACACCAAGGTAAGGGTCTGATCGGAGAGAGGGGAGAGTATACTGAAGCAAGTCAGGGTTCCCCAGCTTCTCACACTTCGAGGAGTGATAATTTCCATTACGGTAGAGAAATAAATTTAAGACTCATTAACCGCTCCGTATGAAGGGCACTGCCTAGGAGACGGTGTTATCTTCCCATCTCTGGCGACAGTCGCCTCGTAGGTATCAGAAAAAGACTCCTCCGGGCCAGTCGCAGACTCCTGATTCCATAAAACCTTTCCCTCTTCAAGGATAGACTCGCACTGCAGAAGCGTGTTTCGTCCGGTATAAGCCCGTGCGCCCTCTGTCGCGTCACCGTCTTGAACTTTTCTGCGGCGATGTCCGTCGTGCTCCATTGAGGGTGTGAATTGCCTGATGGAAGCTCACGACGAGATATTTTTGTCCCCTTTTAATGTTAGGTAATCCAACCAGCACCTCGCTCACGTGACCCACATAGATTAGCCGAGATTCCCCTTTAGGTAGCTTAGTGAATGACAAGCATACAAGTCCTCCATCAGGTTATAGCCCTTTGTGCTGAAGAGCAAGTGTATAAGATTGATTTACAGCTTAATTGGATATTGAAGCTTACAATCAACATTTTGAATGATTATTCTTGTGGATAATGAGATTTTATGAGCACAAGAGAGAGTGTATGTTGAGATAGATACCTTCTATATGTGTAATCTCTGTAGCTTTCTAGCACTGAGCTAAAGAGTGAGTTGAACTCTGTAGCTTTCTGGCATGTAATTAGAGAGTGAGTGAAATGTCTGCTAAATGCACCTAGCAAGCAAATCAAGCACCTGGCAATGCTAAAGCCATGATAAACTGTATGAATGAACTGAAGCACCAAACTTCTGACTGGAAAGCTTTAACAAACCTTCCTACATCTTAAACTGAGCTTAGATAGTTGAGTAGGCTCAGAGACAGCCCACCAAATGACAAGCAGAAGCCTAGAGAGAAGAGTGAACTCTAAATATTATGCAGAATAATACTGAATTAACAGAAGATAATATAAAAGCAACAGAAGTTGATACAAAGATAACAGAAGACAGTATAATAGCTGGCACAGTAAGTGAATCTTTTATTAGATCAAGCAAGCACTGCAAATGCACCTGCAACAATACAGAAGAATCTAAAGCATAAAGCTCAACAAGAAAAAGAAGAGAACTGAGAAATAGACTCTGATGAGAAACTAGAAGAATATATTGGCAATCTTATAGATATAAATATACAAATCAGCAGAGCAATCACTTAATTTATAAAGATTATAAAGATAGTGAAGAAGTCTATAACTCTAGCTGGAGTCAGTAACTATCTAGCATGGAGCAAAGTCATTCTAAAGATAGCCTGCCAAGTAGATATTGAGAAGATTATCCTGAAAAGACAAGAGACTTCACTATAATCAGAGCACTTGAAAATTTCACAATACTGAAATGTTCAGAATAATTAGCTATATAATCTAATCAACAGCACAATATCTGCACAAGTCAGAGAACACTTTGAGAAATTAAATAGTCTTAGTGCCTACAAACTCTGGAAAGCTGTAAGAATAGTCTTTCAAGAGAGACCTGAGATACAGTGAAAAAGCCTACTTATAGAGTTAGTAAGAATGACACCACAATCTGCTGACTCAGAAAGAAATTATATAGAGAGATTTTTAGTAATCTGTGGAGAATTTGAGAGATTAGGGTTCAAACAACTGAATCACACTCTACATGATATCTTAAAGATGAACATTATATCCCAATGAAGAGAGTTCATACAGAACTGATTTGATATGGCATGCTAGAGTGAAATGAATCTACTGAAGAAGAATTTGAAAAGTCTACTGAAGAATATTCTTTACTGAATTCTCAAGAAAGATCAGAAGAAAGATAGATCTATAAAGTTAAATACAAATGTAACAAGCTTGAATTCCCAAAAGTCTTACAAAAATATAAACTCTGAATCCAATCCAGAGAAGAGCTTACTGCAGAACTGGAACTGCTATATTTGTGATAAACCTGGCTATTTGGCTAAATTTTGTAAATTTAATAAGAATTTGAAGTCTAACAAGCCTAAGAAAGACTCTAAAGATAAAGACAAGAAAATAACTATGATTGCAATAGACAAGATCTATTTGATTCATAAAGCAGTCTTTTCTACAAGAGAAGTGCATGAATCTACAGACAGATGAATCCTTGACTCTGGAGCCAGATCTTATATAATCTCACATACAGATCTAGTTCAAATAGATCCAAAAAGCCATGCAACACAACTGCTTATAGCAAATGGTTTGAAATCAGTCACCAGAGGATTTGGCACAGCCAGCATCCAAACTAACAATAGTGAATTGAGCATTGGGGGGGTTAGAATTGTGCCTGACCTCCAGATTAATCTTATAAGCTTTGGGAAGCTTATATGAGATGGCTTTACAGTGGAACAGCTTTATGTCAACAGAGAACACATCTTTCTACTAGAATTGGCAGATAAAATACAGAGCTTTGAAGCTGTGCTTAATGAGAATGACATTCTAGTTCTACAAATGTCTAGAATATGCAATTTACTGGTATACACATTTCCAGTATCTATAAAACTTCTAGAGCCCTGCTATGTAACAGCAACTCTAGAGAATAAAGATGACATGCTTTTGGCACTGAATCACCTGGCAAAGAAGCCAGAAATCAAGAAGGATACAATGGCTAATTGGCACAAATACTGGGGGCATCTCAACACCTATGATATAGCTATTCTAGCTAGAGATCTGAGAATGACAATATGAATAAAGAGAGTAAAGAAGCTAGGATTCTATAAAATCTGTGCTAAAGCTAAGCAAGCTCACAACCCATTCAAACCTAGAACATGCTCTACAAAGCCTGAAGCTAAAATTTTTATTGATATTGCAGATGGCAGCTATACTCTATCTACAGACTCTGATTCTCCAAGCTATAGTGAAGTGAAGTATTTTCTACTTATAACAGACAATACCACATGATACAGGTGGATCTATCTTCTGAAGAAGTGGGTAGAAGCTCCAGAAACTCTAAAGAACTGGATCAATATGATTAAAGTATCTACTGAATGAAAGATTGACACTATACTGTCTGATGGAGCTTCTGAATTAATGAGCCAACAACTGGCTGAATTCTACAGAAGCAAGAGTATACAACAGAAGATTACATGCCTATATACATCTCAACAAGATGAAACAAGTGAATGAGAAATACAACTTCTTTGTGAGTGAACAAGAAGTGTACTTATAGACTCAAGATTATTCAATAAGTTATAGAGTGAAGCTCTTGCCACAGTCTCCATGATGGTGAATCTATTGCCTACCTCAGTGCCTCTATATGGATGCAAGAACATAAAGCCATTGACACCCTTTGAAATCTAGATAGGTCACCAACCCTATTGCAGATGGGTTTATAGATGGGGATGTGATGTCTATATGAAGATTTTGAATGAATTCTTGAAGCTCCAATCTAGATTTAAGAAGATTAAATTTGTAGAATATCATGACATGCACATCTACAGACTTTGGGACCCAGAAACAAACAGTATAATGATCTCACAAGATATTATACTTGATGAGAAATTGGATCAAATCCCTATAAATTCACTAACCAAAGCTGAATATGTTGAACTTCCAGAGAAGTATAATTACATAGATTCATTAAACAGCTGGCAACACAAGCTACTAGCTTATCTTGTAAAGAAGAAGCCAGAAATTATAAAGAAGCTTGTGAACAGCAAACTAGAGGCTTTAGAGCTCACATACCTGGGCAAAGAGCAAGAAATTCTCTTGGATGCTACAGAGAAAGAAGAGACAAATGAAGCTGAGCTTCCAGTGCTTAGTATGTGTACAGATATACCAAAATCCATCACCAAAGCCAAACACTCTGAAGAGTGACTTTATTGAAAGAAGGCTCTAGATATTGAAGTCTCCAAATTACAAGAGAAAGACACCTGAATTCTAGTTAAGAAGAAACTTCAAATGTAGATTCTTTCTGACAAATGAGTATTTAATAGAAAGCTCAACAACATGAATGGTACAGTACAATTCAAAGCCTGTTGAATTATACATGAATTCAAACAGCAAGAAGACATTCACTACAAGAAGATCTATACAGCAGTTGTTAGTGAATCTACAACAAGAGCCTTCTTTACTATCTTAACAGCCAAGAACTGAAAGATCAGAGTCTTTAACTTTGTGACAGCCTTTCTAAATAAAACTCTTCCAGAGGACAAACATGTATACATTTAACTACCCACTGGATTCAAGCACAGGCAGGGTAACCTAGTAGGGCTCTTATGCCAGAGACTCTATAGATTGAAACAAGCTGCTAGGCTTTGGTATCAAGCAGCTACTGACTATCTGAAATCTCTAGAATTCCAGATCTCTTCATATGATGCAGGGTTACTCTATCACAAGAGAAAGCAAATCTATCTAACCCTACACATTAACAACTGCTGTATAATGGGATCTAACAAAGCTGAAATAGAATGGCTTATTGAGAAGCTTCAGAAATGCTTTGAGATTAAGAAGATTATGGAACAAGACTGTTATCTAGACATATGGGTTCAAAAGCAGCTGAATGGAGACCTTTTTGTGAACCAGAAACAGTATATTGAGAATCTACTGACTGAATATGGAATGGAAGACTGTAAACCTTCCAAAATATTAATAAAGAAAGAAATAAGCATTAAATTTGCATCAGATCAGACTCTTAAAGATAAAGTTAACAAGCAGACTACATCTACAAATTACAGAGAAGACCTGGGCTCTCTACAGTTCCTAGTTATGTGTATGAGACTGGATATTACATTCACAGTCAATTATCTGGCAAGATTCAACAGCAGGCTCAATAGAGAAAGCTGGGTGGTGTTCAAGCAGATCCTACACTATCTCAAGAGCACAAAATCAAAAAAAATAGTCTTCAAAAGAGATATAGATTCTGAAGACTTGAAACTGGCAGCCAGTTTGAATTCTGACTGGACTGGAGCCAACCCTGCATACAAATCCACCAGTGACTACATTATTACTATGAATGAAGCTTCAATATTGTGGAGATCACAGTGCCAGACATCTGTCTCAAAATCAATAACCAAAGTGGAGTATTTGGCAGCTAGTGAAGCTGCTTGTGAACTAGTTTGAATCAACAATCTGTTGATAGATACTGGGGTGATTAGTGAAGGCTCAGCAAAGCTAAGAAGCTCAAAATTAAGTATTGACAACAAGAGAGCAGTTGACTTAGCCAAAGCTGAAGCTATAATGCAAAGAGCATGCTATATTAAGATTCAGCATCATATGCTAAGAGACTGGATTCAAAAGGATGAAATCTCAATTAAGCATGTTGGAACCAACACAAATAAAGCTGATGGGCTTATAAAGACTCTTGCAATGAATCCCTACACTCAATTTGTGAGTGTGATAGGAGTGACAAGTTGATACAGGAAAATATAGAGGTTTATCAGTAAAGCCAGTGAAAATACAGTATCATGATGAAATGGAGCTAAGCCTAAAGAAGGAATAAATCTGGATTCTGTAATTAATTTTTATCACAGATTTGAGAGATTTGGAAGCTTTGGATCTTTGTGACTCTCACTCACTGCTGGAGCTCATTGCATGGGGGGGTGTTAGGTAATCCAACCAGCACCTCGCTCACGTGACCCACATAGATTAGCCGAGATTCCCCTTTAGGTAGCTTAGTGAATGACAAGCCTACAAGTCCTCCATCATTTAATCCACCTTAGGTTACATAATCAAGCACGTGACTCCCTTTTTCCCACCGGCGAGACTGAACCTCAGGAGCATTCGATCCCCTCGATGCCAAACCGCATAGGACGGAGTCGTCAGCCGGAATAGGGCTGAAGAGCCCGGCTGTTCCCACTCACAAGGTCCACCATAGCAAAGACGCAATTCATAAAGAAGGATGCCAATCATGCACGTACAAAGTAGGGATGTCTAGCTATGAAATCTTGGCTGATTTTACTAGGATGGCCAGCCCCCGATGCTCGGAGAACAGAGATCGCGACTTGCACCCCATCTGCGGAGGATATACGTGACATCGCTCTGTCATACGCCACAAGGTAAAAATTTATCAATTAACGCCCATCTCACCTCAGTTTGCAAGCGGATATTGCGAATATCTACCAATAGTGACATCGATATTACGGTTTAAAACCTCGGCTGTCGTACGAGTACGGAGTATGCAACTCACTACTCCATAGACAATCTTGGGAGGACAAGTTGTCATAAAACCGACAAAACAGGGAATGCCGAAGACGTATGGGTGTGGCCGACTTGCACGACGTGCAGGGTCCAGACGCGGCCCCTCGTTAAGTCCGAGACGCAAACGACGTTCGTAGCCCTCGTTGCTGGTACTCATGCTAGCCGTAGGCGCTGCGGAACCTCGCTGGCTATTCCTTGTTCCCGTGGAAATTTTTTGTCGCTTTACCCAGTGTTCTCGAGATGAATGACAAAAACAAAAGCGTGAAAGAACCTGAAATGGTTAAAGAAATTTAAGCCAGCTTCATCTGGACTTGATTTTCAAACAAAACCAGTTAAAAAGACTGCCAAAGTATTCTTATAATTCCCCAGGCTCGCTACATGCTACAGGGGAAAAACAAAATTAAATGAACGTCACCTTCCATGCATGCTTGACTCGCCATAGAATCATCGTTGCTCCCTTTTTAGAACCCGGGCCGAAACCCATTACAACCATATTCGATTACACATTTAACCTTCGGCAGTTCAAAAGTGAACCTTCCCTGCCATAACGTTGTCCACTATCTTATACGTAACGCCTGTGAAAGCTCGGACCAAGATTGGTGAGCCCTTGCAAGTTGTGCATCGCCTCGATGATATGTTGATGCAGCTGATGAAATGAGTTGTCGACGTCGCGATATGTACCGAAGAATTCTGCTGCAAGCGATAAGGGGATTGACGTCAATGGATGGACCTACGATCACAGCAATGCCAGCCACATCAGCCCTTCTGATGTATAACTCTGGAGGCATCTTCTCACCTTGAAACGGTTGAGTTGCGATAAATTTTTTGTCAAATCTGCCATTTCCTGTGCGGCTATTGAGGACAGCCCCATATATTCCACCACTACTGGTCTCTTCTCGTCTGTCAATGGTATCGCATGCTCCATTGTCTGAGAAAGATGTAAAACGGTAGTGCGCCACATCATGCTGATAAAAAGCAGCATCGGATCCGTTTGCTGTATTCGGAGGGGATATTCTGAAGTGAATATGTCCATTTTTCTGGTTAGAATGGAATTGATCCAGTGGTGGTGGTCCCAGAAATCCTCCCTTGCGTTGAGATAGATATTATCGACCAAAAACTGGTGCCTGTGGGCTAGAGCACGACCACTAATGGTTGCCATAATGATGCATTCGATAAATGTCGATGGCGCAATAGGCTCTGTCGCCGCGATTGCCTCTGAGAGAAATCCCATCAGTGTGGGCTGGTCGTTCTCAAAAGCAGCTTCGGGCGAAGGAAGACGAATCGTGATCTGGACAAAAGAAGTATTTCAGTCAGCTAGTGGCACTTATTCCAACAATCCACGCAGATAATCGTACCATTTGTTCGCTAAAAGTCAATGGAGACCCGGTTCGGATGCTAACAAATCGATCCAGGCAATATGCCATCCAAAAGGTTCGCCTCTTTCTTTCAGCCTCAACCCATTCCATCTGCGAGATCGTCATATTTAAGGGCTCTATGTTGTGAAACCAGTTAAGTTGAATCAACCGGAATGCGCGCCCAGCACTGATCCATGCTCGGCGGAAATCCACGCACATAAACTCATGAATGGCTAGCAAAAGCCAAGCTTGAACCTGCTCGATATCTGTCACCGCAAGGTTTATATTTTCTGCTTCCAAGGAATCGAGTGCACGGCGCATAAATCCGTACAAAGAGTCCCGGATGCTTTGATAATGCGCCGATACTGACGCTGCGAGAGTCCACATGGCGTATTGTAAACATATCTGGGCCTCGGTTTTGTTGGGCTGCCGGCTCCAAGAAAAATACTGGCGCTGATGGACAATGGGCGCAAATGTGTGAATTCTATCGAAATATAGTTGATCTCTACTATTAAGTTAGATCGAGGATCATTATATTTAGGACGGAAAGCCGACTCTCCTTTCTTACAACTCCTCGATCGATTTCTCCCAGCAAAAACTTGGGATATTACTTACAGATCTGCCTGCATTAAATCTGAGATATTGAACTCGTCCGGCCCTTCAGACATATCCAACACCTTCGTGGCATTGACGAAATCCTGGAATCTCGCCTCATCATTGACATTTTCAACAACATTTGGGACGTTGAATGAATTGGCGTCGAATGACGATTCTCCCAGTGAGTCATTAGTTTTCGATCCGAAGCACGGGTCCTGCAAAAACATATCTTCTTCCGGAATTGGAAGATCCCACTGTACAAAGTTCTGATCATTACATGGTAGGTTCCCAACCGCATTCTCGTTCACCACTGTCGGTACGTTTCCGGTTTGGTTATTCTGTTGCTCTTGCTCAAGTAGCCTTCCCTCAAGAACAGCTACCAAAGCGTTAGCCAGAATCTCCCTTCTTGTTGTTGAACCCAAAAATGCTCCTCATTCCCACAGCATTCAACCCCATGACATGGAATCCAAAACATACCAATTCGAGCCTGCAAGGCTTTTAGATATCCGCGCTTGGGTCCGCGAAGAGATCGAGTCGTCGAGACCAGGCATTCCTTGCCAGACGCTTCACACAATCCGCATTGAGGCTGTCGTCGATCACACCGGAGCTTTCGCCGCCGGCATTCTTCGCAGGCGGCTCCAGGCTTTTGTCGAGGCTGGGAAGTTGAAGTTGTATTTTTGAATCCCACTGATTCCGACATCTTGAGGTGAGCTTTGGTTTTCAACTTCGGACCTCTCGCGGTAGGATATAGGATTACAAAATCCTATAAAGAGATAACAAAGCGAACAGTAATGTGCGGGAAAAGTCTGAAAGCTTTCTTTTTCCTAGTCTCGAAGCAGGGGAGGTTTCCAACTGGAGAACATAGCCACGATAGTCTTTAAGACTTGGATACTGAAGGCGACATTCAAGGACACTAAAACCCACTGTCAACAGGAGGCGTGTTGGCTATAAACCAAGCATTGACTTCAAAGTTTCTGTTGATGCTGTTCATAGCTCACTCGTAAGTCCTTGGCAGGAATGTCGTGTTGTGCATGCGAATGTTCTGGGTTTCCAAAATTGACAACACCCCATACGTGCGTTTCCAGGCTGTACATGCACAATAGCGCTGGAAAGCTGAAGGAGCAGTCCCATGGTTCATGGCCTGCTAATAGAGCCATCATGAACATTAAGCCTCTCGTGACTGTTCTGGTGGTCTCCAACCCCTGCACATCCTCTTGGCGATCAGTCATGGAGGATGTGCTTGAGGCGTACAAGCTCAGGCTTTTCGCCCTTGCGTGCGGTTCTCTGCATCCCTGTTTGAGCCATTGGTGCCAGGACCTTTTCCTTTCTCTTTTTTTCTTTTTGGGCACTGGCTTCAAACACAAGTTTTGGAACGAATTTGCGCCGGGGGTTCCTGCTATATGGGTACTCTAGGTAGAGGCGTATGTCCCTTGGTTCCAAGGAAAGGCCATGAGCCAACGACATCGATCCACCCCCTGAAGCTCCAGCATCCTTACACTGCACCGCACATCGGGTCAGATGCTGCCTCGGCACTCTTCAATAGGTGCATTTCTTGACGCTGCTGATAAAAGAGGAAGAAGAGGATAGAATGAAAGATTCTCTTCAGCTACACAAACGGAGCGCCCGTTCAAAATACGAAATGGATGCATGTGAGAATTATACTGCATTGACTAGAATGGCCTAAGCTATTGTCAAATCCGGTTAACTAATCTCGCGCTGGAACTATCAAAATCCGAATAAAAATAGCTCTACAGCGTGTGCATTTGGGTTAAAGGGCCGCAACAGCCAACCAGTCTGGGTGCACTCTGGGGCTTGAGCGTATGCAGGATGGTGGCATCAAATCTATGCTAGAGGTTCCCACAACCCCGCGTGCATGGCCTGTCAAAGAATCTCGCGGGGAACTTAAAAACGAAAGCATATCCTGGCTAACCTGTAAGATTACAGAGAAGCCACGTTTCTTAGACTCCTGACCAGCTCGCTGCCGAATTAAATGGGCTATCCCTAGCATTGTCTACACGAAGCAACAAACCGAGACGGCGCAGTACCTCCTTCCAAAGCATAACCTGGCCATAAAAGCAGAATTGAAATGTTGTTGCCATGAATGGGAATAATCCTGCAACATACGTCTGGGTGCATATGTGCCAAAATTCGAGGAAGAGTAAACTTATCAGGATGGTCACAGGCTTGATAACCGACCAACTCGTGCAAAAGTCACGCAGTTCTTACCTCGGGATGGTGGTGGTAGTATTTTCTAGCCCAGCGCATCCCGTTTCCCTATATTCGCCTGATACATAAGATACGAGTCAATGGCCCCCTACGAATAGTTCTTTTTGGAGGGGAAGCTATCCCTTGCCACCGCCAGTTAAACGAATATCCGCGAACAGAGGCACGATTATCCCCGGAAGGAACTTTTTTTTCAACTTCTGGGATGCTCAGAAGACAGGAAAGTCGCATTTCCACCCTCCACGTTATCCATGCATAAAGGAGCACGATATTCACGACCGCCGGCCAACGGAAGGTGTTCTTCCGTTTTAAGTAGCAATTTCTGCCTCTGCATAAGCTACCGTTGACACAGTGTATCCCATACTTGCATATTACATTCACCCGACGTCTGGGATGCAAAGCGGCATTGAGTGGGCATTGGCTGCGTTATACTTATTTCAGCTGCAAGCCCATAGGCTGATGGTATCCAGTATGATGCCTTGTGGCTTTTCGATTGAGCCATAAAATGTGTACATTCTGATGCCTACATTCAGCTGGGCTGCATGTCAATTGCGGCACATGCTTATGCCAAGAAGCATAACTGCTCGTGGCGAGTATTAACGAAGGTTTAAAATGGTATGGCCAACTCCGTTTTAGGGAAAAGTTCGAGAAAAAAGAAAGCTAAGTTTCACACCCTCCAATGTCCGTAAATCGATACCGTAAAGAAAACAAGATACGGTTTTTAAGCTAGGATGGTAGCTTCTGAAGCAACCAAAGCCAAACGTTTCCATACAGTAGGACTGTTTTAGTGTCATAATCTGTTTTATTCGTCCCTCACCCTCTCACAATGCTCTGGCCACATGCCTTCTGGTTTTCCTATCCAACCCGGGGATTTTGTATGTAGTGTACATACATACGTACTGCTGTAAAAATTCAGAGCAATACAACAAGCTTCTGGGCAGAAACTCCCTTGCGGATGATATCAACTCCTCCCTGAACACTCTCCAATCCCTTGCCTACAACCAAAGGAGCGGGAGCCGGCACGAAGGATCCCGCCCTCAGTGCCTTCGGCAAAAAGTCCACATAGACCATCTTACCAACATTATTATCCTTGAGCGTTGTTCCAAAGACATTCTTGACAGCTACCCCCTCTGGAGGCTCCTCAAATCCGCCCTTTGTGGTCGACACGAACCTTCTTCCGCTGGACTTCTGCACGACTTCAGCACAAGCCTTGGTGGCCGCTCCGCCTATGCAATCCATCGCACCGGCGACAGTTCTGCCCTTGAATGCGCCCACGAGCTCGTCGACGATGGTAGGGTTGCTATAGTCAAATACCTGCGCGGCACCAAGCTTCTTCACGTAATTGAAATTCTTGGGAGAGGCGGTGACGATGACTTCATAGCCGGCAGCAATAGCAAGTTGAATTGCATTGCTTCCCACGCTCGACGAGCCGCCCCAGACCAGCAGGGTTTCTCCAGTTGGGTTCTGGGGAGGCTCTGCTGGGGGCTGAAGCTTTAGGAAAGCATCCTGGAAGAGCCCGCAGGACGCGGTGGAGAATGCCAGTGGTATGACGGCAGCGTCTTGGAAAGAGATGCTCTCAGGCAGCTCGGCGGCCATATTTGTCGGGACGATGGTGTAGGCCTGGAAACCGTTGTCCTGGTTGCGTTTTGTGGCCATGCCGACGGCGTGACCGACTATGCGGTCTCCCCTCTTGAATCGGGTTACATTTGGCCCGACATCTTTAACGACACCAGCAACATCCTGGCCCAGGATGGTCGGGTACTCGAAGGGCCACCAGGCAAAAGCCTGAAGGCTACCATCGACAGGGTTGATGGCGACGGCGTGATTTCGAACGAGAATCTCGTTTTCGCCGGGAGTCCAGAGCGGCGCGGGCTTGACTTCGAAAGGAGTGGCTTTGGCGGCAGTAAGCCAGGCCGCGGAGTTGCAAGCCATTGTGTATCTGCGGCTGATAGTTAGTCGCGGGGAGGCTGACAAAGGCAAAGCGAGAATAGGCTGCCGTGGCTTTTGCGTGAAGTCCTCTGCTGACGAGAAACGAAGGGGATACGAAAGACTTTATGGAAATCCCATGCATGCTTTCCTATGGGGTCGCCCAAGGCGATGCGGAAATATATACGCCCATGTAGCTCTATGTGAGCCATCGATGGACGTGTCAATAAGTCCGAGGCCGAAGGTCTAATAACTCCGCGCGATCCCATCTACCTAAAAATCAAGCTCAGAGCCAAGCCTTGGCAGTATTGCTTGGCGCACCCGGTGCGGCGGTGTGGCGCTGTTTAGGCGCAGATCCCGCCCCACATCCCGACCGATTGACAGCCGCTGCGGAGAGCCTCTTCGCTGCAAGCACTGTTAAGAAGCGCTCCTCGGGGGCAAAGCAAAAAAAGGTTCCAAATATCGTTGGCAGGGGACTTTCCTCGACAAGTAGGGACGAGACGGTAGCGGCGCAGAAGAAACTCCGGGGAGAGCTTTATTTAGCCTTCCGTATTCTGCCGAACCATTCCCGGCTAACTGTCCCTAGAGGACATCCTTGGTCGTGCGGACATCGCTTCGCGTATACATATGCAGGCTGATTAAAAAAGACATGTTCCCTCGGAAATGTTTGGATTCCTAGCGAGCGAATGAAAAACGCCAAATCAATCACCTCAAGGCGAATGCGGGATCCAGACACGAGTCTCAGTTAACCCCGAATGCAACCTCGCGATGGTCGATAAATCCGAGCCTGTCTTGGAGATCAAGTTTTTAGCCTCAACGGTACTATTTTCCTTTGTTAATTCCCTTCCATTTTTTTGATTCGTTCGTCTGTTTTACTACGTTTGGACTTCAAGTTGTGTGCTGTGTGTCATGCACCTGGCCCGGGGTCGGGCATTTCATCCGTCCAGTCAAAGGAGCGGACTGGGAGATTTTAAGGAATGGCCCACGACCCACATGCCCACCGCTTGCTTCTGCTACATGAACGATAGGATTTCCAAGCGGGTGGAAGCACTTAAGTTACCCGGGGAATGGTGGGGCAAGAAGGGACATTTGTAGCTCTACCTATCTCGTTTGCTGTGTAACCAATGGATTTTCCGATGCATCGTCCTAGTGGCTGATTAGCGAAACAGCTTTCTGCGTTCTCCTCCTTAAAACCTACATCTGCAATCTACACCTGTCTACGGGCAATTCCCACGTAGGATGATAAAACGGACTGTCAAAAAGAGTTGTAGCAATAAATGCCTCTCTAATTGGACTTCACTGCCCTTCCAAACGGTCCATAACATTCAAGGGCACGGCAACAAGTGCAATCGCGGGGCCCATCTCATCAATGGGCCAGCCCCAATGCACATCGGCCTATTTACATATCTGCCATAATAAAACACTTCATCGCCATTACCTCCGCCTTCTCCAGATCCCAAACTTCAAGTTTTGCATAAGGATCGTCCCTGACCAGTTCCCACACTTCCTCCTCCGTCCTCGCTTTGATCAAGTGGATGCTCCCAGTGATCTTCTGGAGCCCGTCTTCCATACTTGTCGGCTGTGACGAGAGAAGGGGGCCGCCAAAGGTAATGGTGCCATTTTCTGTCAATGGTTTGTTGTGAGAGACGTGCAGTGGTCGGTTTTCTAGGCGTGTCTCGAGCACATCTGGTCTGTCGGGCAGGCGGACGAACCATTCGTACTTCTGAGACATTGTTGTTCCTTTCCCTTTGTCCTGGTTTTGAGACTCTTCGCACTTGATGTTAGCTTTAGCTCATAGCTCGAGGTGAAGTGGACTGACCAGGAGAGCAAGAGGTAAGTCTAGCAAACGACGTGGGCGTTCAACGTCGCAAGTAAGTGTATATTCTTAGGCTATCGGACGTTTTGCGGGCAAGAGGTGAGAGAGATCATAGATTGCTGATCGAGATATACTGATATACTTCCTTGTTTGTTCCATTCTATCAAAGAGATACTCCGTCCATCCTGATGCCCTCGGGTGGATTTCTCCGAATCATTTTCTTCTACATAGCAGAGCCTGCAGATACCACCGGCACGAAACGGGATCTGGGCGGATCGGAGTTTCTCCCGCTGAACCCAAAGAGCCAGAACATCTCTTTTAAATCAACCAGTCCGACTTCGCATACTATACTATCAGGTAAAAGCGCACCAAGGATTTCAATTTCAACCCCGCACTCCCAAGCCCCAATGCTCAACGTAGAGATATCGGTCAGTGTAACATTCTCTATTTTGCAACCCATTCCTGAACCTGTAGTAAAACCATTAAACATTGAAATTCAATAGTCAAGTACTGATAGTCACCAAGGATCTAGTATTCTTGTATTCAAGAAACACTAACTTTATGGAGATATTCAATTTCCAAGTGGAAGGGACTGAAAATCTCTGCCGTTCTATCATCAGGTATAGTGTAGGATCCGAAGTAGGACTGGTTAAACGAAGAGGCCAATATCTTGCAAATTAAAATGGTTCTCCGCACGCGGAGAACCATTCCTTGCTCGCTTTCCGACTTTAGGGACAGACAATCTGGATTCACCCGAAGCTACATCCGCAGTCGCCTGATAACTAAAGGCTCAGTCTGCCCAGAATATTTTGATTCAAGTCACATGGAGACACCTATCGATTTAGAGATAAGAAAGAACAGCGATTGCCAGTTTCACCAAAGCACGGCTTTGTCATTCTCCCCTCAGAGCGCAAAACCAGAGCTGCAAAACAAGAGATTTCCTCGGTTGAGAGGACGATCCGAGGCCGCATTCCACGCCCAGCTAACTAACGAACGCGTCTCTTCATCTCAAGCGCTTGACGATGCACTCAGACTTCAGGGTTCAAGTGACTTTCACGGTCGATTGCCAACCCCCCCAAGTGGAGCTTTCCCCTACGAGTGCCCTTCGTATGACCTCCATCCTCAGTCAAGTGTGTTTATCTCGGAAATGACAGCATCAAACCTCAGTTCCTAGATAAACTAGCCTCACTGGGAGAATTGCAGCCGCTGACCGAATATTGAGAAGACACTCCTGACTGCCAAAAGATCACAAACGGTGTTTTTACAACTGGAGGCCGCATTGTGATCCCCGAACCATTTCAAAGGGCCCATCAAGGACCAAATGAAAGACACCGCTCATGCCATAGCGGTCTAATCTCAGTGATTGCAGAGGACCAGTTCAGGTTATGTTAGAGGTTCAGGATGTCAGAGGCCACGGTCATCAATGAGAACTTCTGGCAAAATATGACTAGACAAGTGCATTCATAGAGGCCAGTATGATATGTTGCAACATGACTCTAGGCATTCCGAGACTTCAAATGAAAGAGTAAGCGCCAAAATGCAATGCCAAACTGTATTTGAAAGATAGAATATTCATTGTGTCAGAACTCTCTCTTGGGCACACTAGCCATCGCTCTATTGAACCCCTGAGGAGCAGAGTCAACATTCAACATGGGTTTGGCTACATTGTCCTTGTACTTGGGAACGCCATATCCAATCAGCATGTGGTAATACAGTCGTAAATGACATCTTGCGCATTGGGATGCATCTCAGGATGGGCCAACCCAGGTTGCCCCAGGAATAACTAGATCTTTATCTGGGTTTGGAACTGCATCCCTCCGCACTCGCCAGAGAGCTGTGACAGTCCGTGAGGGTTCAATGTTCATTCTCACTTTATGCTGAGGAGAAGAAAAATTCTGCTCAGGGTAGCTTTGCAATGCAGCTCAAAACCAGTATGAGAAGGTAAATGATTCTGCAAATCAACCTTTGAGGAATAACAGATATAATCATGAGCGGAAACTTCCAGCATGGAAGCTCCTTTGGCGTGTTGTGATTCGAAACACTATCGAATTGAACTTGGACACCAAAACTCATTCAGTCAGAACGCAGTCAGGCTGATCCAATTGAGTAAATCCTCTTTCAGTTTTTAATATACGAGGAATCCCTGAGGCGGACAACCATTGTCAGTCAACAACCGCGGGTGAGGAGGGCATCTGCAACTTTCAATAGGCTAAAGAAAAAAGCCATCACCACAATTGCTGGTGATCTACTACACAAAATCCATTTATGAAATTGATTGGAAAAAAGCTTGAAGCATCCTTTGCGGTTTTCGATTCTTGCTTTTCCGTCTTGACCGAGCAAAGACCCGAAGTTTTTCAATTTTTTGGGACGAAAGAAAAGATCGCATAACACGCTGCGCTCGATTCGAGAATGACATTTAAAAGAAGAAAAAGGTTTAATTCCCAATAAAAACCAACAAAGACGAGCGAAGGGAACATTGTCATTCCAAGGACAATGTTCCCTTCGCTCGTCTCAAGGACAATGTTGATGGCAGAAGTGAAAGGGACGAGGTGGTCGAAAGTTTAAAAGTCGAGGAAGTCCGCTTGGGCCCGTGTTCTGATAAAAGTGAGAACTTGACTCGTTGTTATTGTCCATTTTCCCACCACCCGACACGGCGTACGGAGCACAGGTACTCTCTTTCTAGAGATTGAAATATATGATTCTTATCAGTCTTCATTGATTGATTTAAAAAGTGGAGAGAAAAAAAAAGCAATTGGATCGCCCGGTTCGCAGTTTTCGCTCTCGATCCAACGATGACACCCCCACCTCCGAAGCGCCAAAAGCGCAATGAATACCGCGATGAAGCAAAAGCCCAAGAATCCGGGGCAATTCAGATGCCAAGGAAGAGACTTTACCGTCAGCGTGCTCATGCGAATCCGTTTTCGGATCATCATTTGAGCTAGTGAGCATTCCGACGCCTCCCTTCCCACCGACAATAGCTGTGCTAATCGCAACGAATGACAGTCCAATTAGCCCTGACCACATGGACTGGTCCGTCCATTTCCCTGCATACGTGGACCCGGATGAGAGTAAGACAAATTTGGCTGGCTTTCGAAAATTGTTGAAAGATGTGGAGGTTGCAGATATAGGGTGCGGCTTTGGGGGGTTGCTTGTCGCATTGGCTCCAGTGATGCCTGATACGTTGATGGTTGGTAGGTTTTCTGCATCGAATTTCCCTTGTTGTCGATAGATATCTTCTGAACTCGGATTATAGGGATGGAGATCCGCATTCAGGTTCTCGAATACGTGACAGCACGGATCCAGGCCCTTCGCTCCCAAAGGCCTCCCCCAGAGGCCCCACAAGAGTCCTCCTCACCAGATAAGAGCGAGTCTCAACTTCAAAATCAATCATCAATCCAGTCTTCACCTTCAGCTGCTGTGTCCTCCGCGTCATACCAGAATATCTCCGCCATTCGCTCGAACACGATGAAATTCCTCCCCAATTTCTTCTCGCGCCATCAACTCTCATCCATATTCATATGCTTCCCAGACCCACACTTTAAGGCTCGGAAGCATAAGGCGCGAATCGTCTCCACGTCGCTGAATGCAGAGTATGCATACGTGCTAAGACCGGGAGGAAAGTTATATACCATCACCGATGTTGAGGACTTGCACCTATGGATGGTGAGCCACTTTGAGGGAACTGCGGATGAAGTAGCAGGCAATGGTGCGGCCGGCGTGAGTGAATTGTGGGAAAGGGTGGATGACGAAGAATTAGATAAAGATGAATGTGTGAGAATCATGAGAGACGAGACCGAAGAGGGGAAGAAGGTGACGAGGAATGGAGGGCACAAGTTCGTTGCAGTTTGGCGGAGAAAGGAGGATCCGGAATGGATTCCTTAAGTTTTTATATCTCTTTGCACCCCAGGTGGCCCCTACCAGATATCCACATGCCATCTACATTTTGTGAACTTACTATATATAGAGTCCGCTCAAGCCTCCTCCAGTTGGAAACTAGAAGAAAATATGGCGTCAAAGAGCAGACATCGTCGTTTTGCAAGTACTAATATGTACTACTTCTACACTCCCTGACGGCAGATCAAGGGAAATCTGTAAGAGATCGAAACGCAGTACCCGATCCAAGGAACCCCAATGAACTTGAATATCAAAAACTAAGCTTCTATACACCACTCAGGGGGATCCAGCCTCTTTCAATGCGAAACACGATAAAAAGAAATTATATATACCATTCATTTCACCAAGTCCCAAAACGTTCAGGCCTTCAACCTCCTCGCTTCACAGCTTTCACAAGCCGCTGTCTCCACAGGTCCCCCGATTTGCCTTCCCTTCGCTGTGACTCTCGGTTTTCCCTGCCGAGCGAAAAACCTTCCCTCGGGCCCAAACCCCCCGCCGCACTCACAACATACAAAGCACTTCTCATGCCATTGACCACCAAGTGCAGTAACCACCACATCCTCTACCACCGGCAGCTTGCATGCACGACACTTGTCCGCCGTCCGGCGCGAGTGGCAGCGTACGCACCACGCATACCCTTCTTTCTCGACAAACGGCGTCTCAGGCGTGAACGGGTCACCGCACTCAGCACAGAAGAAATGGCCCACATGCCATTCGGCGCCACATGCAACGATTACCTCTCCCTCGATGGGGGTCTTGCAACTTTTGCAGCGCGGGGAGAACAGTTCGTGGAAGTCGAGATGGCAATAAAATCGGGGGTAGTTCATTTCTTGATCGTCTTCGTGTGAATCGGCGAGGCGCTCCGCACGGCTGGACTCGGGTTCTTGGTAAAAAGCAACGCATTCGAGCGCGGTGCTGCAGTGGTAGCATGTGAAGCATTCAGGATGGAGCCGGTGATCACACGCAGTCACTATCCGTCCGGAAATTGGCAGGCCGCAGGCAGCACAGGCCGCGGTGGGGAAATTGATACTGGTAGGAGTAATATGGCTAAAGCGGCTTTTGGACAATGCCGCTGCCTTCTTGCTGCGTTGTTCGGCTGCATACTTTTTGGGGTCAGGGAGTTCTCGTCGCTTTGGCTCATTTTGAGGTGGCATTGAAGAAATGGGAGGACCTAGTTCTGATACAAGGATAGACGGCGGCGTGGAGTCTTCGCATTCAACACTGATTGAGGGAACGCTTGGGGCCTCGCTCACATTGATTGTAGGTGCTAGATCTTTGTGTGGAGTAGAGGTATTCTCAATCGACGGCCGCGATGACGATTGTCCGAAGCCTTGTCGGGCGCCTCTCGAATTGGCGTAGGCTTCCTCTTCTGGAGCTTTCCAGTCAGGATCAAAACTCACAATGGGACGGCCAGGCCGATCACTGACAGCTGATGGCATAGGGAGTCTGGAACTCCTGTCCTTGAGCCTCATGCTGGTTGCAGCACGAATCTCCTCACTACGTATCTCGATCCCGTCTTTTGTAGGCGAAGTTTCCTGCTCTTTTGTGGAGTTGGCAGTCGTAGAGAAATTGTTGGCCTTGTAAAAAGGATTTTTGGACTGAGTGGGAGGATTTTTGTGAATATCAAAAATGGACAGTTTCTTCTCGCTACCGGCTCTATTATTAGCCTGCCGAGGAAGGGATCGTGCACCGCGTGGGAGCGAGTTTCGAGCCTTCACCCTAAGAGCAGAGGGTATAAATTTATCGGTCGCTGCCTCAGCCTTGGAGCTCGGATCTTCGGGCTCCTCGTAGATCTGGTCTTCTGGGTTTCTAAACAGCCCCTTTGAAGAATCGCTGTTAGAAATTCGCGATAGCTGGGGGTGGGGAGCCTGCTGCATGTCATCTTCCGGCAAAGAAAAATTTACTTTTGAAGTCCGCCTCAGAGATGAATTCTTTTTAACTCTGAAAGTAGAATTATCGTGGTGAGTTTGGGGCCTTGTCCCATGAACTCCTGCTGGAAATGAGATTCTATGGGAATTAGCGGAGTTGCTTCCACCAGAACTGTCAGACTCAGAGAGGTCTCGTCCAGATCTCGAAATTGCAGAGCTATGGCTTCTAAAATGGCCTCCCCTTTCAGAATATCGTAGAAAACGATTCGCAACGTCAGGGTTGCGGTAGGGGGCATGTTGATTCTGTTCCTGGAATCCATACTTCTGGTGCTGCAAGACCAAGTCCACAGCTTCCTCGTGTGCTGCGTCGTACAGACGTTGTTCCTCATCTTGGAGGTCCATTTCTTCCAGTGCGTTTCGCAGCGAGCGTGCTGCCTGTTTTTCGACCCATCTGTGGCCGCTCTCTCGGTACTGAGCATTTGGTGACGACACTATCGGTGTAGACGACGTATTCCTGGGGGTCTCATCCACCGTTTCCTCCGGGATACTTGTGTATTCTCCAGGTTCGTTCTGCTGGAGAAGTTCGGACATATATCGACGGTGGGACAGAGCGCTGGAAGAACGCGGAAAGAGATCGCCGGTGGCCGGGCCGGAGGGGTCCGCTGGCCTGGACATTGAGAGGGCAGAGGACGCTCTAGGCGGCAGGTCATTGTTCTGCGGAGATCCTAAGAGAGCCGTGTCTTTCGTAGGGAGCGGGCGGGAGCCAATTGGGCGGGGAGGGCGGTTGTTTCGAAGGTCCTTGAGGTAGTGGGCTGCGTAGGAAGAGTTAGTCAACCAAAGGATGCAGCCTCCACTTCATAGACACTCAATATTGACTCAAGACGAAGACCATATCGGTTCGGTTCTCCCGCAAAGGGGGCGTATCTCTCCCTGAGGGACTCTTCTTCCTGTTCTACTCACCGAGCTGGTCGTCGTCCATGAAGGTCGGGTTGGGAGGAGACACCTTCCGGGTACCGGACTTGAATCGGATGGAATGGACCATGGCTGTCTCTGCGGACGATTCTCGACTGTAAATAATGAAGTGATCGTGTTCACCATAAAAGTGGACCTGCCTGTACGGAGTAGTTATATCGGTTCAGCGTGAAGAGAGTGGACAGCAATTCAGCCAGCCATGGGCTTGCTCTCTGTTGACCTAGCAGCAGCAGCAGCAGCACAGATACGTCAGAGGAGCAGGATTTGAGGAAAAGAGAGATGACTCTCAGACATCCAACTCCTCGAAGACTCACTCAGATAATTGGAGATCGGCGGGGAGTCGAGGGCTGCGTTCGTTGGCTGTATCCTTTATACGCCCGCCGGCAGTCCTCGCGTATCACCAGCCGCCAACGCATCGAGCGAGTCTGTGACGTATCCGGCCAGGGTGTGTGCGTGTTTACACTAGCGAGTCTCGCTGCCCGTTGCCAGGGCCAACCGGCTCTCTCTGTTTCACACAGCGCTCTTCAATCGATGCAATATTTACTCTGCGCGACTACCAAGTACATCCCTACACGCTGACTTCCTGGAATCGAGGGTAAACCACGACCAATCTGGAGGGTTCCGCGGCTGGTGATCCGGTATCGAAGTTATCATTGGTGCCACCGGTGATCGCATCATCCACCTTGGTGGGAGTGACGAGCTAACTCTGTAACTACATAATTTAGCCGCTGGCCCCGTCACAGAGATCGCTGCCGCAATCAGCCAACCTTAGTTTCGTCAAAGTGGTCGTCGTTGCAGAATTGGATCGAGGCGTGGAGAGGGCGCCAGCCAGGATTCGGGAAGCCTTCCGGCGATCCTCGTCAAAGGCGGCCGTGTGAACTCCCTCGACCCAGCTTTGCAAATATGAAACAGTCATGATAATGACTTCGTATATATATATATATATATATACGTGGTGAACTCCACGTCTGTAACGCCACACATCGTACTCCGTAGACTTGGCAAAGCTGGATCGTCCCCTGCATCGTTCTCGACTGCTGACTGTTTTGACTCCTGGCTTACGATGTGCACGATGCGATTAACCCATTGAATTGCCTGGATCAGCATGCGTGCGTACGTATGCCGCTGGACAATTACTCCATTCCCCCTTTGTCTCTCTGCTTTCTTTTTGCCTGTGTAAATGCTAATCATAGACTGGGCTTTTGGCGGACGCAAATTTATCACTCAAACATATTAAATATTATTGCTCATTCAATTCTCCTTGAATCTGGTAACTAAACAGGCGGAGGGGCGGCAGATCTGGGATCCCGATCGCCGGCATTCCCGAGTGCATTCAAACGATCTCAGTGCCTCAGGTGGTTACGGCAAAGAACTTCCCACTTTTCTTCCCCTGTGACACACAGACTCTTTTCGCGAGAAAGCCACATATGTAGGGAGTTCTGCCTGCCCAATTCCGGTTCCGATCCCATTCAGAGATCTGTCTGGGCCCACTAACCCGAAAGCTGTCCGGGCGATTCGCCGGATTGCATTCTGGGCGAAGGTGAAGGTCGCTCAGCGAAGCGCAGAGAAAGCTCGCAATTCCTACACTTGAATGCCCCTGTGGTTTGTTTTCGCAGTTTGTTGACTCCGATCCCCCTCCAGTTGACCAGGATCCCACCTCGCGCACCCAGTCGTCGCGCCCGCAGATCCCTTCGTTTCTCCCCAATGGAATGCTGGGCCTGCATGGCTCCATCGGCACGTTGGACCTTCTGCCTCATGGATGCCACGATGGTCACCCAGGCCACCCCGTCCAGCCTCTGAGTCCGGGCTAGACGCGGGTAGGCCAATGAGGACGCAGATGCAAGGGTACAATTGCTTTTTGCCTTTTTTTTTTTTTTTTTTTTTTTTTTTGATTTTCTAAAAAGAACGAAAAGTTCAAAAACGGAAGACGAGAGAGCAGGGCCCAGCGCAGGTGATCCTTTGGTCGCGAATAGAGTTCCCTGACACCCGGTTCAGTCGGCACCGCGTCCCGAAGCCTCACGCTCAGCGCGCAGTCGGGGAAAAGCAGCGCTGGGAGAGTTACCCGGTTCCCCCCACATTGGGGCCCTGCTCTCTAGCGCCCGATTGGCCACCTCCGCCTTGTCTGGGCCACCTCGGTCTGTCGAGAGAGAGGGAAGACCCGAGCAGTTTGACGGTCAGGATGGGGCAAAATTCCGGCACAATTCCCGCAAAATCCCCCCACAGACCCCAACTTTCTGAGGCGGTAGGGCGCTGCGAAGATATGCCTAGGCACAGCTCTCCAGCCATGCCAATCCGGGAGTTAACTCCTCGATCTCGTCCACCGTATTTCCTGATCGCACCTCTTTGGCACGAAGGAACTGGTGTTCCAGGACACCGCTAGGCTAGGAAAGGTGGGTGTAGCCGGGATGCTTCAAAAAGAAAGCAACTGTTGCTCTCTTCCCCCACGGACAGCGCTAGAACGGGTCAACGGGGCCAGCAAATTTATAAGCCCGACGCGCCCTGCAACGGTGCGCGTCGTCCCTCAATTTGAACCGGCCGTTCGCTCGATGGATATTGTGAGGCTCGACGTATGCCGTTGGTGCTGCCGGCATTATCCACTTATCTATATTAACTAAAGTCCACCAACCCTTGCGGAGCAGTTCTAGCTATTTTATTTTTCCTGATTTCCCTTTTCCTTTTTGCCCTCTGTGCGAGTCGCGTGCACTTTTGACTAATTTCCAACCCAAAAAAAAAAAAAAGGGGATTAATGTCTGCGGCCATAACTAGGCCTTAACTAACCAGGACCATGGGCGACAATTCGTCTATCCGAATCACGCATCCACCATTACCGGGTGCAGATGAGAAAAGAGATACTGATGGTACCGAACTGTCCGGTGACGAAGTGACTCCGTCATCTGCGGAGGATGGATTGGAGGAGAAGCCACCAGAAGACGTCCCACCAGATGGCGGGTATGGCTGGGTGTGTGTTGCTTGTGCAGCTTTCATCAACGGAAATACATGGGGAGTTAACAGTGTACGCTACATCCCTCTCCTGTATCTGACTTGCGAACGCATTGCTCACTTGTTCTATGTAGTCTTACGGTGTCTTCTTGTCCCACTATCTCTCTAACGATATATTCCCCAATATGAGCGCAATCGGATACGCCTTCACCGGCGGCCTAAGCATGTCTTGCGCCCTCTTAATATCACCTTTGGTCACCCACCTGATACACCTTTTCGGCAATCGAACAATTCTGAATATAGGGGTCTGCCTGCAAACTATCTCGTTCATCGGAGCATCATTTGCCAAAGAGCAGTGGCATTTATTCTTAAGTCAGGGCGTATGCTTTGGTGTGGGAATGGGGTGTATTTTCATTGGATCTGTTGGGATCACCCCGCAGTGGTTCCTGAAGAAACGAAGTGTTGCAAACGCAATCGCTGCCGCTGGCTCGGGGATGGGAGGACTTGCGTACTCCTTAGGAGCCGGCGCGATGATCCCCCGTCTTGGATTGGCCTGGGCTTTCCGTGTTCTTGGAATCACCACGTTCAGCATCAATATAGTCGCGTGCAATCTGCTGAGAGACCGGAATAAGGCCGTAGGAAGCCGTTATCGCGCATTTCATTTTCCACTACTGAAGCGGCCCGAGTTTCTGCTGCTTCAAGCTTGGGGCATTTTCAGCTTGCTTGGCTACGTCGTGCTTATCTTCAGTCTTCCCAATTTCGCACTCTCTATTGGCCTTTCTCCGCATCAAGGGAGTATTGTCGGCGCCCTTCTCAATTTGGGACAAGGCCTAGGCAGACCTGTAATAGGTCTCATCAGTGACCGTTTTGGGAGGATCAACATGGCCACTGTTTTCACATTCTTCTGTGGCCTTCTTTGCTTCGCCGTCTGGATTCCGTCTCTCAACATGGGAGTGCTATGTTTTTTTGCCATAATCGTGGGCACTGTTGCAGGAACTTTCTGGACCACTGTCGTTCCCGTCTGTGCAGAAGTAATCGGGATGCAAGAATTACCAGCCGGGCTTAGTATATCTTGGGTGCTCATTGTGCCGCCGACGACGGTGTCAGAACCAATCGCCGTTTTGCTAAAGGACGACTCTAAAAAACAGTGGGTCTACCTCTATGCGCAGATATTCACAGGCCTGGTATACATCGTGGCGGGTATTAGCATATGGCTCGTCCGTGGCTGGAAAATTGGTCAGGTAGAAATAGCAGCGAAGAAGAGAGCCGTAGCCCTTGCAGCTGGCACTTCTGCAACACTGAAAAGCCGTCATCCAGACACAAACACCCCGGCGGTTCCTGAGAACCAGCTTTCGCCCGATAGAGATGCTTCAAGCCACCCTAATGAGCATACTATTTCTGCTCTGCCGTCTCCGCCTTCACCTGAGATAGACACCCGGGTTTGGTCTCCGGTTCATTTGCTGCGCAGGATGATGGTCCGTGGCCATGTTTGACGATGGAGAGACGGGAACTTCTCCATATACCTAATAGTTGCAAGATCCTGGCACGATACCTATATGTTATGGCATTATGGATGTGCTATAGCCTAGCGATGCCTTCCTAAGCCTGAGGCATCTCTTACAAAAAAATACAAATCCTTCTTACCTCCACTAGGCATATGACGATTGATACGAATATCGCGCTAGATGTGTTTAGGGCAATACCTTGTGGATTTGTTAATTTGCATACACCCCTAATAATCGACGTATATTCTCTTGGGACACGAAGCAACATACGAATTCGGCCGACTGGCTTGCATATATCCCCAGCATTATTTTATTAGCATTGTTCTACGGACTTTTCAGGACTCGTTCGCATGTATCCACATGGCGGGCTTAGTAAATAGAATCAAAATGAGATAAAAATGATAGGGAACTGGCATGGGAATCGAGAAATTGAAAATTTTTATTTTTTATAACAAAAGTAGGGGTGAATAGCCCGCTAGATGCATTCTTCCCAGAAAAAGATGCCACAACAACATAAAAGGCAAAACCTAGAGAGCAAAGAGACTAGATATTACGCCTTTCCCAAGACCAAAATCCGTACTCTCCGCTTACCCGCCCCGCGAACCCCTTCTTCCTTCACGGAACTCACATTCACCTTGACCTTTTCAAACAACTCAATGTAGACACTTCCCGCCTTCACCTTCTCACCCCCATCTTCTCCCTCATGCTGCTTCTCTCGCACCCTCAGCGCATATTCCTCGGGATCAAACTCGCTCTCTCTCCTCGCGGCAATATGCTTCCCCCCACGAACCCCAATCTCATCAACCTTCTGTCCAGGGAGCAAGAAATCCTCCAGCCTAACCACGCCCTCAATTCCGAACCTCGGCACAAAGACCACAATCCCATTATCAAACACGCGCATCACGTAGCCCTCTTCATCAACGCCCGCAGCAGCGCCGTTCTCATTGCCGGATTTCGCAGCTTCCATCTCGCCGCGTGCTTTGAGCGCCTGGCCGACGTAGTACTCTATGCTTGCGCGGCCAGCGAACTGCGCATTGCGGTGTCGGTGGTTGATGTTCTTGCAAATATCTTCTAGTTTACTGCGCGTTGCGAGGCCTTCGCCCACAGACGCGCCGGGTCCTTCGTACCCGATGGCGGCTGCGAGTTGGCGATGGACCACCAAGTCAGCGTATCGACGAATTGGGGAGGTGAAATGCGTGTAGATCGACGAGGCGAGACCGTAGTGGCGGAACTCTGATTCTGCATGGGCCCCGGCGCAGAAGTATTCGGCTGAAGTCATGCAGCGGGTTGCAAGGATACGGATTAGGGTGTTGAAAAATGGGTTGGATGGGTCGACGCATTTGTCGAGGGAGTTTGCGAGGGCTAGGGAGCTAGATACATCGAGGGTGAGGCCGCGCTTTTTAGAGAGTTGAGCGATTAGCTGTTCGAAGTTTTGGGGGGGAGGTGTGGCATGACGCCGAAGAAGGGCGGTTTGTGGAAATGATTGATATATGCGGGAGGCGACGGTGATGTTGGCGAGCAACATGAATTCTTCAACAAGGCTGTTGGTAGCGAGAAGAGCTTTAGTTTTCACGTCGGCTACTGGATCATTGAGTTCCGATTCAGTTTCGATACGGACTTCTGGGGAAGCAAGGTTAAGAGCTCCAGCGTCCATGCGTTTTTGTCGTAGGATCTTGGACATGCGCAGCAATGTGCGCATGCTTTGGGTCAGCTCATCTTTCTTAGACTCATCATCAATTCGCAACTGCGCTTGTTCGTAGCTAAAAGCTTCCTTGGAAAGAATCACGGACTTGGTAAAATTGGCTGATACTATCTCCGCGTCAGGCGTCATCTCCCAGATTACCGAGAACGCAAAGCGCTCAACATACGGTTTTAAGGAGCAGAGGTCGGTGCCGAGAAGCATTGGTAACATGTCAATACGCTTATCAACCAGATACACGGTAGTTCCTCTCATGCTGGCTTCAATGTCCATGGCGTTGTTGGGCTGAACAAAGTGGGATACATCCGCGATATGAACACCAACCTCGAAATTTCCATTTGGCAATGGTCTTGAATGTAGAGTATCGTCAATATCCTGACATCCTGGAGGGTCAATACTGCAAACTAGCAAATCTCTCAAGTCCTTCCGATCTTTCCATAATGGGTCATCCAAGTTTCCAGGAACTTTCCAGCTGTGCCCTTCGGGCGGAAGACAATTGAGGACTGCTTGCGAGAACGGCCTATATTGCACGTCGTACTCAAGTAGGAGGGCCTCGGTTTCCGCTCCCTTTGTCTCCAGTTCACCCAAGGAACGGACGAAGTGGCCAGTTGGATAGCGCGAGTCGCGATCCCAGGCATCAATTGTTATCAATATACGCTGACCCAGTAGTTCACTGGCCTGTCGGGTGCGTATTTTAATTTTCGGGACACGTTTATCCATGGGAATGACAAATACTGCTTGTTGCCTGCGACCGGACGAAGCTTCAGAACTAAATGACCCGCCATCAATATTACCCACATATTGACGCCAGTTCCTCTTGATCACGCCAACTACACGGGCTGTGGGCTGCGGTCGCCCTTCAGGGTTTGTTCCGTGGGCTTTTCTGACTTCCTCTTGAAGTGCTCTTCGCTCTCTTTCTGTCACCACTGCTTCATTTTCTTCAGACTCGGGATTTTCGTCTTTCGTGAGCGCCTCTTCATCCACGATCTTCGTGGAAGGAGACTTCCACTGATCCTTTGGCAATATCTCAACGACCACTAAATCTCCGGCGATTGCTCGATTACTATTCTCTCGACCAAGAATAAGCAGAGACTTGTCGAACGCCGCCACCTGAACTGATCCTTCGAGGTAGTTGTAAGGAGAAACGTTGAATATGCCTTGGTGTAAAGTTCCTGCACGTAAACCCGTCATCAACTTTGACATGGAATAGTACTCCGGATAAATCAATTGCCCTCTCTGAAGTTTGGCGTCGTGTGCAGATCTCGACTCATTAACCATGTCCAGGAGTCTGTCTGCATCGTCAAGGCCTGCGACATAATCTGACAACGACAACGCAGAAACGCCCTCTTTCTTCGCCTTCAAGATATTGTCCTTATCGTCTGTAATAACAACGATTGCCGGTACCGTATAATTTTTCCTGCTTTGCTTCAAAACCTCGCTTAAATGCTCAGAGTACCAGTTTGCTGCCCGACGCACAGCCCTGTCATTGCGATCGTTTATACTCTCGTCTCGCTGGCGGCGAACATGTGTTTCCAAGCGGAATTCGTTGAAAAAGAGGTAGTACCGCTTCTCCTCGCTCCGAATTAAGGAAATTAACCGATTATATAAAGGGAGGGACTGGTTCTTAAGCTCTTCTAGAACTGTCTGTAAGACGATCACATCGTAGAACGCGCTTGTCTGCTCGAAAAGATCCATTCCATTGAGAAGCGCATTGGTATCTGGCATCAGGTAATGCCCTCTCGGAAATGCTTTCGTCCCGGCTGGTCGCTCAGATAAGACAAACGGCGTGACTATCGGCCGAATTAGCACCTATAAACGTCCAGAAAATGGGTATTTTTCTCACTGTTGCCATTGGCATCCGTTGGCGCATATGAGAGGCATGACGGGCATAATTTTGATGAGCACGGAATGTCTTGTCTCAGATATAGTTCTCGTACAATCTTCTGAACCTTTCCGCTCTTAGTTGTCCTCACAAAGATTTTGCTGGAAACATTCGCAGCGTGTGGGTGGGAGGAGCGGTCCCTCCGTAAACTTTTCATGGTGAGAGCTGATTATTTAGACCTATGATTCGTATATCGCAAGTATGGCAGGGGTGTCAAACGTGAATGAAATTCTGTGTCCCCCCGTCGCGACCAAGCGGGCCTAAGGTCAGAGTCTCAGCTCTGTTACTGCGCGGTTGGGCGCGGGATAAATTTCACACGGTAACTGGAATTCCGTAGAGTCAAACCCGCTCAAGAACACATCATATTTGGAAACTTTAAGAGATAAGTCCTCCCATCCCTCGAAAAGATTATATCCACCCGCGTCGCGAACAAGCCCGCCAGGAATTCTTTCCAACCATACCGGAAAAATGAGATTTCTGGGCAACCTTCGGGAAATGTTTATCCGACAACCACCAGTTTCTCAACTGAGAACTGTAGATCTACAGTATAGCAACCATTTCTTCTCATATATGTATAAAGGGTCTGAAACATATAAAATTTGGAATGTATCATGCACCAGCTGAGGTTTTTGATCAGGCTTCCTAACTAAATATGGTATAGCTTTGAAAATCTTTCAAGATCAAAGGGCTTTGTTTGTTCTTTCATGTTGATTTTTCCTTCCAAAATCAACCAACCTACCAATCAACCACCCTACCTAGCTGCTGAGATTTGCTAAGTTGATTACCTAGTTAGATTGATTATTGATGGATTTGCTGATGGTTTTGTTGATAGATTCATCCCTTCGATCTTCAGACCCTACACGTTCGTTGAATCAATTCCTAGATCCCTAGGATCCTACATGCTTGTTGAATCAATTTCTAGATTCCTAGGATCCTACAAGTTTGTTGAATTGATTCCTAGATTCCTAGGATCCTACATGCTTGTTGAATCGATTCCTAGACCCCTAGGAATCCTACATGCTCGTTGAATTGATTCCTAGATTCCTAGGATCCTACATGCTTGTTGAATCAATTTCTAGATTCCTAGGATCCTACAAGTTTGTTGAATTGATTCCTAGATTCCTAGGATCCTACATGCTTGTTGAATCGATTCCTAGACCCCTAGGAATCCTACATGCTCGTTGAATTGATTCCTAGATTCCTAGGATCCTACATGCTCGTTGAATCAGTTCCTAGATCCCTAGGATCCTACAAGTTTGTTGAATTGATTCCTAGATTCCTAGGATCCTACATGCTTGTTGAATCGATTCCTAGACCCCTAGGAATCCTACATGCTCGTTGAATTGATTCCTAGACCCCTAGGAATCCTACAAGTTCATTGAATCGATTCCTAGATTCCTAGGATCCTACATGCTCGTTGAATCAGTTCCTAGACCCCTAGGATCCTACATGCTCGTTGAATTGATTCCTAGACCCATAGGAATCCTACAAGTTCATTGAATCAATTCCTAGATTCCTAGGATCCTACATGCTCGTTGAATCAGTTCCTAGACCCCTAGGAATCCTACATGCTTGTTGAATCATTTTTAGATCAATTTTTGTACATAGTGAATTTGCAAATAGTCATGTAATATACTCTGTAATCCACTCTGTAATCCACTCTAATCCACTTGTAATGGTTGATAAACCAAAAGTAGTGCGCGGAATGTTTCCAAGCTGGAAATGTAGATAAAAATATACTAAGGTTCTACGGTTTCCATGGATATATATTGATCCCAAAATCCACGTATCGGAACCGGTGGATCTACGGTTTCCGAATCCCCCCAAAATCCGCTATGGAACAACTTTGATATCACGTGATCTACAAGCAGCTTCACCCAGAAACAGGAAGGTTAACCGAGCCGATATCAGTCGCCGATGCGAGGCGCCGGGTGCTGGGATGTTGATGCTACATCATACGTGTGCTCAGACTCCAGCAGTGCAATGTAGCTATCTAACATCCTCTTGCCTGTGAATTGCGCCAAAGAGCTATCGGTATATGCGCTCCGCGACGTAAAAGATGACGAGAGCGGTATAGAGTTCCGAGCCGATACCTACAAATCTTTTTACTAACCACTCCGCAGGCAGTCGGCCAGCTCTGCTCAACCGCGAGCATGGCTCATAATCTTATTCAGTGTCAAATACTTGTACACAAGGCTGTTGCCGCAGGTGCGAAGGTTGGGCTTAAAGCATCCACTATTGCAGTATAGTTCACGTACATCTGTTCGAACCTAACGTCCCACGGCCGACACAGGCGCTCTTCCTGCCCGAAGCCTCAGATTACATTGCCGCGTCTCCCGCAGAGTCTCTTTTCTTAGTTCGACCGGTTAACGAGAGTGATTTTGTTTTGGGATTGCAAAAAGAGGCCAGATTAGCAAGATTGCCGATTAATGTGGGCATACATGAGCCTGCTCAAGGCGGGGAGAAGGTCAAGAATACATTAATTTGGATTGATGAGACTGGGAAGATCACCCAAAGATATCAGAAAATACATCTTTTCGACGTTGATATAAAAGGCGGTCCCGTGTTAAAGGAGAGCAGGTGAGCAGGCCTACTCGTAGGGGTATCTAGACCCCGCCTCAAATCATGAGACCTGGAGAGATTCTCGTCAAAGGATTACTGACGCTTCATCATCGGTATAAACGTGAAGGAGTGTTGAGAAAGGGATGAAGATTGTCCCTCCCTTTGAAACACCAGTTGGTCGTCTTGGGTTAAGTATATGCTTCGATGTAAGCTGACACCTACTGCGCGACTGTTAACTGTTTTTTTTGCCATCTTCTCAATTGAATATCCCCGATTCTAACGACAACCTGAATCTCTTTGACACTGGGGGTCTTTAGCTTCGCTTTCCAGAAATCAGCCTAGCTCTGCGGCGACAAGGTGCCCAGATAATTACTTACCCGTCCGCATTTACTATACCAACCGGCCAAGCTCACTGGGAAACGCTCCTCCGAGCTAGAGCCATTGAAACGCAATCGTATATTGTGGCAGCCGCTCAATGCGGCCAGCACAATAATAAGCGCTTCAGCTATGGTCATTCGATGATCGTGAATCCATGGGGGGAAATCGTGGCCAAGCTGGGGTCCCAATCTGGCGAACCAGAAATTGCGGTGGCAGATATCGACTTTAAACTATTGGAAAAAGTCCGAAACGAAATGCCACTGCTAAGGAGGACGGATATATACCCCGAAGTCTGACGCTTTCAAAGAGCGTCGGTAGCCTGCAAATTAGATTTTTCATGTACATACGTAATTCATTTCCCATGTAGATAGGTACGCTCCCAGATATCCCCACAGCATTGAAATTCTGAATATTTGGTCAAGCGAAATTATCTCCGTTCATCTATGTAGGGCCCACGATCCAACTATGCAATTTTAGAGCCTAAACCACAATCATGACAGCTACAAGCTTGTTATTCCATATTATAACAAAGCAAACAGCACTTCTGTTTGAATTATCATGGCTGGTCTAAACTGAACAAACAGGGCCTCTTGTCATACATCTTTTCAACCTCGCGTAGCGGACGGAGATTCTATGTACAGAAGGCGGAATATAAAACGTGTACGGGCCAGGATGCAAGGTTTATTCCTTTTTCACGACATCAGGATCCTCAAGGATGCCCTCCTTTTCGAGCCGCCGTCTTGCCTCCTCTAGAGCCCATGTTTGTATCCTGGACAAAATAGATTAAGTTAGCTTTACTCATCAAATATACAGCGAATAAGGCATAAATAACAAAGCAAGTCTCAAAGGTAAAAACATCAGGGAAATTGCCTCGGGATATGGGGGATAAACGCCGTGTGGAGGATATGGCTGCACGTACGAAGTATCCGGCTTGAAAGAATATGCGATTCCCGCAACCACCAAACTTCCCACAAATCCATATGTCCACAGACCTTCCCATCCCTCTTTTACGTATTTCTGACCTGGCTTGACGCCGAACAACCAACCGGTTGGGGGATCATAGTGTGGCTCATGGGCACCGTTAAGGGGACTCCGCGTCGAGAAAGCCTGGCGCTGAGAATGTTTCGGGGCGCGGAGCAAGCACCGCGAGCGAGCGGAAAGGGAAACGGGCCTTGCAGGCATGACCGGCGATGTCTGTTAAAGGTGGATTAGATGCCCCGGGAGTGATAAGAAGGGTTTTCGGCTCCACCGTTCGGAGGCGATAAAAGATGGTTTTCGTGGCTCGAAAGGTGCCGGCGAGGATAATTGGTAAACCTCGCCCAAGGACACAAATAATTCGGAAAGAGGTTGACCTTGAATGGGAATGCGAGCGACGTTGGAGGGCTCGCGGTGCTGGTGGTGTTTGGTGATGATATGAGGTGGAGTTTGGATGGCTGTCGGCAAAGTTGTCATGTCACTGGACCAGAAGGTCCCCGCCAGGGAAGGTCGAGCGAGATAACTAAGTAATCCCTCACCACCAGACAACTTACCTGTCTCTGCCATCGTCTCAAGGATTAACTGATTACAACTTGGGGATTTTCCCTGTCATCACGGCAGATCAATAGCATTTTCATACTTGAAGACTCTGCCTTCACAACCCGAATGAATAGTAATTAACTGGCTGGTTAGCTACCCTCTCACCACCAGATGGCGACCTTGACCGGCGGGGGATAATTATTCTAACCCTTTGACGACAATACACGACAATACTTCCTTGTTATCTCCCATCGCTTTCCATCAGTCAAACAATACTCTGTATCGTGTGTTCTTCAGTGGCGCTGTTCTTCAAATAGCATCTCTCTCCCGAAGGATATCATGAGTCCCCAGTTGACCGGTCACCTCAGGAGCAGCATTGCATCCTTGCTGCTGTAGTCGCCGCAGCAGTGTAATTAGCAGGCCTGCGAGATTGGGTTGCAAAATAGCCCCAGTGAGATGCGATCATTGAGAGCTCGCATATCCAACAATGTTGCGCCACTATCCACCGTCGGAATGCGATAGAGGCCATTCTAGCACTGTTTCTCCCATTAAAAGGCTCGATAGTACGTTACCGATCGCTCTCTTCGGTAATTTGGAATGGCCAACTAGGCTTAACTATGTCCCTTATGCTAGAATTCTTCTCCATATCGGGCTAAGGTCGTTACATTTCTCGATGCTGCGATCCCCTAAGTACGTGAACACTGAATCCTGAAAGGCGGTTACTTTTCATAGCACGCCACTAGAGACAGAATACATCAAAAGATGCTTCTGACCGTAGAACCCCGTAACTCATTGTGGGATTTGATGTATTTGGTCCGAGTTCATATCAAGGACCGGTTTTTGCTTGTAAGCTTGTGCTCTTACGCATCACATGGGGCCAATGGTCCTCTATCCCTAAAAAACATCAGGTTGTGCTTTCGGCTCGAAGGCCTTCGTGGACACGTTTCCCAGGGTCGGTAAATGGCTCTCCTGTCCTGCAACGAATCGATGTCTTGATGGGAAAATGGCTCTGTTTGGATTCTGATCATTTATCTAGTTTAGTCAGAAAGAACTTCCTATGTGCATATCATCCTCTTCATCACCCTCGAACGGCCTTCTTTCATGGTATGTTCGAGGATCTAGTGGAGTAGTGATACCTATTAGAAAAATGCGACTGTGGGTGTTGCCCGGCGAAAAAGCGCGTCGCAGGAAACGCAACAGCAAACCTTCTAGCTGATGCTGACTGGAGGAAGCCAAAAAGTTTGAAACGAAGGGCTGTTTCAACAAGAGCCTCAGAAAATGCTACGACGAGAAAGGGCCTGTGTGCCAGAGACCGGAGGTTCGCAGCCGCAGATGTACGGAGTAATTAACCTCTCGGGAACATTCGGATTTGACTGATGCAGTGGCAGTTGTTTTGCATTGCTATACGGATTTGCGGTGGTTCCGAGACCTGGTATCCTATCAGGTATCGGCCAGAGATGAGTACTTCTCGAGATATTCGGACGCATTCTCTAGTTAGCGTGGACTAATCTAGTGGTCTTCTAACATGTCATTTTTGTCGGAACATTGCATTATAAAGTCCAGAGATAACATGTGGTTTGCATTCTGCAGTCTGTGGCTTCACATGAGAATTAGCTTACAACAGCTTTGTTTCAACCATTCTCGTTATGCATATATTTCCACACAATGGCTGTCATTCATTCATTAGATCTGACGTCCTATTTAATGGTTCCCATCACGATTAACTGGTTGACTACTTATGATCAACTGCAGTGAAAACGTGCAAGTCCAGGTTGGCCCGACCGGCCGCCCAATATGGGAAAATCCCCGGCAACTAACATTCCCCGGAGTACTATGAATCAGTTACAATGAAAATGGTTTCAGGATGGTGTAATACGTCCTACGAGCGTCTATAAGGCCTTGGGGGATTATGACTTCATCGTCCCGCTTGCCCATCCTTCAAACGGGCTGCAGTTTTCGATGTCGACCATCTGTCTAACCATTAGAAGTTCCTGTTTCCTCTTGCTACCGGCGCGCTAGAGGGAGGGAACCTCTGTTTCATCGCTAAATCACTGTCGGACGGGCTAGCGTGCTGTGCCCGTCTGCTTGGGCGACTGCTGCCGTGTCACGACATTTAACATCTCTGTGCTTGATCTGAACGGAAGGTGAGCTCGTTTTGTGGTGCCATCGCCGCTGGACAACCAGATGAAGCATTTTAAAACAGGCCGTTTGAAGCTACAATAGATAAACTGCCATGAATCTAACCAAAAAAAAAAAAAAAAAAAAAAAAAAAAAAGGTAAAAAGAAAAAAGAAGAAAAGAAAAGAAAAAAAAAAAACCATTGCTCGATTTTCGGCGTGGATGGAGATCTAATTCTAATTCTCTCTCCCGAAAAACCCTTGTGGACGATAGTTATACCGTAATTTGTTCTCCTTGAGCCCTCACGTAATCTCACCATGAGATACTCCAGGCTGCTGCTTCTCTCCTTTTGTGTTAGTCCTCTTGGTTCTCTTTCTGCACTGCTGCCCACAAGGGACAGTAAGACCTACTTCGGGAAAGTAATCCCCTTGCTTGCAAATCCTCTGAGGACTTTCGAGCGGTTGAGGACCAAGAATTGCCTCAATAGCTGGGTCTGCCTTACTTCTAGCGGGGCTGCTATGCGAGCCAAACGTCAAGACGATGAAAGCGGAATAACTCCTGTCTGCACCTTTCCTATTATGGAGCCAGAGGTAAGCATCCATGGACACCCCAAGCATTATATGCCGGGTCCATTGCCCAATCTAATAGGCATTCAGAAACCCGAAAAAAGGGATGAAATCGGCTCAACGAAAAAAACCCCTGGAAAGGAAGAAAAGAAGTGTTTCGGTTTGGGTTCGCGGAAATACGTAACCCGATATATTATAAAGGACATCATTGAAGACGAGTTTTGTACCGAAGCCTTCGGCCAGGGCGAACCGGACAAGAAGAGCTGTACTATCAGAGGGGTCCTGGATAAAGGCTCAGGATCGGTCGCAAGGACGTATCTTAAGGGAACGCCCGAAGAAGTGGACATTGCTATGGACTGGAAGCCAGGCCTAGGGCCAGAAATGAATGTCACAGAGTGCAGGCACAAGTTCATAGGCCAGATCATCGATGGATGCGACGGAAATGACAAAAACAACCCTCTGAACTGGAAGGGGGGCGGCTGGTTCAAATCTGGAGGTATAAAGTACCGTGTAACTCCGAAGATCGTACGCCAGCCAGCCCGGAAGAAGCCCTGGGCGGGATGCTCATTCTACCGCGGATCGAATTGGTATCACGGTGGCGTCAAAATATGGGGAGGCGGCTTTTCCAGTGGTGACTGGGGAAAGAGGGTGAAAGATACGATAGAACAATGCCATCGTCTAGAAATACTCAAAAAGGGCGGAAAGAAGAGGGCGAAGATACCTGGGAAGGGGGTTGGCAAAGGGGTTGGGAAAGGGATTGGGAAGGGTGCAGCTGGGGACGGGGGTGAGGATGGGGAGGGCGACGAGGGCAGGTATAAGGCTGGTTACCGCATATTGGATGAGAGCTGGAAATTAAAGTATTATCTTGACGGAGGCGAGCTGGAGTGGGTAAGTGTCTTCAGGGGTGCAGTAGGAATAAAATGCATCGAAGACTCGATAAACCAGTCGCGCATAGGCGTGGCGGGACTAAAATGTTACAGAACCAAACAAGGGGGGGATGATTTCTTCAAGACAACGAAGGATGAATCAAGGAGTAAATAGCAGCAATGCTAACACCATAGTTCTTATGCAATGTAGTATGCATTACACCCAAGCTCCATACTCTGCGGTGTTGATGTATGTGCTCCAGACCCTGCAAACTCATAGGTTTTTATCTCCGTACAGCTAAGTACACTTCCGTGCAGCTAGTCCCGTGTAGCCTGGACGGTCGGGATGAGTAAACCTTGGCTTCGGGGCTGAATTATGTCAGCTGGCGGGCTGAACCTCGGCAGATGCCCGATCGAGCAGCTCGGAGGCTTCCGCCGTGGCTTTCAGCCGGCAACTCGTGATCCCCGCCGCCGCTGCTATATTATGCCTCTCTTCCCCAGCTGCCCTCTCGCATTCGTCTTCCACCTCCCAGCTCCTAACTCACAATCCAGTCCACCTTGACTCTTTTACGTCTTCTCCCTCTCCCCTCGTCCTCTCCTCCCCTTCTATCTTCTTCCTATCTTCTTTTGATTTCCCTCCTCCAGCCATGTCTCCCACTCCGGATTGGGTGAAGAAGCTGAAGCCCGCCGGGCCTCAGGGCACGGAGTTGCTTGAACAAGAGCGGGCAAAGTCAAACGTCTCCGTCGACAAGCTCGCGGAGCTCATCCACACAAAGGAAACTCTGCAGAGACAAGAACGTCTCCTTGCAATCATGGAGAAGGAGCCCGTCTTCGACAAATCGCAGAACCACACACTTGGCCGTGTAGAACGCCTCAAGAGATCTCTCGGCAAGGCCAAACGTCTTCAAAATCTGAGAGAGCAGCATGGATGGTCCCAGGACGAATTTATGATGGCGAACGACCTGCTCGGCGAACCTACACCCTATGGACTTCACGCCAGCATGTTCTTGGTAGGCCTTTCAGACTCCCATTAGAAATCATAAAAATGTATCACCCTGTTAACTGTCGCAAACGATTAGGTCACCCTCAGAGAGCAAGGCACCCCAGAGCAGCACAAACTCTTCCTCGAGCGCGCAGAGAGATACGAAATCATCGGCTGCTACGCACAGACTGAATTGGGCCACGGCTCGAATGTCCGTGGCCTCGAGACCACAGCTACCTGGGACCCCACTGATAAGACTTTCATCATCCATTCTCCAACCCTGACCGCTTCCAAGTGGTGGATTGGCTCCCTCGGACGAACGGCAAACCACGCAGTCGTGATGGCTCAGCTGATTATTGGCGGCAAAAGTTACGGTCCTCATCCATTCGTTGTCCATATTCGCGACCTCGAGACCCATGAGCCGCTGGAGAACATCCATGTTGGCGACATTGGTCCGAAATTTGGCTACAAGTGAGGATTTATTTTTGCTCTGCTTGTGCTTCTACGTTGCGCTAACGTTCCTTATCTAGCACCATGGATAATGGCTTCCTACTCTTTAACCATGTCAAGATTCCCCACGTGAACATGCTTGCCCGCTTCTCAAGGGTTGATCCAGACACTGGCAAGTACATCCGCCCAGCACTGCCCTCCCTCGTGTACGGAACTTTGACCTGGGTGCGCTCCACCATTGTCCTCCAATCCGGTGGCGTCCTTGCCCGTGGTGTCACAATTGCCACGAGGTACTGCGCGGTCCGAAGACAATTCCAAGACCGTGATGCGCCGGCGACGGAAACCGGAGAGAACCAGGTCATCAACTATAAGATGGTCCAAATTCGATTGCTACCCCTTCTGGCCGCCACTTTTGCGCTGCATTTCACGGGCCGTGGCATGATGGCTCTTTACCAACAAAACCAGAGCCTGATGAAGGCTACCGAAAATGGAACCAAGACCAGGGGCGCTGGTCCCGAGCAATTGAACCCTGGAGCTGATCTCCTTGCCGACCTTCATGCCACATCCTGCGGTCTCAAAGCTTTGGGAAGTACCATTGCTGTTGAGGGATTGGAAGCCTGCCGTCGCGCTTGCGGTGGACACGGCTACAGCAGTTATAGCGGGATTGGTCCATGGTACGCCGATTACCTCCCGACTGCTACTTGGGAAGGAGACAACTACATGCTCACGCAGCAGGTTGCCCGATATGTAAGTCTCTCTCACATAGCCCGTATTGAAGGAATCCAAAAAAAAAAAAAAGGTGAAGATGTTAATACTTGATTAGCTCCTCAAATCTGCCCGTTCCGTCATCGCTGGCAAGCCAGCAAACAATGACACCTGCCGTGTCCTCGCGACCTACCTTTCTCGCCGTGACACAGGTGCTGCTTTCGACATCCTCGATAGCGATAAGGACATTGTTGATGCATTCGCGTGGCGCACTGCCTATCTGACCTTCGAGGCCCTTAAGCACCGCGATGTCGAGAAGAGATCCTGGAACAGCCTGCTAGTCGACTTCTGGCGCCTCTCCACCGCCCACTCCCAGTACCTCGTTGTCAAGAACTTCTATGAGGCCGTGTCCTCCCCTGCCACCGCCGCCGCCGTTGATCCCGAAACAATGACTGTTCTCCACAAGCTCTTCCGCCTGCATGCTCTCCACACCCTTGAGCGTGAGGCCGCTGAGTTCTTCACCTCTGGAGCTGTCACGACGAGACAAATTGTTCTCACTCGTACCAAGGCGGTGATGAATCTCCTCGAGGAGGTCCGTCCACATGCTGTGCGCTTGGTGGACTCATGGAAGTTCCCTGACTGGCAACTCGACAGCTCTCTGGGCAGATATGACGGCAAAGTCTACGAAGATCTATTCCATCGGGCCAGCGAGCTGAACCCAGTCAATGCCATGACATTTGACCCTTATCCAAGCCATGAAGTGTTGGTGAAGAACGAGAGGCCCAGTAAGCTGTGATTTCTCTTAACTGAGGGCTGATGTTCCCTTTCGCATTTCAAACGTGTATTTTGTGCCCCCTGGATTGAGATTTGGCGTTTTCTTTTTTCCTATATTCTCCTTTCTTATGGGTATTGATTTGGTTACTGTTTTTGCTTGAATACACTGTTTAGATTCTAGAAACATAGAAGAACGGGATGGATAGACAAATGGCGATGTGGATAGAGAGGCCTTCGATGGCTGGAAGACAACGTTTAGTTATCCGATAGACTTGAATTTAGACATTCTCATCAATTCATCCACATGGGAAAAACTGCATGCTTCGGGAAAATGGAGCCCTCATGGCAATGATTATTGTCAAGTGTCCAAAGTCAATCATAACCATGGACGAGGGAACAAACTGGGAAGGGAAGAAAAAAATTATCACGAAAAGCATGTGAATATCAGGTGCAAACAGCCCAAACTAGCTACCTACTCCGGAGTTACCCCAAAAAAAGGCCGTTAAACTCCGTTCCAGATCCAAGCTCCCCACAATGTCTTCCCTGTAGCGCCAAAAAAAAAAAAAAAAAAAAAAAAAAAAAAAAAAGGAACAGGGGTCACGAAGAGGGATAGCTGACATGGCGTCACCACGGCCGCCCCACAAGCCTTAGAGGAAGCCCCGTCATTCATGCTGCAGCAATCCAGCTGATGAACCTCGGTCCCGCCATCGCGCCAACAAGAATCATAAGACTCGGAAGCAATATTTGCGCCCCGCTCTCCGGCGGAATCTTCCCTACCACCTCTTCACCACCTCCCGTGGCACGTGCCTCCGCCGTCCCCGTCCCAGAGAACGTGCAGCTTTCTCTCCCGCACCGGAAGCCATTGGGACAGCATCCTCCGCCCGCGTCGGCGTTGCAGGTTGTCCAGCCGTCGGCGCATTTGCTTGCCCTCCGGGGCGGGGCGGCACCACCAGTGGCGGACGCGGGGATGATGACGGTCACGCCGTTGGTGTTGATCGCTGTGTATGGCGTGAAGGGTGGGCAGGAGGTTGGATTGCAGTCGCGGCCTGTGCGGCAGCAGCCACCGTTGTAGACGGCGCTGCAGGCGTAGAAGCCTGTGGGACAGTCGTCAAGGATTTCAGGGTCCGTGGTGGTGCCTATGCCGGTGCTGGTGGGAAGTACGGTGGTGGTAATGGTCGGGTGTGAGGTTGGGCGGATGGGTGGATTGACGATCTGCGTTGTGGTTGTAGGTTTGGCGGTCGTAGATGCAGAGGATGAAGATGCGGTGATTGTCACTGTTGTCGTGGAGACAAATAGACACCCGTCCTTGACACATGTGTACCCGGGGATACAGCATCCTCCGCCAGGGAACTCAGAACAGTTTGTGTACCCGTCTGGACACGACTGGAGCTTCCCGGAACATTTCTTGCCGGAGCCATTGCTGCCACCAGAACAGCAGCCAACGTCTCCCAGGCCAGTGTCGCGGACGATTTGGCATACGGACCCGAGAGAGCAACAGCTGTTGGGGCGGGAGATGGAGCTGCAAGGCCGGGTGCTGGCAGGGCACTGGAAAGCTCGCTTCGAAAAAAGATTCCCTGGGCGCAAATTTCTGGGAATCGAAAACTCTTTCCCGAAGACAGAGAAGCCCGGAACAGTGCGCTCAAAGTGTATTGGGTAGGCGGGTTCCAGCGCAGCGAGATTGTTGTTCATCTCGTCGTCTTCGAGATAGCTGGCTACGTCCCGTTTTCGAGGATCATGTCTGTCGTCGTTGAAATACCAATAGTCCATCCAGAATTTTTCGCCCTCGTCATCTGGCATCTTGCGGACTGCGGTGGGCTGTTCCACGCGAAGTCTGCGGCTTATTGAGGCATGGCGTTGGAGTAAGTCTTCCCATGTCCGTGCTTCTATTCGATCGAGCTCAAGGGTTGTATTTGCCTGCGTAGTGCAAATCCGTGAAGTCTGCGCCGGCAACGCTGCGGTCAGAAGCAGGAGGAGAGAGCTGGGTAGGCTCAAGGGTGATGGCATTGATAGCGAACTTGAATTACAGCTAGCTAGCGGGATCTGAAGGACTTGCTGGTGGTTGTCATCACATTCTGTCAGTCCGATAATATTTTAATAGTTTACTCTGTGGTTCAGGAGCCTTTTTCCCCCTTTGAAAAGGTCTGACGGGGCCTTGCATTCTTCCCTGTGAATTTGTTTCGAAGACGCCCGGGACAGTTGTGAGGTTAGCATTGGTTCACCGCAGCTTCATTGTTTCATCGTCGGACACTTCACCGGCGTTCCTTGCAGGCTTGTCACTCTACAGTATATGCAGCTAAGCCACTGACTTTGCATATCTCTTTCGACCTATTGGAGCTCCCAACATCTGCCGCGGGCGAATGAATACAGTAGCTCGTGTCGCTGACGTTTTTCCGGCGAAACTTCGGCGCCTGTGTGTTTGCGTGGTTTGCACTATCCGCTTAGTCATAAACCTGCCAAGACCAGCTAAGTGAGTTTATTTCCTAAACAGGTCTAGTTCGGTATATCGGCCCGCTGCAGCCGCCGCCGATCCCGCTGCCCGCCGTGCCAGATCTCGATCACCCGCTCCCGCCCGTCTGTCATCAGCCGAAACATGATCTCGAGTCCGCTACAAACAAGATCCACGCTTCTCTCGCCCCGTGGCTTGGCCATCTCCGCCATGCTCCGCGGACGCGCCGCCACGTACAAGCTCACGGCGGCCATGCCTCTCAATCTGGCAAAAGGGGCTCCGTCCTGGCCTTCAAAGAGTTCCCATCCCCCATCCCAGTGCCCCTCCCACCCAATCCACTGGGGATCAACCTTTGTATGGGTATCGGCGAATGGGACTACGATGTCGGAGCCCTCTCGTGGTTTCGGTGGAGCAGGCCAGCCCAGTAGGTAGCATGCTGCGAATAGGACTTTACTGTAAGTCGCGACGCCTTCAACCGAGTTTGTCATTATTGCGATTCCGCACCCCTCCCCCGGGACCGCCGCATCTTGGTGCGTGTACGTCTTCTTCGGAGAGGCCGATCCCGTGTCGTTTGCAAAACATATCAGATGACATCTCCAGCCAGGCATGTTGCTACCCGCGTGCCTGAATACCTGCCATGGCGGCTCCCGGGCCACAAACCATGAATGGGCGACGCCATTTTGGACCTCGGTGAGCATTGTGCGTGCTAATGCCTGGTTCAGAAATGCATCTGGTTCCCCGTTCAGTGACCTTAGTATGGCCCGACCTGCTTTAAGCAAATCTTCTGGTGTGCTCCATAATCCGGCAGCAGCCTGCTCGGGATTAACCCGGTGGGTTGTTTCGCACGGCTTATGACCAGAATAATATGGTCGGGCATAGTTTCCCTCACCTTTATGATCGAAAGGCTCCAAACCGTTGATATCTCCGGGGCCTGGCGGCTCAAACGTTGATCGTGTCATTTCTAGGGAATCAAAAAGGTATTCCCGCATGACTGTGGAAAATGGTTTTCCCAGTACCTGCTCTACTATCATCTGGAGCACTGTTAGTCCCCCGCCAGAGTAGCTAAAACGATGACCTGGATAATCTGCGAGCTTGATGCGGAGAGTGTTGCATGGCGCTTCGCCGGCAATAATAGTCCTTAGGTCAGGAAGACCGGTTTCTCCATCGCTGCTGCTCTCTTCATAGCCCGGAAACCCAAAGACCCCATCAGGCTCAAGCCCTGACGTGTGGCTGAGCAACTGGGCGATCGTGATGTGTTGGGATAATCCTGCTGTGTGCGCCGTTTCAAGTTGGCGCATGAGGGATGTGGGGAGGTACTGAGCTATCGAGCCATGCAGAGACAGCTTCCCAAGTTCAATCAGCTTGAAAACGGCCAACGAAGCGATAGCCTTCGAAATGGAGCCGGATTGAAACCGAGTCAATTCATTGTCGTACAAGCTCGTGATACAACGAGAATGTATTTCGCCCTTGTCGAGAACAGCAATTGAGACAGATGGTGTCCCCAATTCGACCAAAAGGGTCGATGCGCTGCATGGAGAAGATCCTGCGGCTGAAGGTTGTGAACTCAAAAGCTCTTCCAACCGGGAAAACAGGTCTGTTTGCGCAGAGCTTTTGCTTCGGGTCATTTTCGGATGAGGTCAAGTCACCTATAAGACTATGAGCTTGGGTGATAACAGCGGGTAATATCAAATATCTTCGGGACCTGGTTGACAGTCGCTCCCTACCGTTTTGACCCTTTGAATGTACGGTATATACCTTTCTGAAACTAAGAAGTTTGGTCGTCCTGGCAATCAGGTCGGCTGACGCTACCTCTCCCAAAAGCCATAGAATGCAGGCGCATTTTCGTAGCATTGGAGGAGCGAGAGATGCTTTATACGCTCACGGAATAGGAAATTTTTACATGCAGGCACCCATATTCTTCTGATAATGTTGTCGCCTCCGAGAATACGATTTCGCAACTCCTTCCCGTATTATTCCCTGCTCGTCCTGTTCCATGCTGGGTGCTCTCGTATATACATACATACGGGACATAATCTACCGGAAAAATTGGAAAGCAACGAGACACAGATTGATTGTCCTTACTTCGGAGTTCTTCATAAAATAGGTTCATATTTCCTTGACCCATGCTCGGCTCCACAAGCTAGCAGCTTTCGTAGGCACAACTTTGATCGACCCCCCCGGGCCGGGGGAACCGTTGTCATGGATGTCACCCCTGCGGCGATGCATATGCTTTTTGACGCCGACCCACTCGGGAGCTAACGACCCCGGTTCAGTGCTTCAAGTTGCACCTGGCAGCTCAGGCAGACACGAAAGGAGCTTTCTCGTCTTCAGGTCTTCAAGCAGGCCGACGTGATGTTGTTTGGCGGATGAGTATAGCCCTCGATCTTACACTGGGAGAAAGATTTAATTGCTACTGAATAACTCGAAGGGGGGTTTTTCTTTTTTGTCATAACGAAGTATTAAATTGACACCCTAACCATTGCATCCCTACACTATCCATTCATCAAATAAAAAAATTCTAACACTTCCATGCACATCGGGGGCCATAATGTAAGGGGGGTAAAGGGTGCGTGAAAATCATATCAACATTGGAAATGGGGAAGGGGTCACATGTATGCAAAATATCAACTAATGGGTATCATGAAGGGAAAATATGGATGAGTGATCGGGATGTGGTTTGTGGAGGCAAACAGGGAATGGGTGGTGAAATGTAGTGCGGGAGCAGGGGGGTTAGTGAAAGAGGAGTCACTATCGGGGGAATTTGGGGGGGGGGGAGGGTGAAAAAAAGAAGGAAAGAAAAGACATAAAGAAACTCTGCCAGGGCAGCGGTGGAGCAATCTCGCCATAGACATTTTTGCTGAGGGTCATCGAGTAGCATCACACAATGATCGGATCGACGGTGAGGAGGAAGTATCAAAGAAAAGAGAGAAAGAAGGAACATAGATCATAGAGAAATTCGACACATGAGATAGATTGAAAAGTGTGTAAACAGTGGCATCGCGGCAAAGGCACGCACGCAACTAGCTAGAAAAAAAAGATCCTAGCCAGGATGAGTGCTTACTTGGCGACGCTACATACACTGTTAGCAACCTCACTGTGTCTGTTCGTCCTGTTCAGACATACCAGGACCAGACGATGACCTGTTTCCGCCCGAAGCACTCTTTGGGCTTTCAGTTGTGGTGTTGGCCGGGGGTGAAGAAGGGGCAGCAGGAGCATCGACCTCATTTCTGACATCCGCGGCATTCTCCGGTTCTTCATCTTGTTTTAGGGCTGAAGTGTCTGGCTCTCCGTTCTCAAGTGGCGACTCTTCCTTTGGGGACTGGGGAGCGGGTTGTTCTTCCTCAGTGTCTCCGGTATTCAACCCCTGCATACGCTCCCACACCTCCTTTCGAATCTTTTCGTCCTTAGCTTTTCTCAAACGCTCCGCTTCTTCGAATCCTCCGCTCTTCTTTAGTTTTCCTCCTTCGACAAAGGCTCCCAGTTCTTTTTGGAATTGGCCGATACGTCGGCTCTCCAGTTCCTTCTGTCTTGCCTTTTCTGCTCGCTCGATGGCCTCGACACGGTTCTCGTGGTTCGGTTGGAGAGCTCGGACTTCTCCTAGGACGCTATCTTTTGCCTTTACCGGATCTATAGATGGATCTAAGGGAAGTGTTCGCGACGCAACCCTAAAACTAACAACTGTGGCGTTGCCGTCAGGATTCGACGACTGAAGGGCTTGTTGTTTAGTCGCTTGTTCGACCAACGCAAACGTTTGCGTAGCTTTCTCCAGATCATCTTCTAAATCAACAGCAAGATCTTCCTGCATTGTGAGTTGGTCTCGCTCCTCGCAGACTTGTTGCAGTTCTTTCTCCCAAATCTTTGTCCAGATAGGCTTCTCGCGCTTAAGGAAGTCCTGCATTTTCTTAAGCTCCTTGGTCACGGCGCTAATATCGCGGCCAACGGCTTCTAATTGTCTTGGCAATGGCCGTACACCGCGGGTTACGACGTCCTTGCGAAGGTCTTCTACGAGGTCCTGTAGATCATCAACGCGAGCCACGAGTTTCTCGGATTCGTCAGCAAGTTCCTTCTTCCCTGCATTGACACGAGCACGGCCCGCATCCCCTTCATACGAGGGTACACTCATATCAGTAGCTACGGTCTTCACAGCATTGGCTTTTGTTCGAACGTTGTTCATAGATGCTGAGACGTCGGAGGAGAAATTGGAATAAGTCTGGCGAAGAACGGCAAGATCGCGACGAAGACTTTGTATCTCTGTCACATAACTGCCCTTGGCAGTCGATGCGAGTGACTGTCCATTTGCTGAGGAGAGAGGTGCTGGACCCGCAGCGAGACGGGCGATCTCCTTGGCTGCTTGTTGCTGACGGTCGGTCAGCAGCTGGATAGAGGCAGCTTGGTTGTCCATGGTATCCCGCACCCCTTCAATTAGACGTCGAACACCACCGACGCTTTCGTCAATGTGCTTTTTGACTTCATCAAGGGCCTCGACGTTTAGAACAAGAACTGACCTGTCCTTCACATCGTTAAGATCTTCTAACTCGTGGCGTACACCGGAAATCGGATCCTGGATATAAATTTCGGGCAGATCCACACCGTTATTATGTGTATTCCACGCGAATTTCTCAATAAATGCTAGTTGGAGTCTCCCAATAGTTAAGCCAGCATAACCTTCCGCGAGGACATATTTTTTGATTTTCGTCTTGTATTGCAGGAACAAAGTAACCTCTTTGCTTGATGGTGGCGGCGACATATCCGGGGTGAACTGAGCGGGGCGTGAGTTCTGCGAGTCCATCGACACAGTTCTTGTCTCTCCATGATCGGTCTCCTGTTTGCTGGCCTTGTCTACTCCCTCTTGAAGAGAGTCTCGTTCAGGAATTTTTGGTAGGCTGGGGACAGGTTTATCCACGATTGGGGTATCCCTATGTTCAATGTCACGTGAAGGACGGACCTTGTCCGTTGGAGTTTTCGCTGTTGGGCTGTCTTCTGGAACGGGTTCTGGTGGTGGCTCTATTTTGGCTATCACCGAAGGTTCGGGTGTCGTGGGAGGCCTGGTGCTATCGCCCACTCGACGATGACCTGATTGTTTTCGGCCATGAGCAGGACCACGAAGGCGCACTGCGTTCATTGACTCACGTACGTCACGCCCACGACTATTCAGCTGTGACGATTGAGAAGATGGCAGGACTGGAAGGCCATTTGTGGGACCAAGATGCTTCTGTATTTGATACGCAGAGAATCTTCGCGAAGCCCTGCGTTCCAGCTCGCCGCTCCTCTGCAGCATTCCGATGGCATCGTTTGCTTTTGGCGGCGGGGGAGGTGGGTGAGGAAAGCCGTGAATCTGATTCTGGCTAGCGGGTGATTGGGGGCGAGCAGTCACGGAGTCTTGGTCGTAGGGCTGTAGAACGGGCATATTCTGCATCGTGGAACTGGACATCGATGACGACGAAACAGACGTGGCGATCGCACGCTGTGCCTCCCTTCTGATCGCATCTCTTTCTGAAAATGTCCCACCCTGGCGGTCAGTAGGCCAATTGGACGATGTATTTCGAGTTGCCACGGACGCTTGATCGTCGGCGTATGGTGTGCTCTGCCGTGCATCTGGAGGGCGATTCTGCGGAGGCTGTGGAGGAAGTTCATCCGCTGCCGGCGGTATGGCATTCTCTCCGCTGGCAATGCTTCCTTGGCTTCCCTGGCGCGGTCCACCCCTTGCCTGCCTTGATCGTAGCTTTGCTTGCTTACGCTTCAAACCGTGAAGCAGGTTGATGATGATATCGCGTATGCGCGGTAGATATCGGTTTAGAGATTCGGTGGAGGCATCTTGGCTCAGGGTATCCTCAAGGATGGTTCGCAACAGGTCAGGGACAGGACCGAGATCTGTAGTATCAACTCCGATGGCCCCGAAAGCCCGACAGGCAAGATTAAACTCGTAGCCAAGGCGGACATATACGTCGGAAACCTTCACTTCGGATGCCTGGCCTCTTGACCATTGAGTCAGCGTCTCGAGCAGCTCCTTTGTGGCCACCAGAAGATGTGTGACGCTCTTCTCGATCTGGGAGAGTTGTTTGTCGGGCTGGTTCACAAGCCAGGAGAGTCAGCATATGAGGTGCTCACAAAGCCACGTCGTCTGGAACAAAACTGGCATTAAAAGCAGAGCCGAACTCACCGACGTTCTGGGTGCCGAAGACCTCACGGAGCCCGATGAAGCCCGGCCACCAGAGGCCTCCCCAGCCGCACCGGGATTATTGCTGCTCGACTGTGCCATGGGCGGCTGGGACTGCTCTGAGCTCGCGGCGCGCCGTTGTGGTGAGTGTTGGTATCTGGAATAAGATTCCATGGTGGGCGAGGTGCAAGCATTTAACTATTTGCTACAAAAAGCCAGGCTCGCATGGCAGCAAAGGGGTGGTGATTTGTGGTGGAGTGCGTTTGACTTGGTGTCACTCACTTCGTCAGGCTCGCTTTTTGGGTTAGTGATGAGGGAAGCCCGTGAGTGGCCAGGTTTAGCGCTATCACACCTATCAAACATCCCGAGTTGGTTTTAGCGTGGGAGTTCAGAGCATGCCCAACCATCCAGCCGTTCGGTGCAGTTCCTTTTCACTGGATTGGTCTTTTCTTTTCTTTTCTCTTTTTT